CGTCCGGTGCGTGGTCGCCATTCCAGAACCTTTCCGCCCCAACGGCCATCGGTTCTTCTTGCTACGTGTCCCGCCCACTGCCACTTCAGCAGAGCCATCGTTTGAGCGATATCGGTAACTTTGGTTCTCCTACGGATTTCCTCATTTCTGATTCTATCGCGTAGGGAAACACCAAGCATCGCTCTCTCCATTGCTCGCCACCGTTGCCTACCCTGACCTAATCCCCTACCCCGTGGAGCCCTAAAATCTTAGTTACCAACAGAAACACAACACCACCAGAAGATAATGTTATTTTACTGTGATTTTCACCAAACGGGCGCTCGAATTACTAAATGGTACACAACTTTATGAATAGGGTGGAGGGTTGATTACCTGAGACACAGGATTCATCCTAGTTCAGGTGTCAACCCACCATAATCTGATCAATACGTACCTTTTATTTTTGGTAAAAAAAATGCATGCTTTTTATATCATTGTTTTTATGTAGCCATTAATACCAACATTGTGATTATGGTGAGAAATAAAGGTTATTATTATTATTAAAAAAATAAAAATAAAAAAAAAATCGAGCGGGAAATGCGCTACCCTACCTTCTTGTTAATAATATAGCGATAGTAGATACTACTAAAGAAGTCCGATGGCCGGGTGGTTAGCGTGTTCGGCTGCGATCGTTGAAGTTAAGCAACTTTCGCAGAGGTCGGTCATTGGATGGGTGATCAAAAATCTTCTGTCTCGAGTTCCTCTGTGCTTCGGAAGGCACGTTAAGCCGTTGGTCCCGGCTGCATCTGCAGTCGTTAGCACCCGCCAATAGTCACTGGGCCCGCGATGTGGGTCCAAGCATGGTCCAATCTCCCAATTCCATCCAAAGGGAAGGCCTGTGCCCCGACAGTGGGGACATGAATAAGCTGATCATGATGAATATATACTAATGCGATGATATACACATTCTGTAAATATGCTGATACGAGTATATGATATTCTGTAAAAATCTGTCCAACTGCTACGGTCCTGAAAGTTCACTGAAAGAAAGACTTGCGCCATCCGTAAGTCAGTTTTCGGTTTCAGTGAAGGCTTAGTTCGGTACGACACCCTGAAGTAGGCTATTTTGATTATCAATAGACAAATAGAAAAGGGGCGGGACTACTGAAACTTACTTCACGTCATTCAAGCAAAACAGCACCGCTAGCACGAACCATTATCGAATTCGAATAGTTTGCGAGTCCGAAATGTCAATGTCAAATTTTGTATGGAAACTTGAACAGCAGCGCCTCAAAGTACGTAACGAGAACTAAAAATCAGTACCCATTTGACAATGACATTTCGTACTCGCAAACGTTACGAATTCGATATTGGTTCGTGCTAAGGGTACAGTTTTGAAAGTGATTAATATCCAAGTCTTCATTCATGTCCGAGTGAACTAACACTAATGTTTTCTTCTAAACAATGGAATAACGCAAATTACTTCCAGCCATTATAGTCTGACTGGAGGCCTACTCTAATTCAAGGAAAAACTAAATTTCGATCGAAAATTCCCACTTTTCTTACTTATATTTCAGGTTCGTTTTTGAAGTTATACTTCTTTAGGCGCGTTATGAAAAAAATGATGAGAGTGAAATTTTTAGATGCGCGCGCATCACTGTAACCCAAAAGTAACAGCATGAAGTTGGCCGCGGGCGCGTTATGAAAAAATCATGTGAGTGAAATTTCGAGATGCGCGCGCATCACTGTAACACAATAGTAACACCATGAAGTTGGCCGCGTTATGAATGTTAGTGCCTAATAATGGTGGATTATTAACCACTAGTGGTTAATAATCCACCATTATTAGACATCTGTTCGAAAGGTACTTTGAACGATCCACGGAGCTCCATAAGATGATCGCGTTGTCAAAAACAATGTTGGCACTCTCGTCGCCTCTGATCACTGTTTTCATATTTATAATATTTATCCACATGTTTCTAGTTTCTATATAGACACAACGTGTTTTAGTTACTTACAAGTGCTAATTACATATGGACTAATAACTTAAATTCAGTAGTGATTTTAATTGAATATTTTGAATATTTATTTAATTTTTCAAATTAAAACTGAACTTAATTGACTGTGTTAACTATCCTTTTCCAGTCCTTTTATTATTTTATTGTAATTATTAATTATTTGCATGCAATTAAAAAATATTTTCAATGATGCTAAAGAAGTATAACTTCTCACGCGCGTACATAAGTTACACATGTACGTGCTTTTATTACTTTATTGTAATTAATAATTACAATAAAGTAATAAAAGCATCCATTTTCTAATTATAATAATATTCTTCGTCGGAATATAGATTGAGGTGTAGATTTTCTAAGACTACTCAAATAAAGCTTCAATTTGATAATTTATCGTTCAAATTAAGTATAACCTTAAATTGCGAAATTAAATTTCGTTTGAACTTCGTTTTCTAAAGTTCTTTTCGGAGAAAGAGAGTAGACCCCCTGATCTCAAACGCCGAGTGACGTCACAATACTACCGAAACGGGGCGTCAGTGACCAGCGACCTTGATACGGTCGCGCATGACGTCATTTTGTCGGATGTGGTTCGGAATTCGGCCACATGAAACGAAGACTCGTTAGCTCAGTAGGTAAGAGTGCCGATATAAGCCTAAACTTGATCATCGGAGGGCGGAGGTTCAAATCCTTCACGAGTCAGTTCTCCTTTTTAGTTTCCATACATTTTATATTAAGTTATAGACACATTTTAAGGGATGTTTGACGCAAAGGAAAATTATTTAGGGCATTTTTTGTATACAGGGCGTCCCACGGGCTTGTCGTATGGAGGGAATTTATATTGTAGATAGGATATTTTACTGAAAGAAGACGTCGTTTTATTTTTAATAATAAAAAATTGCCTGACAAAACCGGGATTCAAACTCGTGAAATGTGTAATAAAAAACATATGTATTTTATGGTAACCGTCGAAAGGGTAAATCATCCGGACTATTTTTTCCTAAATAACACAGCATTTAATAATCACGAAATTTGACTTTTTTTAATAATTTAACACAAACTGCAATTAAAAAGGTATCGCTTTATCATTTTTTTCACTTACTTATAGTAAGGAAATTCTGTATTATAAAGTAAGCAGGTACCAGTCAGTAAATAAATAGAAACTAGCAAACCAGTGAACCAAATGTTCACCAAAAAAAAAATGTAATTAATTAATTGAGAACTTCGGAGATTTTGTGTGGTTTCGTTTGAAATAGAAATCACGTGATTTCTCGAAAACCGGAAGTGCTACGTTACTCACATCCGGTTTGTAGTCTTATCAGACTATTCTTAACTTATAACTTAAACATTCTCTATATCTATCTCTTACGGTTTGGCCGCTGAAACAGCACCACGGACGGACGGACGGACTTGTCTAATAGATGAGAGATGATAACATTATCTGTAGAAAGCACGGAAAAGAGGAAATTGTTCTGAATAAAATTTTAATTTCATGATATTCATTTCATTAGCTGTTGTTGGTAGCACGGAAAATTAAGAGGAAATTTTCCTGAACAACATTTTGATTTCATGATCTTCCTTTCATTTAAAATACCATGTCATTTAGTAAAAAATAATCTTTATGAATAACCCTTCGATGGTTACCGAGTAACTGCGGGTTACTTTGATCTAAAATGCACATTTTTTTCAAATCAAATTGTACCTTCTCTTTGTGATGAATATGTCACGTTTATATCTTTCCATTGTAAACTTTAAGGTATAAGTTACAAAGTTCACATACGAAAATAGGAAAAAATAATGTTTAAGGGTTAATATTATTTTGTTTAATTTTGGGCCAAAGTTGGCCTTAGAAGAAGGTTACTTTAGCTCGTTGAGTTTTCCTTGGGATAAAAACACATTTTATGCCATGTTGGGGTTAAGTAACCCTCATAACAGATCACCATTAGCATACTCAATACACAAATGGATGTTTTTTCCCAAAAATAATTTAGTTAAATAATAAAGAAACGAATTTATTTTTATTAATCAAACGTGAAACGAAATATAGACAAATTCTGAATTACATAAGTAAAGCTACATAAAATATTTATCCAAAGTATAAATAATTAGTAAAAATCACTGAAATATACAACTGAGCGCAAATCAATGAAGCGTTTGTTACGTTTATGTGGCGACGAAATACTTCTGAAAATGTCTTGTATTCAAATGATTCTCAAATCGAGAAACTTAGTCACGCAGCGGCTAGCACGTTCGACCTGCGATTGTGCAAGTTAAGCAAATTTCGCGATGGCCGGTTATAGGATGGGTGACCGAAAATGTATCTAGAGCTCCTCTGTGCTTCGAAAAGCACGCTAAGATATCGTTCACGGCTGCATCTTCATTTCAGCCATGAGAACCATAGTGGCCTAATCATTTATTTACAATATTGAGTTTATGATTTTTTCCAGTTCAAATTGGTCATTTTGATAGAACCAGAGTGATCTAAAAGTGATACAACGAATATTCACTAGATGGCAGCATAATCACTGTTACGGTTTTTAGTCTGTGATCTAAATTTAAGGTGCCATACCGGCCTAAGTAAGGTAGGCCACTATGGTTAAAAAATGAGTTAGGCCACTATGGTTCTCATGGCCTCAATAGGGATGATGACAAATTTTTTTTTCTTCGTTTATCAGGTAGGTTATCAAAAAGTATTGGACACATATTTTTTTCTTTTTTCACACAAACATTGCAGAGATATATTGATTTGAAAAGTCGCATGACGTCACGTTTAAGTACACTTATAAGAGAAAATTCACTCAAAAGTGACGTCACGAGCCCCTACTCCCAAACTTTGACGCGCTATAACTTTGTCATTTTTTGGTTGATTGCCCAAAGAAAAAATACGTGTCCATTTATTTTTTGATCATCTAACTGACGGACTAAATAGAATTTCGTTTTCTGTACCCCGTCATCACCCCTATTGGTGTGAGTGTTGGAAATATTTATTATTTATATATTTATTTACATTACCTGTTACTCTTCCCACGTCGACTAAAAGGTGGTTATCGGTGACGGCCTTTACAGTAGCGTCGACCAGTTGCCCGACTTGCATCTCAGACAGACTGAAGTACTTCTCGTTGATAACTTCAGTACGGTCGCTGACCAGGTACAGGAAGTCGCAAGGGTTGTACGCTACTACGCGAACGCGATGCGTACTGCCTGTTAAAAGATCGGTTCGTTAATTTTTAGCCGAGCTTCAATAATAATAATAAATTCGTTTATTTCTCATCTTCTTTTTTTAATGCATAATAGGCAAGGCGTTTTACCACACATCACAAACCTTTTGGCAACGATAACAAGTATTAAATACAAGTTAATTACATTGAATTCAATTCAATTCGAAATGTCAATAAATAAATAAATCAGTGCATCTATACCGTTGCAACTTGTTTTATTAAATGAGTGAAACCTAAGAAAGAAATAACCTGTGAAATGTTTATTGCAAAATAGACATCGATCCACAACTGGGGATTTGTGCTGCCATATATTTATTTATTTATTTATTTATATGGGGTAAGCGGAATTAACAATATTAACAGCGGTAAACACATCAATACTGCAATTGCTAGCGAGCTAGCAGGGAAGAAGTGAAGTTGAGCAAATCACGTGGCTCACAGAACAGTACCCATAACACGAACAAATATCTAATTCACTAGAAAAAAATCCACGCGGACCAGGCAGCGGACGGGGCTCGAACCCGCATCCTTCGCAATCCGGGCGAATGCACTGACCATTACGCTACCACGGCCCTATTCGCCGCGTCGAAATTTTCCTAGCCTTAAACTGCAAGGCAGCGCCATCTCTTCGCATTGTAGGTAACCCACAATGTCACATGAATACTTTTTCAAGTATTAAACATTTGAAAGAAGATTTAAACATCTAGCAGTTAAATGCTTAAAAAATAAATAAAAACATAAATATCTAATTCGTTACGTTTGCAAATGCGAAATGTCATTGAGTTCTTTTTTTATGGAAATTTGAACACCAGCGCAATAACGGACGTAACGAGAACTAAAAATCAGTACACGAACTTCTTACGTTTAACGCTTATCGAGATCGTATTCAAGTATTCGAATAAGATATTGGTTCTTGCTTAGGATACAGATGGCAGGTGGATTGTAGCTATTACGAAGCGGCGACCTAGAACAGTAGCCTTATATATCGAATTCGAATAGTTTGCGAGTGCGAAATGTTATTGTCAAATTATGTATGGAAATTTGAACAGTAGCGCCACAACCGACTTAACGAGAACTAAAAATCAGTACACATTTGGCGTATAAAATAGATCCAATTCAACTATTCCAATTCGATAATGGTACGTGCTAAGGATACAGGAACTTGGGGAGACAGCACACTCGATAGTCCGATGACATCACCAAAGTCGCAGGAAAGAACTGGATTCGGATGGCGCAACACAGAGAAAATTGCCGCAGCACGGAGAAGACCTATAGAGGAGACCTAGCAGTGGGAAGACAAAGGTTGAAGAAGAAGATACATCTGTAGGAAGGCCAAAGGGGAAGATCTTCCTGGGTGATGGTAGCTCGAGGGCCGCGGCCTGACTGATGTTGGTCGGGCATCGTATATATGGAGTGTTAGCCACCGAATTTCACTTGCACGATGTAGGCTTCCATACTATTGTGATCGCAGCGCAGGTAGCGCCATCTCTTGAGGAGGCGAGTTATTATTTCCTCCATGGGGCATACAAATGTCGCCGCAAAAATCTATCTAAAGCTCAGCGTTGCTCACCTATAGGGTATGAGTTGGCGACCACCTGCTCATCCTCCAGGTCCTCATGGACGGCCACGTGGCTGAGGCTCATGCTGCCCACACAGCCTCGCCCCAACCGAAAGTTTACGGTTCGCCCCAGAATACGCACCACCTGGCGTACAATACGAGAAACACAACATTGTGAAGAAATGGTTCTTGCACAGAAAATGAAATCTAACTCGTAATATTTAAGAGATAGGTTCAACGATATGAAATACCCTAGATACACCAACGAGAACAAAATCATGCCCGAAACCTGTCCAAAAGTTACTTGGACGATCCACGGAACTTCGTAAGATGATAAGGCAAACAATATAAGGCATTATTTGAACACTGAAAATCATCTTTAAAGCACACTGCGTCAAAGAGTTATGACAGTCCGAAATGTAAGCTCGTAAAATTTGACAGATTTGACTTATATTGTTTAGATTATTATTATTACTAGTCTACAATTTTAATTTATATATATATACTAGCGGACCCGACAGACGTTGTCCTGTCTAGTATGGTAGCGCCGTCTGTCGGATCCAATGTAAAACATTCCAAAATCAACAACTACTAATAAATTAAAAATTAATTAAAAAAACATTGTCCAGCGGACAAAATTGTGAATCTAAACCATTCTCAGATCCCCTTGAACACACACAAAAAATTTCATCAAAATCGGTCCAGTCGTTTAAGAGAAGTTCAGTAACATACACACTCACAGAAGAATTATATATATAAAGATATATATATATATATATAAAGATAGATTTAGTATTTACAAGCTTACATTTACTAAATTTTGTGAAATAAATTAAGAATTGTTTAGACTACGCGATCATCTTACGGAGGTCCGTGGACGGTCCAATGTACCTTCTGGACCGGTTTCGGGCATGATTTTGTTCATGTTGGTGTATCTAGGGTATTTAATATAGTTGGACAGGGTACATTTTTATAAGACTGTAAGCTTTAATAAAACTGCCACAGTAATATCAGGAAACAAGGATAGTCAAACGCTAAATGAGGTGATGCTGTCGATGTCAAGTAAACCTCAATTTACGGGGATGACTTTGATACATAAGGCTGTACTTAGAGACGTCATTTAGCTTTTAATTTTGATTTAATATATTGCTGCCACTTTCTTCACTGTAAAAGACACAAATGACAATAAACTTGGAAATTTTCTTTACATTTAAATATCAAACAGTTACATGCTCAAAAAAAATTATAACTACAATAAACTTATTTGACGACCTCCGTGGCCGAGTGGTTTGTACGCCGAGTTTAACGGTGTCGCCGACTCGAGAGGTCCCAGGTTCGAATCCCGGTGGGGGAAAATGCTTGTGTGATGAATACGAGCATTTGTACTCCAGTCATGGATGTAAAATATTTATTTCTATATAAATATACTTATATATGTACAGTATATGTATTTTATCCGTTACCCTAGCATCTCATAACACAAGCCTTGCAGTGCTTACTTTGGGGCTAGGCTAATTGGTGTGAGTGTTGAAAATATTTATTTATTTATTTTATTTATTTGTCGTCTGTGAGTACAGCCATTAGGAATACTCATATTTAGGCACGTTATTCCGAAAGGTATTTTGCTGTTTCACTAATTTCTCAAAAATGAAATATTTATAATTTAAGTTAAAATAAATTTATACGTAATCGTACCTGTACTGGCATATAATGCTTTATCTTAATCATTTTCAAAAACTACTTAATGTAAAAAATTTACGCGGATTCCTGTGTGTATATTCTAGTTCAAGCCCTCATATTAGCCCTTAAAAACAGAACGGCATTCCAAAACTAATATAAAAAAAAATACAAATAAAAAAAGGTTGACTCGTGAAGGATTTGAACCTCCGCCCTCCGATGATCAAGTATAGGCTTATATCGGCGCTCTTACCTACTGAGCTAACGAGTCTTGCTGTGAACTAACAAATATCCCGTACTATTTCGAAGGAATGACGTCACCGCGAACACGGCCTTGCTCAGAATCGTAACAATGACGCATCGTTTTTTATTTAGGGGCGTTATTTATAGAGTAGACGATGGCAGTAAATTTAGTACATTTCAGCAAGTCATTTCTAAACTGTATTTATCGGTCAAGGTTTTACCTGTAATAAAACAGCTCTAAAACTGCCCACGTTTTAACAGTCCAGGTAATTATTTTTTATAATCTATGTGGGAAATCTCATAGGAAATTTATTTATTAATCCACTCATTAACGTAGAGTGTTAGAGATATGATATTTTATGCAGTGGCGGCGCTAGACCACATGTGGACGTCGGCGACATCAAGTTCGCGAGGCCTATTTTACTTCGCAGTAAAAAGCCGTTAAATTAAGTGAGCCAAATTATAAAATAACGTATGAGTAAACGAGTTTTATTGTTGATAATCAAATGATGACAAAAAATAATTACAAACATAGAAATTTAATTACAAAAACAGTGTTGAAAGACAGACGATTCTGAATACCCGTAAAGTACTACTCGCTTCCATCACGCACGTGTTCGAAAATAATAAAAGTCATTATCATCTGCTTAGCTTTTTCCCCGAATTGTTCGAGGTCGGCTTCCTAAGCCAGGCCAGGAGAAACGAAAATAAATAGGTAACTAGTAAAAATTTTTTGCGAGGCCCCCTCAGGCGCGAGGCCGTCGGCTGATATTATGGTCACCCATCCAATGACCAACCACTGCGAAAGTTGCTTAACTTCAACGATCGCAGCCGAACGCGCTAACCACTTGCGCCATCGAGCTCCTACCTTATCGAGTACGTACCTTTGCGTCATCGATAATCTCCCCCTCCTTGAGAGTCTGCTCGGCCTCCAGCTCGGGGCAGGCCGTCTCGAAGATGTCCTTCATAGTAAGGAACGGCGTATTGCGAGTAGGCATCACATACAACACACGGGCTTTGACCTAGCAACGAATAACATAAAGATTAGGTATATGCTTTCCAATTACAGAGCATAATGCGACTCAGTGCCGCACAATGCCCATTATGCTGATGCTTAATTGGAACGTGAATTAGTTTTCAAATGCACCAGCAGAGTGCGCTAAGTTCAGTGTTGAAAAAAAAAGTCAATGTTTGTACCTTCATCCATACTTATATTTATTTTTTAACAGTTTGAATGAACTTTGATTATTTAAAAAAAACTATTTAATGAAACGAAAGCTTTAATATTTTTTCAACAATAAATAATATTACTAACGATAACATATAAATAAAACATTTCGATCAATGCCAACTTAAAGAAAAAACACTTGTTAATTTTCTGTCTCTAAGTTGGTACCATTGCACGCACCACACGAAAGCATCACTTTTGAGAGTACTCAATTGTGCGAAGCGTTGCTGTAGTTGGAACACTCAACGTTAAGTATTATGCCACATAATGCGCTATAATGCTGTAATTGGAAAGCAACCTAGACTTGCAACGAATAGTATATTCGGCAGTATACCGAATATTCGGCGAGGCCCCTGACCCAATAGCCGAATATTAGGCAAAAGCATTCGTCTGGATTTTAGCGCCAAAAACTTGTACAGACGTGATTGTTTCGCGCTCCTTTGTATTGTTCTAATCTGCCGTCCTCAAGCTATAATGCGGCTAAATGACAAAACTAACTTTTGAGATATGGCCAAAAACGGCGCGTAAACTTTAAATTATTGCTATTATGTAACCATTCATCACATGACTGAATGAATTAAAAACTGTTAACTTGTTTAATACAGAAAAAGAATTAAATTATGTACCTGTTTTATGTACCAATGACTACTTAATAAACGATTATAAAAGAAATGAGAACCTTACCCTACTAAATTTTGATTACTACAATAATTCAAATACATAGAATCCTCAATTTTTCCAATTCAGTAGATGATTATGTACCTGTGTTATGTACCAATGACTACTTAAATGATTGTATAACAGAAATGAAAATATGAATATATACGTAATCAATCGATTTTAATTTTTAATTTTACCAATTATTTCTCTATGACAAAATATATTATTTAAGTATTCGGTATTCAGCCGAATATAATAAAAGCAGCCGAATAGGCCGAATACCGAATAGTAACCGAATATTCGTTGGAATTCTAATAAAGATTTATAACATAGGATAGCGCCCGTCTGCAGACAGCACAGACCACAAAAAGAGGTTAACAGGTCCTTGTAGGCGGGGCAGGCGCGCCACAGTTGTGTGAGCAAATGCTCATAACTTGACCAAAAGTTGGTTCTGATTGCGTCGTTGCTTTCAGGTGTGAGCGCTCATTGGTTTGATTGTTTCATGTCGCGTCGTTTGATTGACTATTATGTATTAGATGGAAGTGTAGTGAAGGCGAGCCGGCGATATCGGTTCCTGTACATACGGTCTATCATCACCCTTGTAACCTTTTTTTGTATACTGTGGCAGAAAGTAACCTTAGCGGTACATAAAGGCGAAATCAGACGGTTCATGAAAAGTCAATCATTTTTGCAATGATTTGTGAATGATGAACAGTGAAAGTTCATTTAGCTATTGCAGTGTTTTTATAGACGCATCAATTTTGATGAAAGCTAATATTCTATTCCATGTGGAATTCCCGCGAGAACATCGACTGTGGCGAGTTATTTAATTAAAGAATTAACTAGCAAACCAGTAAACCAAATGTTCACCAAAACCTGATTTAAAAAAAAATGTATTTAATTAATTGAGAACTTCGGAGATTTTGTGTGGTTTCGTTTGAAATTCGTGATTTATCGAAAACCGGAAGTGCTACGTTACTCAAATCCGGTTTGTAGTCTTATCAGACTATTCTTAACTTATAACTTAAACATTCTCTTTATCTATCTCTTACGGTTTGGCCGCTGAAACAGCACCACAGACGGACGGACGGACGGACTTGTCTAATAGATAAGAGATACCGAGACAGTAAAAGGGATGAATTGTGAATGAGCTGTCGCTGCATGATCGAAGTGAAAACAAGTGACGATCGCTAGTGAAAACAATCGGGAGCCGAAAGCTTTTATCGCAATTCGCGTAGGCACATTCAGATTGACGTCAATTTAGACATTTAATTTTTGCTTTTTCATCGATTAAGCATCGAAAATTAAAGCAAAAATGAACCGTCTAATTTCAGCTTAAGACTAACTTTTGATGGTGCTTTGTTTCTATTAGTGAGTAAAGTTTTAAGACTTCACAGGGGATCGGTTTTAAGACGGAAAGATTGGCACTATTCCTACAGTATCAACTACTCTCGTCTTACACCTGACTTGACCTCACTTTGATTTGACGACCTCCGTGGCCCGAGTTGTATGTATGTCGGTTTTCAAGGTGTCGCCTACTTCAGAGGTCTCGGGTTCGAATCCCGGTAGGGCAAATGTTTGTGTGGTGAACAAGCATTTGTACCTAAATCATGGGATGGTTTTAGATATTTCTAAATAAAAAATATATGTGTATGTATTCTATCCGTTTTCCTAGTATCCCATAACACAAGCCTTACAGTGCTTTCTTTGGGGCTAGGCTAATTGGTGTGTCTGAAACTTAGCATCAGGTGAGATGGGGTTATTTGCCGAGTCTCGTATAAAATAAGAATGAATATAATGAAACGATCCGATACACCATAAATAAGATAGAAGAGAAAGTTTCTTGTTTAATGTCAATAGGATGAAGATAGCTAATACGACAAATAAAAACACCTTCAGCCATCATCAACTCGCCGGCCTGAACCCAATGAGGGCTATCGTTTTTTGTCTCACCAGATGGCACCACTGTTGAGTGAGGTCCTGAAGTGTAGCTTTTAAAGTTAGTATACATGCTCGTGATATCAAAGTTTACATTTAAATCATATTTTAATACAAAAGAATCGTATTGTAAACATAATCGCCCATGCCACAGTGTTGCGCAGTCCCGTTTTGTTCGGAAAAAAGAAGGACAATATTTTTTCTTAGCTCCGCTTTTAAATAACTGACATTCATTGACACGTAACTCATATTTGCCATAATAAGTCTGAGTTATTAGCAAATTTTCAGAACTATTATTTTAATTAGAAAAAAAACCGCGTAGTCGACCCACAAGCTATAACATTTGACATTTCGGAGACCTCACGCAACACAAGCGCCTCTAGCGGCGGTTTCAGACGCGATAGCCCTCATTCCCTTAGCTCCTGAAGCCCTGGGACCCTAATTAGTTGTTGTGTTTCTGTCGGTGAGTAATTTTCCAGGGCTCCACGGGCTAGGATATTTTTATTATATTTTTTGTATTTATATTAATAATATTTTTTGTATCGCAAGAGTTGTAGTAAATATTGGCACGATAAGGAAAAATCTAGGCCAGTCTATAAGCTATGGTGTGCTTCGCTTACCATCAGGGGGGCCATATGCTTCTTTGCAAACCTTTTTAGTTAGACAGTTTAGACCAAGGCCACATTTCTGCTCTCTTATTTTATTTTTCTTTAACAAAGTTTCTACAGCGTTTTTTTTGTGGATATAATACATTAAAATATAAAAACAATCTTAAGGCCCAATTACAGAAACTCATTATGTACACATTAGATACTAACGGCGTTACTATATATCAGTATTTATAACAAAAAATTTTAAAAATTGTATATAAATCATATAATTTACTAACATTAAGATATTAAGATTGGACAAGGGTTTAGGGGATTTGAAAAGGGTTTTCAAGATTTTGTCACATGATAACTTTAAGAAGTGTGTGTGTGTGTGAGCGTGTATGTGTGTGTGTGTGCGTGTATGTGTGAGTGTGTGTGAGTGTATGTGTGTGTGTGTGTACGTGTGTGTGTCTACGTATGTATGTGTGTGTGTGTGTGTCCATGCAGCTACAATGCTATGCCTCGTAACGAGATGGCGGACGCCGCGCCCCGGGCACTACATCATTAAAGTATTTTAGTGTGAGTGCTTGTTATAATAATAAATAAACATTTCCAACACCACCAAAAGGTAGTGTTATTTTAGTGTGGTTTTCTGTAAAGGAGTTGGTCATTGCCATGGTCCAACCTACATTAAAAATTAATTATTTAATATAAACAAACCTTTTGTCCGAGTGCTGGTTTCTTGCCCTTGACTTTGTCCACGTGCTGGCGTTGTATGTAAGCTGTAGTTTCGTCAAATACGTGACCCTCAATACCATTATCCAACGGCTACAAAACAAGAAAAATTAATTTATTAGGCTGTTCGTGAAAAATAGGGGTACAGGCCTTCCCTATGGATGGAATAGGGAAATTGGGCCATGACCCACCACGCGGATCCAGTGCGGATTAGCGGGTGCTAACGACTGTAGATGCAGCCGGGACCAACGGCTTAACGTGCCTTCCGAAGCACGGAGGAACTGGAGATAGAAGATTTTTTGGTCACCCATCCAATGACCGACCACTGCGAAAGTTGCTTAACTTCAACGATCGCGGCCGAACGCGCTAACTACGCACGCCATCGAGCACCTCGGTAGCGTGTTTACTGTTGTGAAAATAGAAAAAACAATTGATAATTTATCTAACAATTTAAGAAGCAGAAAAATGATTTTGATCTGTTTTCACGTGATCAAAAAGGCTAGGATTGGCATTCCAAATTGAGTCTTAAACTTACAACTTGCAATATCAGTCGGACAATTATCATGTTGAATGCCACATTTTAACAAATTATTCTTCAAAAAGGTAGAAGTTACAGTTTTTTAATTAAACCGGTGTAAACCGCTTCGTTACGTAACGCGTTACGGCGCCAGTCTTTTGTTTTGGGAAACTACAAATAATTAATAAAGTTATCACTTCTGTCTTGCGTCCCGAGACGCACACGCTTTTTCAGTTGAATTATATAATTAAGGAACTTGACAGTGGCTATGAATAAGATTTTCTTTTTTAATTAAATATTATAGCTCGCCTGATGGTAGGCGCCCCTCAATAGCTTACAAACTAATATGTTTTCTTACTTTTGGTTAGTTAGGTACTGTAGTAATATTAGTTTGTAATGTTTGTATACTCTATGGTCTGTATGTCATCTACCTATGATTAGTCAATCTATGGATATATATAGAAAAAAATACTTGTGGCACTCGAGGACTGCCGCGGTAAAGCTATTGCATAGCATTTTTTATCAACTTACGCAATTATAATTATTTATTTATTAATTTCATTTATGCGGTATTTCTTTCTTTGATATTAATTCAAGCAGCTATTCACTGTTGTACATAGATGATAGATACCTGTACATCTATATACTTTCTCACAAACAGCTGCTTACGTATTCGTCCGATTTCGGAGCAGCTCGTCTCGATCCGTGCGAACTTCGTACAATCGTACCATATACATGCACGTTAAGGTTCAACTAGTCGCGGGCTCGAACTCACTCGTGGACGCGGCCAAAAAGCACGCTATCTCACCTAGCATTGTGTCTAAAAGAGATAGAATCAGTTATGAGCAGTTAGCAGCTAGTCTACACGCATACGTCTAGTCGCAAGCGCACAAACACCGTGCTGAAGTCTGACGAACTAAAACGACGTTAGACGATGCACGGCTTTCAACGCCGCACCGCTGTGCCGGTCGGAGGGGGGGGTGTTAGGTTTATTTCCGTTACGGAATATCTTGATTCGGTCGCCGCGCTTCAAGCCCGCGATAAAAGCTATGCAATAGCTTAAAAGATGGCTAGGGATTGAAATTATAATCTTAAAGATAAATATAACATTACTATTAAACGATTACGATACTAGAGTATCACTAACGCTTTGGTTATTCGACCAATCCATTACTCTTAAAGTCGGCACTTGTCTATTCAGCCATCAGTATCAGTAGCACGATCTTTTTGACATTTAACGCATATCGAGATCGAATTTAACTAGTCGAATTCGATATTGGTTCGTGTTTAGGGTACTGATGATGAAATGATTTTTTGTTTAGAGTACTGATGATGAAATGATGATGAGTTTTTTTTTTGCCTAAACAGTTGACCACGGCATTCCTAAACTTTGTTAAACCAAGTTTTTATATAGTCATAATTTTTATATTATTTGCTTTTGTAATGGAAAGTGACTTTATGAGTTACCTCATATTGAACAAACAGGGAGAAAAACGGTTCTTCTCAGTACAAGGTCTCCCGCCGTAGATTTGCAAACCGATGGCGTAGCTTTTCGACATTCTCAAGTGCTTGTAACAGCCTAGACTGAATAAACGATATTGAATTGAATTTTTTGAATGTTATAGTTACCTTATCGACGGTGAAGAAGACCGGTGTAGCGGGCGTTAAGTGCGTCGGTTTCCTTCTAGGCGCTGCGTTTTGTAACGCACTCAGTTCATTACTCAAACTCAGTATACACGACTCGGGGGAAGGCGTGAGGGACTTCACACAGCACCATGTCAGCGATCCCGCCTCTAAGAAACGATTTTTGAAGTTTACTCCTTAAGAATCGATTTGCATATATAAGGGGCCCGGTATGAGAAAAATGTGAGGAGTGAGTCTATCGATGAATGACCTCGTTACGTTTTTACTGTCTACGCTGTAGCAGCCGCAGTGCTACACCGTAGCACAGTATCGTAGAGTACCTTTATTGCCTACGACGACAAAGAAACCGCGTCATTCGTTGAACACAAAACCATTGAGCTTTAGAAGTAAACGTGGAAATGGCATTTACAGTATCAATCTTTTTTAAGTTAAATACTCTTTTTGCGTCTGGTTAGACTATCTAATTTAAGGAGTAACTCCAGTCGTGCGTCGGAGCTGACACACACAATATTTTTATTTTGTTTTTGTGATTGTGATAAAAACAGAAGACGACTTTCTTGGCCGAGTGGGGTTCATGATGTTCCGGGTTCGAATCCTGGTGGGGGCAGATGTTTGTGTTATGAATAGAGCATTTGTACTCCAGTCATAGAGTACAATTAATATGTATTTTTGTATAAATATACTTAAATATGTATTTGTCTGTGTATTCGATGCGTTACCCTAGCATCCCATAACACAAGCCTACAGTGCTTATTTTGAGGCTACGTAATTTGTGTAAGTGTTGGAAATATTAAATTCTTATTTACTTATAATAGAAATCAGTTACATTTATTACACACTGCAATACTGGCACACGTTTTATATGACCGTCCGAACAAATTATAAACAATGTCAATACTATAACTCAAAGTGCATGCATTGTAATAATTTCTATATCTTGGGAGTTATAGTTACCAAGTTCTATTTCAGGATTAGTGTTTTTCTTTGGCAAGAATGGTCGAGTGTTAGCAATCCCAATGTCCATCACAAACCCATGGTCTTCTACTGATGACACTGCTGCTTGCAAAAGATCTCCTTAAATCACAAATAATACAAAATTATCGTATTAATGATAAATTATAAAAAACATAATAACTGATGACAGTTACCAAATTTCTTTGTACACGTTATATCTATCTATGGTTATATATGTTTTGGTTCCACAAAATAATAACCATATATTAATTAGTCAACAGCTACTAGTATTCAGAAAAAACAAACGGCAGCAGGCAACCACTTATGATTTGCCCTCCCACTCCGCAGTTCTTGACCTGTCCAAATTTTCTTTTAAATGTAATTGTATATTGAGATGTAATTTAATTAGTTTTTATGTATCATAATTATTACTATTTATCATTATTTTGTCGTTGGCATGCTATGATCTTTGTGGTTGAAATAAATGAATTATTATTATTATTATTTGTGTTTTTCTCTGTTGTGGGGGCTTGCAGTGCCTTAAATCTGGTGCTGTCTAGTATAAAGACTAAAATATTACCTTTTTGCAGATCCGTGTGCACTCTACCACTGGAGATATGTTGAGGCATCATGGAGAGCATCAGCTTGGTGCCGTCCACTTCCAGCACCTTCACAATGACATACTGCCCCAGTCTGAACATCTCGGGTAGTTCTTTAATTTTTTCTACCTGTTTAAAAAGTAATAAAACAAAAAGTACTATTTTTAGTGGCCCTGATGGACATGTTGAATTCTTTCTCGCCTTTCCTAAGCTGCAAGGCAGCTCCATCTCTTCACATTGTAGGTAACCCACAATGTCAAATGAATACTTTTACAAGTATTCTTATTATATTGTTAAATATTCAATCATTTTAAATTAAACAAGCAATAATTTACCTCATCGTTTACATAGGCTTCCAGCAGTTTATTGTATGCCTCAGAGACATGGCAGGCCATTACTGTTCCTGTCATATTTCCTGGTAAGCATACAGTTATTTTGGTTTCTTGCACCTGCTTCACTCTTCCTAATATCACTACATCTTTTTTTATTGTCTGGAATAGAAATCATCCAAGGTTTAGTTTCATTATATTATAACATAAATATAGTAACATGTGTATTAGTTTTTTGGAGTTTACTCCTTAAGAATCGATTTGCATATATAAGGGGCCCGGTATGAGAAAAATGTGAGGAGTAAAATTTATCTAATTTATGACCTTGTTACGTTTTTGGTGCGCATCCTATGTCGCGCAACTTTGACAAACAAAGATGACGGATTGACATTAATATTTTTTTTTAAATCTGAACTGAATTTAGATATTGTTTCTGATAGAGCAATGGGGAAAACGAGGTATGGTACAACCATTGATGCGGTATTTTCAAGATTCATGAACCACGTATCTATGAACGTCCATGTGTCTTATTTTAGTTACCATAAACCACTTGTCACTGTAATTAATAATGCAGACAATGTTGATTTAATTAATATTTAAAAAAATGATAATAGTCTGATAATAATAATTACTTAATTTATCAACATTCCTTATGATATATTTATGCACATCTGAAATTGACTATTGTAAAAAGTTGAATGTAAAATATTTCATTGATTAGTTATAATAGATGTATATTTTATGAAATGAATAAATATATATTTATATTATTTTCATTAATTTGTTAATTTACCTTTTCATACAGTATTAATCTTTTTTAAGTTAAATAAACTCTTTTTGCGTCTGGTTAGACTATCGAACTTAAGGAGTAAACTCCAGTCGTGCGTCGGAGCTGACACGCACAATTTTTTTTTTGTAAAATGTACATACTTTATAACCCAGTCTTGAAGCACAGTTTTTATAAGCTCTATCAACAGGGATGTTGTCATCAGATAAATAGCCATCGTCAGCATCAGATTTCTTCTTCTGCTTCTTCTTTTTCCTTTCCCCTTTCTCAGCAGCTCCTAAAAACTATTAGTAAACAGTGTTAAAATTATATCCTTCTGCTATTTCTACTTCACATTTCATAACTTAATTAGTAAATACTAACGTTTCCACTTTGTTTGAAATAGGTTATCGTCGGCTTCTTCCCACCTCGAGGAAAATATTCTTCAGTATCTGCCATTTCTGCAAATAACTACGTATTTTAGATTTAAGAATGAAAACCTACGTCTTTTATTTTATGGAGTAAACACAGATGAAGGCGACACATGAGATTTTTGAGGTTATGTGCGTTTGTTTTAGCACCCAGTGACATTGACAGATAATAGAGTAACTAAAGTTGTCCTTGTTTCAATTATGGTAGCTTGAGTTGTAAAACTCCTAAGTCTTATTTAAATCAAAAATGTTCTTTATTAACTGGGGGAGAAAAAAGAGCAAAACGCGTGGGAGTTGTTGAGTTGTTTGCGTAATGTGCGTAATAAAATAAATTGGTGTTGATTTTGGCATGATTCTTTAAATCTAAAGTTATTTATTTATTTATTTATTCATTCATTGCATATCACATTCACAAAAATAAGGTGGTACAAAACAAATTCAGTAACTATGTGACGCCCTGCAAGGGCACAGCAACTTTAGAGGGTTATTGGTATCGATTCTGACACGATTCTCTAAACTTAAAACTAAATTTAACATCAGTCTCTCCTTTTCATTCTGTATGGAGAATGACAAGGATACACTGTTGTCAAATTTACGTTTAGGTTTAGAGAATCATGCCAGAATCGACACCATTATCTATTTAAAATATATTATTATACAATTGCACAATAAAATTTATAAATTAAGTTTTAATCATTCCTTACATACATTATTGGTGTTTGGTGTCAATTCTGGCATGACTCTCCAACCCAAACCTAAATTTGACGACAGTGTATCCTTATCATTCCCAATACATAATGAAAAAGTTTAGAGAATCATGCTAGAATCGACACCATGAATTCATTAAAATATTGTTATTTATTCTTCATTTAAATTCATTCATTATAAATTAAATTCTTAAGAGTCCGAAGCATTCCATTGGCTGGGTGATTTGTCATAGAAAAATTCATTTAAGTCATAATAACATTTGGCAATAAGAAAGGCTTTTAAATGTTTGATAAATTGTGTCGGTGTGTCATAGTTTTTACCCGGCTGCGCAATGCAAGAGCGCGAAGCGCGACGCGCAGACAGGGTTATGTGTTTAACAGTCTATATATGTATGTTTGTTCCTTTGTGGCACACTAGAGACCAAACGCCTGGACCGATTTTGATGATTCATACATCAATCGATTCGTCTCAATCATGGGAGTGCTACTAAAGATATGATAGTAATCAAAATTCAATATGGGCAAAATTAGGCGCCATATTGTGACGAAGTAAAAAAAATAAGTTGACAAAATATGTCGAGTGGGGTATCATTGTCTAGATAATCAAAAATCATATTTAGGTTCCTAACACCATTTTTCATTTTATGAGATTGTTTAGGATTTACAACGCTTTAAAGTTGTATATTAACCAATTACGCTTTTAATTTCAATCTTACGTTTATATGGATCTTTGTTACTCTTTCACCTAAAAAATACTGAATGGATTTTAATGAAACTTAACAGTAATATAGTTCATATATGATAATTACATATACATATATAATAATTTATGTAGTTATTGAGTGAATTGGCCAATGTATAACAATAAGTGTCACATAAGACGGAAAAAAATCTCCCATCTGCGAGCCATTTTGGCCTGCACTGCAAAAATAATAAAAGTTATATGAATGTAATGTACAGTGAAAATGTATCTCTTAAATAGTTCTAAAAAAAAGTCCGTGACACCATATATCTATTTTTAATGTGTGAGTCATTACCGCTAAAATAGTGAATCAAAACTAAAACATTATTTGATATCTATTTCCAAAATGCACATTTTGATTAACAAATCATATTTTATCAAAACAAATACTTTTATCGCTTTTGATATTTAAAGGCGATAAACTTTGCTTTTTACACTATGTCATTTCAACAAATATTTAAAAAGTTACAACGATGACAAAGTGATAGCGCGGTGTACTATGTAAGAGAAAAAAAATGGGGTATTCGCAGTATCTGATCCTATACGAAGTACTAACAATAAAACTGTGATACGGTTCCTTCTTATTAAATGATGAAAAATATATTATCATAATAGGTATTTATGATTATTGAATTTTAATGAAAAACTCAGAATTTTACTGTTTTTCATTTTTTTAACGATATTACTTAATAAACGTCAATAAATAAATAAAATTTCGTGCATTAACCCGTAAAAACTAGTTTTATTTAATGAGTGATGTGCGTGAAAACCTAAGAAACAAAGATATTACTTAATGTTACATAAAAGGTTTACTTAATATAATGACAAATAACCCATTTTTCGCTAGTAAATACATACTTATTGTAATCCCTGTATTTATTAATCAGCTCGCGATAATATTGGTTTTGTAATAATTCTGCAAAATTCAAAGTAAATAATGTAGATTTTTATAGGTAAATCACTCCTTTCATCACCCTACGCCTATAAGTATTGCGATGTTGTAGCTAAGAACCAAGTTCCCATCTACTTCTATATGGGAATTCATTATATTCGATTTAGCTATTAGGGCACGGAAGCGCAACAAACAAACTCACTTTCGCATCTATAATATTATATTATACTTACTAGTGATCCCCACCCGGGCATTGTACGGGCGAAATTTATTTATCGGGATAAAATATGTCACTCGGACAAAATGTATTTAAATAAAGAAAAATGTTATATTAAATAATGTAGCTACCTTATGATGAATTAATATTTGAAACCGGTTCAGTAGTTTGACAGATTAATTGTTACAAACATACAAATCTTGCCTCTTTATAATATTAGTATAGATAGTTAGGATAAGATAAGTATTTAATTGATGAAAAAGATTTAAAAATAAAGTTAGTAATAGGTTTATTTGATTATATTTGTAAAAGTTACTTAGCATTTGTGCTTAACAGTGAAACGTCACTCGGTATTTTTTTAAACAAAAAAAATTTGGAAAATAATTGCCATGATTGCACTACTGGGAGTACTCTTCATTCGAGCTTTACACTACCAATAAAAAAGGGTCGAACACAAAGTCTTTGACCTGTTAAATGTGAACGCTTTAAAAGAAAACTACAAAGAGAACTATAAATTGATAATAAATGAGATTGCTATGGTGTTCTACCTAACGTTATGAAAATTTTATTATGCGCCTTTACTTTAATCAAATATTATAAACTTTGCTTTGGTGATTGCATAATTATTTAATTTAGTGATCTAAGGCAGTTGCCACCATTGCCCAAAACAACAGACGGGAATTACTGCTTTCTTCAACCTGCGACATAAACGTCATTGATTGGTATTTTAAATAGGGTGATTAAAAACATTTGAAGTTAACTTCTGGCATCTACATATTAGGTTTCTGTGAATTATGTAGGTATATCAAATTATGAGAATAGGGCAGTCCCTATTCTCTGAATTTGTGTATATCATAATCTTAGACGTCCGGCATTGACATGACAATGCAGCCACTGCCAATTTTAAATAGTCGACGAATAAAAGTAAATGAATTTTATATTTACTGCTAAACTATTAAAAAAAACATAAACAAAAGATGACTTTTTGAGTAAGTGCTAGTTAACTATAAAATTTGCATACATTAGAGATATTTATGTAACGACTTGATTTAAGTTCACACATTTTTGCGAAAATTGAGGCCCATCTGTAGCCTTGACCCCGCTGGTAAAGTCTTTATATGTCTTAATAACTCAATCTTTTAGAACGACGCAAGGTACTTAATAATTCCCGCGATATTAATTCCCTTACTGGAGTAACAAGACTACGGTATATACCGTTTTAAAATACTAACTAACTAAAAAGTGTAAAATAAAAAAGGTAAATTTAAAAAATCAAAAAACCCGACTGCTTAATTATACTTCAAATAAAAACTGAAAAGAAAAAAACAAGTCCAGTAGTCTATAATTCTGTTAATAAGGAACAAAGCTACTTTAACAGTCGGGACCCACTGTTGAAAAATATTATGTATTCTTGAATATCTAATGGGTCCCGACTGTTAAAGTAGCTTTGTTCCTTATTAACAGAATTATAGACTACTGGACTTGTTTTTTTCTTTTCAGTTTTTATTTGAAGTATAATTAAGCAGTGGGGTTTTTTGATTTTTTAAATTTACCTTTTTTTTTAAATAGTTAGGAACATGGTTATATATTTTAATCATCATTATATGGGGGCTAAATGCTACTAATTTCATTTTCGATATCGGTAATCTAAATTTATTTAAGTTTCTATTATTCCTTTTATTATTTTTTAGTGGCGAATAAAATTCTGGATGTTTTATAATAAATTTACAAGACTCCAGAATATAGATGGAAGCTAAAGTTAATATATTATACTTTACAAAAAAAGATCTACAGGATTCCATTTGGTCAATGTTAGCCAGTATTCGTATACATTTTTTCTGCAAAACAAACACCTTCCCAACGTTACATGAGTTTCCCCACAATACAATTCCATACGAATGTATTGAATACGCGTACGCATAATAAGCTACAATAGCGGACTGAAAATCGCTAGCACGTTTTAATTGATGGAGTGCGTATATGAAAGATGATAGCTTATTTGTTATTTTTTGGATGTGCTGTTTCCAATTCAAATGTGTGTCTAATTCAATACCCAATAGAGTAGCGGAGCTTACTACATCCAATTTCGTGTCATTGTAACTGTATGATATTTCTAATCCAGACCTTTGATATGGTTTAAATTGGATGATTTTGGTCTTATTAAAGTTAAGTTGCAGGTTATGGGATTCTAGCCAGTTAGTTATTTTTTAAAGACAACACTAGTGCCAATTCTGGCGTGATTCTCTAAACTTAAAACTAATTTTAACATCAGTCTCTCCTTTTCATTCTGTATAGAGAATAACAAGGATATACTGCTATCAAATTTAAGTTTATGTTTAGAGAATCATGCTAGAATCGACACCAGTGTATCCTTGTCATTCTCTATACAGAATGAAAACGAGAGTTTGGTGCCAATTCTGGCGTGATTCTCTAAACTTAAAACTAAATTTTACATCAGTCTCTCCTTTTCATTCTGTATAGAGAATGACAAGGATATACTGCTGTCAAATTTAAGTTTAGGTTTAGAGAATCATGCTAGAATCGACATCACTGATGTTTTTAGTGACTCATGCCAGAATCAACACCTTTGTTTCGTTAAGTTATAGATCGTGAATGATAGAATGTTTGTTTTTTTTATAATATCTTTCGATGTATATTGTTTTGTCAACTTGCTAATTTTATTGTTCAGCAGATGCACTTCATTAAATCTAGTTGAACGTTTACCAGTAATAAAAATACTATTCATTCATTTCATTCGGTTTTGGTCACATCACTATGAATTTCTATCTATTTATTTTTGTCATACATGTGTCATTTCATGCATTTTCTGTTAATTGAATTTTATACTAGAATACTGAATTTTTAGAAATTTAAAATACTTGTATATGATAGGAAACACTATGTACTAGCAGGATTGAAGTGGCAGATCGGATTTGTATCAGAAAACAACATAATTTTCCTTTTTTGTGGGAGCTCCCACTTGCGATAATTAATGATCCAAAATGGAGCGTTCTCGTGTCAACTAATTTTATATATCACACATGGTCAGAGTGGCCACGTACTTTGGCGAAAGAGGATCGTCTGCCTATGTCATCTCCATGTGTATGTACTCTAATTTACCATACTAGAAAACGTGGATTGTTTTTTGAAAAATTAAATTTATGTTAGTTTATAGGTGAGCAGCCAATTCGTTTTTTCTGTCACTGTCATTTACGGCTGCGTTCAAAACTTATGCTTTATGTGCAACTTTTTACCCTAATCGTTTCAACTTTGTATGAAGCATATGTCAACCAACTATGACATTAGCACCGAGTGCGTTGGGTTTTGAACGCAGCGTCGCAGCCAATAGTTTCGTGATTTAATTCTTTTGATATTAACAGCGTCTTTAAAAATTCTTACAACTAAGAATTGGAAACTCGAAAAGCAATAAATTCATTAAGACGTGTAACACCTGCTTACGTAAGCACAGCGAACAAAGTAAGTTGAGTCGTCTTTGCGTGTATGAATATAATTTTAAACTGGTTTACAAGGAAGACCGGTCAAACAAACCTCGTCATGTAATGTAATCAGTTTGATAATATAATAGTAGCGATAAGTTCGTATTCGTAGTGCTTGGCAGCTTGACTTAGTTGTTTTTAAACCAGTCACTGTGACTGGCAAGTTTAATCCTTTTTCTCTAAATTTAAGTATAAAATTTCACATTTTCTTTTAGAAATGAAGTCGGTTGTGATTTTCGGTTCCACTGGCATGACTGGTCTGTGTGCTTTGGAAGCAGCAGTGAAAAAAGGTAAGCGTTGAGTTGGTTTTTTTTTTAATGTTTAACTGTGCTCAAATCTGGATCTAAATTTATAACCTGGTAAATGTATGCTCCCAAAAGAAGACAACCGAGGTACTTACTTTGTTTCACTTAATGAGAAGTAATGTTGTTGAAAATTTTTTTAATTACCTACATGGTAATATTCCCAGAATATCAGTGCTGGTGCGTCACAATGTCACATCAGCCTTGTGACGAGACGATCCTGGTTAGCCCTTAGATTTTACATTGTTTAATTACCTTTAAACTGGTTGTAAACAATAAAACTAGTTTTTACGGGTTAATGCACGAAACTTTATTTATTTATTGACGTTTCGCAGCCTTTCCAGGTCTGCATCGTCAGAATAATGTCATCGTCAGAGTAATTATTCTGACTATGCAGACCTGGAAAGGCTGCGAAACGTCAATAAATAAATAAAGTTTTGTGCATTAACCCGTAAAAACTAGTTTTATTTAATGAGTGATGTGCGTGAAAACCTAAGAAACAAATATGGTTGTAAACAGTTTTAAAGGGTTAATCTACTTTTTTATTTCTTTCTTTACATGAGATTATGTAAACTGCCTCATAAGGTTTTTTAATATTTAATTTTCATGCTCTTCTTCTTCTTCTTTTATGATGGCTTGCGTTGTGACTTAGCACAGCTCCGCCAATGTCAAGTGATTAGCCATTACACGTAAGGGAATGACAGTTAAAAATCAGAATTTTGGTTACCTATTTGTATTGTTGTTCTGTAAGTGTACCTCAAATAAATAAATAGGTATATAAAGTTCGTATTTGTAAAGAAAATTCCATTGGTACTCAAATAACAAGTAACCTATATTTGTCACTTAGTAATCAATTTCTCATATTTCAGTGAAGTCATTGTCAATCAGTAATACAAGTAAATTTGATTTAATGACACTAAAATACCTAACAGTTTTTTTAAGAAGTATTGTTTCAAGTACAACGTCATTGTGATATCATTAGTATTATTTTTATTATGACTATGACTACTAAATTTTTTATATTCATGATCAAAAATTTTAAATCCAATATTTATCAAATTACTCTTTATCTATATTTCAAATGCGTGTAGTCTGCATATTTTTACATCAAATAATAACTATGCATAATAGCTTCTTATTTATTGAAGTACTATAGTCTATCTGATATTCAGGAGTGTATTTACAAAGCCCCGGGCCACTTACAATGTGCACCTCCCCTAGATTTAGTCAATCAAATCAAAATATACAGGTGAGTACGAATTCCTTTAGACAAGCTTCTGCCACCACAGGCCATTACCCTTTTGGCCCTATTATTAATTTATTGAGCACCTCATTATTGTTTTCTTGTAAACCAATACATATAACATTGGTGACGATTCAGGCATGATTCCCTTAAAACCTAATAGGAAATTTAACATCAGTCTCTCCCTTCTGTATAGAGAACGACAAGGTCGATTCTGACAATCATGTCAGAATCGACAGATCGGTTTCAGTGGCATTAATTATCATATGTTATTCACTTAGCATATCACTTTGTTGATGTATAATTGAATATTTATGTTTCATACTTGTTTTAGTGTGTATTAATTTACTTTGATAAGATACATAACATTATGCCTGTCTCCAAGAAAGTAGGTAGGGTAAGGTAGGCATATAATTAAGTCATAGAAATTCCCATGCTTTGCTCTCATCCTATGACAATTAGTGAATGAACTTGAGTCATGAAAATTAGAAATCAAAGGTATAATATTGAAAAACCACCCAGACTGTGTCTTTTTAACCTTTTTTCCATCATATCAGTTCAAACTTCGATCTTTTTTTATAGCTAGGTAGGCAAATGATTATCAGTGGGGTATTCTGGGCCTGATTCTTCAAACCTTAGGAAACTCATGTGATTAATTGCTATTCACCTACTTATTTGGTAATTAACAATATAATTAATTTAATAATATTAGTTTATAACATTTTGTATCAGATAATATTTGACCAGAATAATTAGGTTGCTATGGTATGCTAGTTTTATATTTAATTATGATATGCCAGCTTCCGCCCGCGTTTCGTCTGTGCTGTAGTTAGTTTTTTGAAGATCCCACAGGAGTCTTAATATTAGACGGGATAATAGTATCCTATGTCGCAATTCATCCAGTCTAGGGGGCCAATCGCCTAACGGAAATGCTTTGGAAAACGCTAACGCTTACGATTTTATTTTGTTATTTCTAGCCGCCTGAGGTATTCAAATGCCTCGCGCTCTTTCTTTTTCTTTTGCATTGGTAATAACAATATTAAAAAAAATGAGCGTGAGGTATTCGAAAACCTCAGGCGGCTAGAAATAACAATATAAAATCGTAAGCGTTAGCGTTTCCAAAGCATTTACGTTAGGCGATTGGCCCCAGGTAGTAATGAATTGTCCCAAATTTAATCCAAATCAGTTAAGCTATATTACTTGATTTAGTGAAAAGAAATCAATATAATATTGATAGGATTAATTAATGTGTGACTTTATGAGGTCAGGTAATGTAGTAACAGTAGCCGCATAATTTGAATTCTCTAATGGATATAGCACTCATCATATAGCTAAGTACGTGTGTGTTTAAATAGCTGTTTTATGGCTTTTTTGCTGTTTCCATGTAAGAGTAACACAGATGCGAACTATGAGTAGTACATATTCATGGAATAGGTGTACATAAAGTCGTTTAAATTTTTAGTCGCCCTAATTTCCATAATAGGGATGATGACTAATTTTTTTTTCTTCGTTTATCAGGTAGATTATCAAAAAGTATTGGACACGTATTTTTTCTTTTTTCACATAATATTAACATTGCAAAGATATATCGATTTGAAAAGTCGCATGACGTCACGTTTGAGTACACTTTTATGGGAAAATTCATTCAAAAGTGACGTCACGAGCCCCTACTCCCAAAGGAGAATGGGCAAATCCGCCTAGATTGCGCTTGACGCATTTATGTATCAAAAATCTTCTTCTGAATTATCATTTCATATGTGTGTTTATTATGTAAATATTATGCGGATATTTAAAATAATAAATAAATGGCTATTAAACTGAGTAAATAACCAATAACCATAGATAAAAGTTGTATCACCTGGTCGATAATATCGATCGTAGGAAAAAAAATCGATTATATTTCTTTATTTAAATATTCTTAACATAAAAAAACGAGTGTGCTTCTGACTACACAACTGAAGTGAAACTTCTTTCATTTACTAGCTGTAAGAGAAAAAGAGAAAGAAAATGCGTGCGCGCGCTCTTGCTCCTACACTGTGATACAGACAAAAGGCTTGCACTGTGCTTAGATATACGGAACGTATTTGGCTATGAGAGGAAGAGAGAAAGAAAATGTGCACGCGCACTGCTTTCTCATGCTTACATCGCCCACTCAACTCCCGTTCGCCTCGCCCGATCACACTTTTCTTAACGCTTACGTTCGCTAGCTTACTCCCCAAGTCAAGAGTGCGTAAAGAAGTTTCACTTCAAAAAGAAAAAATAAAACGTTTATTATAATTGAAAGCATAGAACAATTGTAAATAGCCTGAAACATTTTTACCAAACACCGTAAATGACTACGAAATAATGATCATTCGTTAATTCGTAGTCATTTTTTATTTTGAGGTCTTCGATGCGAGTTGTTTGATTTTTGTATGGATCGATGGATAGATTATTTTCCCCAAATCGCCTATTCAGAGGGCCTGGTTTCGAATTCCGGTGAGGCAAATGTTTGTATGATGGATACGAGCATTTTTACCAATATTATATCATGATAAATAACATTAAATTCATAAAGTTATCATTTGTAAGACCTGTGTTGTGACAATGTCACTGTACCTACCAGTGATTGCTCTCTTTCATTGCATCTAAAAACTAAAAGGAACTTAATGGGCTGCGCAAAAGAGGATTTTTTGTCTGAGGACTATTTTGTTCATCAAACAGTAGATTGCATACAAAAACTTTTATATGTGTACTACATATTCACATCTTAGATTAAAAAAGGGAATATATTTTTGTTTAAATTATCAGTTATGTTATATATAATTACTTAATCATATATAAATTAACTCATGGTTTGAACATTTTAAGCATTTGCATTGAAAAATAAAACATTTATTAATCGATTGTGTAGGAATCGATTCCTATAGAATCAAATCGAAATATATACCATAGGCAAGTGAAGTAGGTAGCTGTCAACTTGTTGTCAACGTGTTTGTTGTTTGTTCCGGTGCAGTTTTCAATTTTGAATTGAATTTGTGTTTTCAGTGGTCTATTGTGGCAGAGTAGTTTTAATGTTGAGTTGAGTAATCCTCCGTTAATAACTGTTTTTGGGAAAGAGAGCATTGGACTCGTTGATTTAGTGTTAAGTTACCTTTAGTGATTCTAACAGAGATATTTGGACTCTTAGTTTATTGTAATTATTTTTGTTTACAATGGCATCTGGTGTTACACAAGAAAACGCAGGCAGTATGCAACGACGTTGTATTAACTGTTGTATATCAGTGCCACGACGACAGCCAGTACATTCTTTGGACATGCTATCCAATTCAATGCTTAATGTTTTAAGCTCATGGATCGCACCTGACTCTGTAAGTAATTATTTACTTATATTACTAAAAATATACCGTAATACAATCGCAACCGTGAGATAATGTTTTAATTTCATTCACATGTTCAAATAAATATAAATATTTTTGACTTGTTATAGATATTGAATGGGGGCATAGTGTGCAACGAATGCTTTATGCTACTACAAGCTAGTGATACCACCGAAGAAGTACCTGCACCACAATATGGCTATCAACAAGTCTGTTTTGGTTGTGGAAAATCCATATTAAGAAGTCGATCGTACAGGGTTTCACTACACTGTCCAGAAAGAAATATTATTCTTAAATGGACTCCAGCACATCAGGTATGGTATAAGATATTATTATCAATAATAAATTATTAAAATTGATTTCAATGCTAATTAAAACATGACTGTGACATTATTATTATTATTGCATTGCATGATTGAAATGTTATATTAATAATAATTTATTTAAATTGATTTCAATACTAACTGAAACATGACTGACATTTTTTTTTACATTGCACAATTGTCATGTAGTATATTAATGAAATTGATTATATAATAACTAACTCAATCATGACTATGGTATATAAATAATATATATAGTTTTTAAAGATTGAGTTCTGGATAATACTGCAACTACCTATAAGTATTTGCATGTTGATAAAAGCGACAGGTCATGTTGGTTATATTTTTGAGATCTGTATAATTTACCATATCTTGTCAGATAAATGATTTATTATTATTATTATAAGAAATATATTTCTATTGCATAAAATAGTTGTAGATGGTTTTTCATTAAATTCAAGTTCACTTATCTTTTTTTTATAGGTGTCAAGAATTTCAAGAGTTTGTGCTGCCTGTTGGCAAGCAGCTAATAGGGAAGTGCAAAGGCAACAGTTACATGATGCGAATCGGTCATCAATTGAACAAATTGATGTAGAACCAACAGAGTCTGTACCAGTGATCCCAGTACCACCACCATTTCCCGCTGGTCTATTACCTGTTCAGCGCTCAAGACCTGTTATACCTAAGATACAGTCATCAGTATATAAGCATGCTGTAGCCACTTCGTCGAGTTGTCTGTTTTCAGGATGCCGGGAACAACAATGTTTATTAGTACCCAGAGTAATAAGAGAAATGTTATTAATACATAATAAATTCTATGTTCCCACATGTAGAATATGTCAACATCACTTGAATAATGGGCGTTGGAGTGATTTAACATCAAATCTGCAAGATTTTACTGGTGTACAGTTTGATGCCATTTTGAATATAATGCAGAGAGCAGTTCCCATTGTTTCGACTTTGAAAATATTTCTGCAATGGCTCCTTTCTTATGCCATTATTGGCTGGGAATGAATGCTGAACAGTTTGATGAACTCTTGGCATGTGTACCAAGCTTATTACAGAGTGTCAAAAATCCCCGTTTAGCACTCTGTATTTACATAGTCAAGTTAAGAACTGGGGACAGCAATGAACGATTAAGTTCCCTCTTTCAAATGTCTCGTAGGACCTTGGAGAGAAAAATGAATATAGCTAGAAGTTGTTTAGTTGAAGATTTTGTGTCAAGACATTTGGGCTTTGGTCATGTAACTTTGTAAATGTGGAGCAAGTGGCCAGCAGAAATAAGTAATCCCGGAGGGATTGTTTGGTAATCCAATCTTACCAAATGATATTAAACCCGCTATTGTTATGTGTGACGCAACTTATATATTTATCCACAGCAGCAGCAATTATCGTTTTCAAAAAGAATCATATAGTTTACAAAAATCTGATAATTTAGTTAGGCAATATATAAACCGGGATTAGAGCACGCTTAATGTATAAACTGCTGTGTTAATTGAACTTAGCAGAGCTTTAACTGGTTATTTCAAACTCAACAGGACATGGTGGCGAGTTACAAAAGATATTTTAGGCGAAGTCACTACAGTTCCACTGGATACGGCATAACCCCAAAAATATAAAATAAAAATATCACATTAATAATGTCGATTTGGATAAATGTGTTATCAATAAATGATTATCATTATTAAAATATTTTGTCTTATTTATTTTTGATTCCTAAACCTTAAATAATATTATATCCATTGTTGGGTTAACAGAGCATCAAAGGTGCAGCTTGAGCGTAAAGAGAATAAGTATAAATAGCACTAATATAACCGCACCTCAACAACGCTACATTTATTGAATCTGAGATGTTTGGAATAAATAGAGATAGATAGCAGCTCACCAACGCAACAGTTTACAAATATACGCTGCCCGTTGATAAGATTTTACGAAGTGCATTCAATTTTTGTTTCACTCCCAGTCCAAAATAGAAGACAAAAGGTCACAACCTAATTAAATACAGTTTAAAGTAGTATACCTAGTAATAATTAAGTATGGTATAAATATCGAATTTAATCGAATCTAAATATGGCATAACCTTAAAATGCTTACGTAATTTAATATTTTCTTTAAACCACTACTTAAGTTTCTAATGATATTTTTCCTACGCAATATACACCTGATTCCCTATTGTTGTACACTTATTCCAATAAGACGCAATGAAAAAAACTTAGCCCAACTCCCAAAGTAAAATGACCATTCTCCTTTGACGCGCTATAACTTTGTCATTTTTTGGTTGATTGCCCAAAGAAAAAATAAATGTTCATTATTTTTTGATCATCTAACTGACGGACTAAATAGAATTTCGTTTACTGTACCCCGTCATCATCCCTTTTTAATAGCCATAATCATACACATACAAGCTATTCAGATATTTCGCTCATTCATCGTTTTGCCTTTTTGTTCTGTCCAAAATAACTTTACCTTCATTTGTGTGCGTCACTCATTAAATAAAACAAGTTTCATCGGGTTAGATACACTGATTTTATATAATTATTGACGTTTCGCAGCCTTTGCAGGAATGCGTCGTCAGAATAATAATCAATGCATCTAAACAGTTGAAACTGGTTTTTATTCAACTTTACCTTAAATTATGCATAAATTACATTCCATTCATAATTACATAATCATACAGTGTAAAAATCATTCTGAAATAGCAACTAACTTCAACATATAAAATATTGTCTTTGTTGCATGCAAGTCATTGACCAAGTATAATGTAGATGTAGCTGTCCTAATTCTTATGCAAGTACCTACACATTAGTCAATCTTTTTTATTAAGTCAACATGTTGTCGCTTATTATTTGTTTAAGTTGCCTGGTATCAAGCCTTAGTAACTCTAACTATAAAAGTATTGATACCTTATCTTAATGTTGACGGATTTGTGTACCTATGACAGACATCGATTGTACATAAAAGAAAAGTTTGAGAAGGCACGTCAAGCCGTTAGCCCCGACTGCCAGTGTTACCAACCCTTACCAAAATTTTCCCCTTAGTATTTTTTAAAATCCCCTAAATATAGGTTTTTTTGTGTACCTACTTATTACCTAAATTCTTTCGTTGCTCATAAATTAAAACTTTACATATTTAGTTACAGTAAATTATTTAATTGAATAAATACAGTTTCCGAAAGGAAAATCAAACGAAAATGAGCTGACAGCAGGCTGTTAGTTCAATTAGTCGAATAAAATCATTAGGTTTTTCAACAACCAATCACAGCAGTAGACATGTGATTTAATAGGGTGTCAGTTAATAAACAAGCTTTTATTAGTTTCACCTGTATGTATGTAACTGACTCGTTTGGGATCGAATTTGATCCACTTCCCGGTATCTGATTGAGCTGAAATTTTGTATGCATGTATAAATCGGATGACAATGCAATATTGTTATGACATAGAGCTGATCTGATGACGGAGCTGGAAAGTGGCCATAGGAACTCCGTAATTAAACGACGCAACCCCGTCGAGTTTGGGCTCGTTGGAATCCTTGACGAGTATCTTGGTTGGCTTGAATATGCAACTCCGACAAATTTGGGAAAAAAGTTCGTTCCATTTGTTATGAATGTGGATATTGTCCGAAGTTTTGTTAAAAGCCCCTAAAAATAAACCCCAAAAAATTCCAGCCCCTAAATAAGTCCCTATTAACACTTCTAGCCCCTAAATCTGGGGGCAGAACCCCAAGTTGGGAACCGTGCCGACTGGATCTGCAGTCTTTATCACTCAGCAATACGTGCGGCACTGGCCCCGCGTGATGGGTCATGGTGTATGCTCCCTTTTCCGTCCTTAGGTAAAAGAGTTGTGCTTGAGAAAATCGTTTTGATGATTTCATTTCAACATAGCGGATGCTTTAATAGAAATCTACGCCGAAGTTATTTAGCGATTATGGGTCCTTGTGGACGCTAAAGCAACTTCGCAAACGTTATTGTACAAAACTACTTGGCTGTTATAGATCTATCCCTTTTAGAGCTGCACACAGAGGCGTTAGTTAACTTAAATGCTTCATTGAGTCTCGAATTGTCTCATTTTATTATGTTAACAAATTAAAGAAAGTAGTACAACTGCGAAATGTGTTTAACATCAGTCTCTCCTTTTAACTCCGTATATCGAAAGATAAGGATGCATTGATGTTGAATTTAAGTTAACGTTTAGAGAATTATGCCAGAATCGACACCAGTGTCACACACACAGATGCGGCTTACAGCCTATCTTGTACCTAATGATCGCTCGTGTTTGACCATTCGCTTAAACCGGGTACTCATTAGCGAGCTGAAACCGTAACCGTTGCATGCACTGTAACCAAAAAGCATAGTATGTACGTAGTTCGCTAACCTGCTGCGAGCGGTTCCCGTGCGGTTTACACGAGCTGACCTATACAACTGAGCTACAAGCGTACACACTAGAACCTCGTACTGTATCACATATGTTACGGTTATAGCTCGCTAATGAGCGACTAGTAGCCGCTACCCCGGCCGAGGCCGCAAGCCGCGTCTGTCTGTGAGACACGTGGCCGTGTCCTGGCCTTATTGGCCGCTCATGTTTGACCACGCTTACATTGCCAGCGAAAATAATTGGCCGTGGCCGCTGTTGCCTGCGAGACACTTTATGTCAATAAAATCTACATGACATTGCCAGCCCCAGTACCAGCTGTTTGTTATCTTTATTTTTACTCGGCTATGACCTTCCTTTTTTATTACGCAGGTAATACCTCTCTTTACAGACGTTGGCGCCCTTAAGGGGCACGCCAACGAACGGATCTCACACCTAGCCTCTCGTTAAGTCTCCTGCGAAACGGAGAAGCCGTTCAGCAATCCGTGCAGCTTACGAGCGCTTACGGCATACTATGCGCTAAAAAACCCTGCGAATACCCTCTATACTGTTAAGTGCGGAAGGCTATGACCTGCCTAGCAATTGTTATTTTTTTTCCAGGCTTGTCAGTACGGGCATTCGTCAGAGACCCAGCCAAAGTGCCCGAGAGTCTCAGGGACAAGGTGGAAGTAATCGAAGGCAATGTGTTAGAGCCGGATTCGGTCGCTGAAGCGGTGGAGGGCGTCGACGGCGTGGTAGTCGCCCTCGGCACTCGGAACAACCTGGACCCCACCTCTGACATGTCTGAGGGCACTAAGAACATCATCGATGCGATGCGAGCGAACAATGTGAAGAAGATCTCGGTGTGCTTGTCTGCCTTCCTGTTTTATGATGACGATAAAGTGCCGCCGCGGTTTGCGGCCTTAAATGAGGACCATAAGCGAATGTATCAGGTGTTGAAGGACAGCTCCCTGGACTACGTCGCTGTGTTCCCACCGCACATTGCTGGTAAGTGTATCAAGCTAACTGTGATGTCATGAATGCGAAAGTGAGTTTGTTAACTCTTTCATGTCTAAACCACTGAGTCAATTTTCACTGGTGTGCATGTAAGTATCGCCGCACACGGGCCACCGACCACAGCCACAAAACGCCGCCACCGGCATATTTCTTGTAGTTTTCATACATTTTATATGGACTCGCTCGCCACACACGGTACGCCGGTGGCCGTCACACGCCACAAATTGTCGTTGCTCGCTTCTTGTGGCCCGCACCGACCACTTAATGCGCCGATACAAAACGCCGCCACACGTCACTCGCGCGATTCGCCACCCCTCTCTTCCTTACCTTAGTCGGCCGCTGTCGCGCGTTTCAGCCACTTTAGTAGCCGCTTCTACCTTCTCGTGGCGGAGTTTGTGGTTGTGGCGTGTGGCCCGTGTGCGGCGACACTAAGTGATAATTAAGGCGGGGAAGAATATTAGTTTAGTATAGAGATACATCGATAAATGGGACCTTACGGACAGTAAAAACTACTTTTGTTATGGTGATAAAATTGAAAGGGATGATATTTATGGATAGACTAGCTGTGCCCCGCGACGTTACCCGCGGTTTATTACGGATATTTTCCCACAGTAATACGTAGCCAATGTGTTAATTCCGGTGTCAGCTAACTCCATACCAAAATGTTATTAAAATCGCTCCAGCCGTATAGACTTGAAAAAGTAACAAACGTACACACTCACACAGTCACAAACTTTCGCCTTTATAATATTAGTGTGATGTACCAATTAGCCTCATAGGAAAGTTCTGTGCCTGTGCAACAGCTGTAGTGACATATTTTTTTCAAGTGACAAGATATCGAAATTTTTCCATGTTGTACTGGGAATGCAAGAAAACTTAGAATACACAAGGGGGCCATTCGCCAAACGGGATTGCTTTGGAAAACGCTATCGCTTAGGGGCTGTTCAAGTAACCGTAAGCACTATAGTGTTATGTATGTAGGTATAAGCCAGCAACTGTGTCGCGTCCCTACCAATAAACAGTGCGTGTTTAACCACAGCTTGTTTCACTTGTCTCCGTAAAGATCCAATACACATCATTGGCGACGATTTTTACGATACCCGTATTAGAGAAAAAAAAAAATGTCCGGTTCGTATTTCGGAGTATTGAATACATTTGATCATAATTCCCAAACGTGGGACTCCTATAAAGGAAGGATTTTGCAATATTTTATTGCAAATGACATCGATCAACAAACGGATGCCACAGGAAGAAAAAGGAAAGCGATCCTTCTCAGCGCACTCACCGAGGGTACCTACAAGCTAGTGGTCGACTTATCGTTACCCAAGGACATAGGAAATGTTCCGTTCGAAGACATCATATCTGTTCTGGACGCTCATTTCACTCCCAAACAGATTGGGTTCAGTGAACGACATAACTTTTACTCGGCTACACAACGAGCGGGTGAATCTCACACCCAATGGGCAGCGAGACTGCGAGGTCTGACGTCACGGTGCGGATTTTTGAATGTAGAAGAAGCACTAAGGGATAGATTTATCATGGGAATGCGTCCAGGAATTGAAAAGGAAAAACTGTACGCGCATGACCTTAATGACCTCCAGTTGGCAAAGGTCGTCGAACTGGCAGAGAACTTGAGCAGCGCGCGTGCGGCTGCCGCTGCTGCAGTCAGCACGATCGACGGGCCCGGGATTACGACAGTTCGCGATAGTCCAGTGTTCAAAATTTCAAAAAATCATAATAACCGAAGTGAACAGAAACTTAGATGTGGTGTTTGCGGGTACACAAATCACAAAACGTCTGAATGCAAATTTTCAAATTACGTGTGCAAAAAGTGTCACGAAAAAGGCCATTTACGTAGAATGTGTAAAGTTAAATACGTAATGGATTGCGGTGACCAGGGTGAGGATGGCGAAGGCGATGACGGTAATGTATTTCACATTCATTCAAAGCGTGGTGAACCAATGGTAGAAACTGTGTTTATTAGTAACATGCCATTTAAATTTGAGATTGACAGCGGGTCCGCAGTAACTGTTATTTCCGAGCACTATTACAACAAGAGCTTCAAGAGCCAACCTTTAATAGCTACGCGTAAACAGCTGATGACATACAATAACAGAAATATTGTTTGTATAGGTATGATTCGGGTTCCGGTTTGTTATGCAAACCAAACTCATACATTAGAAATTTACGTAGTTCGTGACGGTGGCCCGCCGCTTTTAGGAAGAGATTTTATATCGAAATTTAGGTTACAGTTATTACCAATAAATTTTTGCCAAGATGACGAAAATTTTATAAAAAGTATACAAGAAAAGTATACGGATTTATTTTCTAATAAGTTAGGAACGTTTAACAAATATAAAGTAAGTTTAAAATTAAAAAATAATAGTAAGCCAGTATTTTTTAAAGCTCGACCGATTGCATTTGCTGTAAGGGATAAAGTTAGTGAAGAAATTAATAGACTGGTCAACTTAGGAATCCTCAAACCCATCCAGTATTCAGAACATGCGTCACCTATAGTACCTGTCTTAAAAAAAGATGGGTCAGTAAGATTGTGCGCGGATTACTCAGTTAGCATTAATAAACAATTACAGATAGAACAATATCCTCTTCCTACTATTAACGAGTTATTTTCTAAGATTAATGGTGGGTGTATATTTTCAAAATTAGATTTGTCTATGGCTTACAATCAGTTGGTTCTGAGTGAAGATGATGATTCACAAAATATAACTTGTATAAATACGCATCGGGGGTTGTTTAAGTTTACTAGGTTAGTTTTCGGATTATCCAGCGCTCCTGCAATATTCCAAAGGGCAATCGAAGGCGTTCTATCCGGGTTAGACGGTGTAATATGCCTATTGGACGAGGTTTTAATAAGCTCGGGTAATAGTCGTATTGAGCACGCAGAAAGGTTAAACGCTGTCCTTAGCCGCTTACAGGATGCAGGTTTAACGCTACAGAAAGATAAGTGTGACTTTTTCAAAGAGGAGGTAAGCTACTTAGGTTATATACTTACGAAAGGAGAGCTTAAAAAGGCGCCTGCAAAGGTGAAAGCCATGATTGATGCTCCTGTCCCTAAAAACGTTAACCAATTACAGTCATTCTTAGGGTTAATCAATTACTATAGGAACTTTATCCCTAATGCATCGTCCATTCTAAGCCCCCTATATGATTTACTGAAAAAGGGCTGTAAATTTCAGTGGTCGAATGTACATGAATATGCATTTAAAAAAATAAAACAATTAATGATCTCCGATCAGGTATTGGCTCATTTCGATTCAAAAGCTAAGATAATTTTAACCGTGGATGCATCTCCCTCGGGTCTCGGCGCAATATTATCACAAGTGAGTACCGATGGGGTGGAGAGGCCAATTTCGTTTGCTTCGCGTACTCTCACCTCGGCAGAGAAACGGTATGCACAAATCCAAAAAGAAGCCACAGTCATTATTTACGGGGTGAGGCGGTTCCACCAATACTTATACGGTAGATCTGAACCATTCGTATTGCGCACAGATCATAAACCATTAATATCTATCTTCGGTCCACATAAAGGGGTACCGGAGTTGTCTGCAAATAGGTTACAGCGCTACGCAATTTTCCTAAGTAGTTATAACTATGTTATTGAGTACGTTCGTAGTGGCGATAACGCTGCAGACTATTTGTCTCGCGCGAGTCTTCCCGAGCCGCCGCCGACGCCAGCCGAAGCTAGGGAACGGTGCGTATGCACCGAATATCACGGTGAGAGGGAGATGGACTGCGACCACGCTACGTACGTTTGTTTCGTTTTGGATGGTAGCTTACCGATAACGTTGGATAGATTGCGTAACGAGACACTCAAAGATACAGTGCTAAAACAGGTTATAGGATATGTAAATAATGGGTGGCCTCCCAAATGTAACAATTTATGTTTAAAGCCATATTATTTGTGTAGATCCGAGTTGTCAGTGGAAAACGGATGTTTAATGAGAGGTCACAAGATTGTAATACCGGAAAATTTATATCAGTTAGTTTTAAGAGAATTACACTCATCTCATTTGGGCGTAGTAAAAACAAAAGCTGAAGCCCGAGCGAGATTGTGGTTCCCAGGCATTGACCAGGCGCTGGAGAATATGATTGCTTTGTGTGACATTTGCATCCAGTTGCGCCCTACACCGCCCCGTGCCCCTATTTGTCCTTGGGAAAACCCAATAGATCCCTTTGATAGGATTCACATAGATTTCTTAGGTCCTATTAAAAATTGTACTTACCTCGTCGTGGTAGATGCGCATTCGAAATGGGTAGAAGTTTATAAAATGAATATGTCAACGTGTTCAACTGCTGTGATCTCTAAACTTTGTGATTTTATGTCTCGCTTCGGAATTCCCAAAACTATAGTTATCTCTAACTATAGTTTTGGGAATTCCGAATTTGGGAGGTCCGATGGAACAGCTTTTTGTTCACGGGAATTTGAAATGTTTTGTAACTCTAATGGTATATGTCACGTCACTACACCGGTGTATCACCCGATGAGTAACGGTCAAGCTGAAAGTTTTGTTAAAATTATAAAAAAGGGTATAAAATCAGCTCTAATGTCATGTAGTAGTGCGAAGGATATTTCACTTACTTTGTTACAGTATCTATTAGACTACCGTAATTCGGTTCACACCACCACGGGTCGGTCCCCCGCTCAATCAGTGTTTGGCCGAAACCTTAGATCTCGATTAGATCTAATGATGCCCAAGCCTTCGTCACCCTTGACACCGTCAATACCCATTGCCACAAAACGATTTCAGTGCTCACATAATCAACAAGAGATAAATAAAAAACATGTCTTTAAGGAAAATGATAATATTTTATATAAGAAATTTAGTAGCAAAACAAAATTTACATGGAATAAAGGAATTATATTAAAAAAGTTAGGTAAAGTTATGTATTTAATTAAAGATAATGTAAGTAACGAGTGTATTAAAGGACATAAGAATCAAATATTTTTGTTTAAAGGGACGATTAACCAAACCAAAAACCAAATTGTACATTTACCTGAGCTATCATCATTACCTTCTCCGCCGCCGCCGCCCACACCGCCGCCGCCGCCCACACCGCCGCCGCCGTCGCCGTCGTCGCCGCAACCGCTCACACCGCCGCCACCTACAGCTGCTGGTCTAATGATACCACAGCAGGATCATGGCTCAAGCTTTACTGACCCTACATTTGCTCCTATCGAACATCGTCCACTTATTCGACGTAGAGGGAGAAGAGAAGAGTTTTATGTGCCGGGGGAAGGTTCACCAGTAAATGATGAGGAGAGTTCGGTGCGACAGGATAGTAGCAGTATGGAGCCTGAATCTCATATTCCAGGACGCCCAGAGGCTGCCACGCCTGAGAGCCCAACATCAGTAGATGACGAGTTCCATGAAGTCGATAGCTCTTAGCCAGGTTCAATCGTCCCAGGGTTGTATTCAATTAGAGGGAGAGATGTTATGTATGTAGGTATAAGCCAGCAACTGTGTCGCGTCCCTACCAATAAACAGTGCGTGTTTAACCACAGCTTGTTTCACTTGTCTCCGTAAAGATCCAATACACACTATAGTATAGGGGGCAGGGGGGTCTTTGCGTTGCTTATTTTTGATGACATGGGGGGCTGTGGGTTCGAGATAGTGATTACGTCAGCATCATGGATTCGGGTGTCATGGACTGAAGATTGTAAAAATTCGAAAGAAGTTGGTTTTGTTCTTAATAGGACCTTACTCAATGTTGAATACTGTGTCAATAAAGTTTGTTTCAATGAATATTATGTGCGTTAAAGTCCTCTATCCTAAGCCTATTTAAGTACTGCTGCTCACGAAGCTCAGGAATGAATAAAAAAAACAGAATACATAAAAGGAAAAATGCATAGGTTTAGAACTTTGCTTACTTTTGCTGGCAATGGGGAGGAGGGGGTAAATAATTGTAATAAATCTGTATTGTTTAATCCCTTTACTCCATATTATCTCAAGGCCCGTTTTAATTTCCTGCATGATACACATGCTCGTGTTTTGAGATCGTCAGAGAACTTAACACTCGAAATTCAAATGCACTCCACGAAATTTATGGACAAGTCATTTGTAGTTCAGGCTGCTCGTTTGTGGAATGCCTTGCCAGAAGCAATCAGAGGTGCTAAAACATTAGCTTGTTTTAAAAGAATGTTAAAAGAACATTACTTGACATTTTAGCAGGTCGTCACATCATCCAAAGTATGATTGAAGTGTTAGTGTCTTTATAAAAAGATGTATTATGTTTATGTATTTGTATTTTATTCTATTTTTTGTTGTACATAATTATTTATAAGTGTTATTAATGGTAGTTGCACTTTGAATGACACCATCTACTTCCCACTCTTTATGTAACAGTCCAGTTAACATACGGTTGCCTGGAAGAAATTGCTTCTAAGCGATAAGGCTGCCGTTTGTACTATTATGTAATAGTTTTAATTAATTGTAATTTAAAATATCATGGTGTACAATAAAGTGATCATTCATTCATTCATTCATTAAATCTGCTTACGTTATACTTGAACGGTCCCTTACCAGAGGCGGCGTATGGCGTGGGCGACGTGGGCCACCGCCTACGGCCTCGCGGTACAAGGCGCCTCGCGCCTCAAAAATTGTTATGAATTGCTTAAAAGCGAATTTCTTTTATCTAATATATAAAATTCTCGTGTCGCGATGTTTGTGGTTAAACTCCTCCGAAACGGCTTTCCCGATTCTCATGAAATTTTGTGTGCATATTGGGTAGGTCTGAGAATCGGACAACATCTATTTTTCATCACCCTAAATGTTAAGGGTAATTCACCCCTAATTTTTTTTTTTAATTTTTGATAAAACTTTTTTTTAATTTTTTTATGATGTAAGTATCATCATACAAAAATACATACATCCCTAAATTTTCAACTTTCTACCACCAACCCCAATTTTTTTATGGCGGTACGAAGTTGGCTGGGTCTGCTAGTTATTTTATAAATTCCGTCTTCAGGTCGCCACAAAACAGGGCCTCGCGAAATCTGTCTTGCCCACATCAAATTTAGGTCTTGCCCCGCCACTGTCGCTTACGATTTCATTTTGTTATTTCTGGCCGCCTGAGGTGTTCAAATGCCTCGCGCTCTTTTTTTTTTCTTTTGCATTGGTAATAACAATGTTAAAGAGAATGAGCGTGAGGTATTTGAAAACATTCCGCGGTCAGAAATAACAAAATGAAATCGTAAGCGACAGCGTTTTCCAAAGCAATCCCGTTAGGCGAATCTCCCCCTGTTATTAATTCTACCGCACAGATACTTAGTAGAATATAATTTACAATCACATAGGTTGTAAAACAGCGGTAAAATAAAGTAGAGTTTGTAAACTCAAACTCATTTATTCAGTCTAGGCTGTTACAAGCTCTTGTGAAAGTCAAACGCTACGCCATCGGTTCGTAAATCTACGGCGAGAGACCTCGTACCGAGAAGAACCGGCAAGAAACTCAGCAAGGACTATTTTTTTTCTCCCTGTTTTGTTTCATACAATGTCGTCAATTGAAGGATGACATCAAAAAGTAAAAACATATGTTGATGTCATATTTCATCACATTAATATTATTAATTAACAATAAGTTAAGTATAACTAACAATTTTCAACCAAATTAGCAAAGTAAAACGACTTAGTCTATTATATTAAGCCCAAGGTGCCTTATCATTTATAAAATCTTTAACTGTATAGTAACCTTTCTTAAGGAGACAAGTTTTTATACGCACTTTAAACTTATTAAAAGGTAAATTTATTATTTCTTTTGGCATTTTATTATAGTAACAGAAGAAAGAAAGATTTCCAATTTCTTATGCCAATTGGTTAACTACCTGTTTAAAACAGTGAAAACAAAATCTGTTTTACGTAGTCAGTAGCCGGTTATGATCATTTTTTTAACTGGTTACGAACGAAGTCTCGTTATTGACTAAATTAGCCAAAAAAGTTATTTTCGGATAGGTACCTGGTTATCGAACTCTGTTATGTTGTTAAATGGTTGTTGATTTGTTACGAACGAATGCGGCTTAACTTTTGTAAGGTCACGTGATTCAAGTCCTTTTTTTTATTTATTTCTTTAGTTATTGAAATCTAAGTGTGTGAAGATGGAAATTATTGATAAATCACACTAATATTATAAAGGCGAAAGTTAGCGAGTGTGTATGTTTGTAACTTCTTCACGTCTTAACGGCTGGAGCGATTTTAAATTAAAATTTGGTATGGAGTTAACCGATACCCTGGATTGACACATGGGCTACGTTTTACTGCGGAAAAATATCTCTAATAAACCGCGGGTAACACCGCGGGGCACAGCTAGTCAAACATACATTAATAGGTACTTAGGGGGCGTCCATAAATTACGTGAGGTGTTTTTTGGATTTTGTGTCCCCCCATCCCCCAATCTCACGTGAGATTTTTCAAAATGTGGGTTTCTTTCGTAAACGCGTTGGATTGTTATTGTAAAAAGAAAAAAAAATGCTTCGTACTTTTATTTACGACTACCTATTTAAGACTAGTAATCAATATTGCTGAGACTGATCTTAAGCATGTACAATCTGGACTAAATGGAGCAAAATAGTATATATTTTTTGTTTCAATCAGAAAAAAATATTGCGTGATATTTGCCGAGACCCCCCCTCTCTCCAACGTAAGATTAGATTGACATTTGACTCGACCCCCTCCCCCCTTAAACATCTCACGTAATTTATGGACGCCCCCTAAACGGCTGGAGCGATTTTATTAAAATTTGGTTATGGAGTTAGTCGACACCCTGGATTAACACATAGGCTACGTTTTACTGCGGGAAAATATCTATTAAATCGCCGGGCACAGCTAGTCAAACATACATTAATAAAAAAAGATTAGGTATTTAGGTATGTTTTGCAGGTAGAAATTCGCTAAAAATAGTCTTCTTGTTTTACCGGACCGGAATCACCGGGCCAATAACTCCTTGCCCTTCTTAACTATATTAGGGGTCGAAGCGGGGATTTATATGGATCGACTCGACCGCGGCAGAAAAACATAAGGAAGGCAACCTTACATCCTGTAAAGTACTCCTACCATATTTGAGCACTCTATGTAGGGCCTAATGACGTAGCCAGAAAAAAAAATTTCAACAGTTGCCCACGACTTTTGGTCGCGACCAAATCGCCAGGTTTTTTAATAGGAGCTACTGGAGAGTTCCTCTACCACTATGCGTTACAAAAACAATCATATTGCAACCGCTTTGCTTTATGCTGTTAGGTTTCATAAAATAATTGAATCATGTCTCGTCTTCCTCAGAGGAGCCCAGCAGGGAGATCGTTGTACAAGTGAACCCCAAAACTTCACCAGGCCGCTCCATCTCCAAATGGGACCTCGGATCATTCCTGGTAGATTCCCTCAGCGAATCCAAGTACTACAAGTCTGTCATTGGCATCGCCAACCCACCAAAGCAATAATACAACTTAATTACTGTTTAAGGGTTATAGGATAAAATTAACGGGGAAACCCTTAGTAATAAACAAGGAGTAAGCTAAGAGTAGTTACGCCGTGTTCTGTTAATGTCACTTAAACGCCATTTATCATTGAACAGAGACAAATCATGGAGTAGCTAATCCAAGCTTATACTTCGTTTATTAATAAGGAGGTTCAAGTTTATATTCATTGCCATGTTTAAAAACGCACATTTGTAATCGGTGACTGAATGAATACCTCGTATATTAAGAATATATAAGGTTGTTTAATTATTAGGTTGTGCAGTTAACTATAGTTATTGTTGTTGAATAAAAATAAAATTCGTTTTATACAAGTTACTTTGTTTTTTTTATTCACATGGTAAACACATTTGTTACTTTATAAATTGCTTCTCAACTCCAGTCCAGCAGAGAGATCTTATGTTTGCAAGGCAAATGTTTTTAAAAGGTGTAATGTGGTTATTTTCACTTGAGATTTGCGATATAGGCGATGGGATGAACGACTCCCTGCTTACTTTACGTAAGGCTGGAGACGCCAGACTACTGGGATAGACATCTGAGAATATATCTGTATCCGAGATCGTTTCAGGACTCCAAGGATACTTCACTTTGATGATGCGCGAATCAGAGTTCTGCAAACCTGGACTATGGAAGGATTGTATCGTCCAAGAGCTGAAAGTGTCTGAACTTGGATTTCTCTTAGGTGAAGGCGTGACGTTGTCGCTGGATTTTATGGAATAAAGATTCAGCAGCGTGATGCTAGTCTTAGTATCAGTGTAAATATCAGGACTGGGTATTCCATACGTGGTTGAGGAGTTGGGTTGAATGCTCGATGCGTACAATGAGTCTAAGCTGCCTGTGTATGAGGAGAATGTAGAAGATTCTTCACTGTCTTCAACAGGGAGGTTTTCGTCGATACGTTCGCTCCAAGATTCCGTACTCCAGGGCGTGGTGATCATACTCAGGGTGTCGTCATTGTGCGATGAATTATACGAGAAAGCTCCTTTTACTGTTGTCGTGCTTTGAGTTTTACTACAGGTCGAGTTGATGACGATACTTTTCGATCTCTCATCGCTTTGTGCACACGATTGCGTTTGCTTAGGATTGGAAGTCATAGTGGAGGACACGCATGATCAAGCTGTATGGATCTTCGACATCAAAGCGATAGGATAACAGTCAGCAGCAATTTGTATTAACCACCTGTACTCTTGCATGGAAGTCACGAAGGTCTCCAGGTAATCTAAAGGGTTCATCGTTGATTGTTCTGATGTCGTCCGTAGGTCAATGCTATTATTAACTCGTTAATTGATTCAGAACATTCTTTGAATGTTCTAATAATAATTCAGAACTGCTGTGTGTTTCCATGTAGATATTTTTTTCTCGTTTAATGTATTTTTTTTTGTTACTGTTGTTTGAAATTAGTCAAACTCGACTCATTATTAGTATTTTTTTATTTTGATAAACTTGACGTCGTTTTGACGCAACCGTATTTTTTTTTCTAATAATTATAATTATGCGGGCCTGCCAGTTGTAAACAATACTTCGACTATAGAGATATTAATTTATGGCTTTGACTAAATCGGATTTAGGTATAGATGTATTATTTTATTAATAATTCTATGGTTAGATTCGAATTTGCAATTAAAAGATACTGAAAGTCTAAATAAATATTTCGGGACATATTATTCGCTGCGATGGCGAATCTTGGGCGAGAATCGAATCCTGCAAGTCCTGTAAGCTATAACTGCTTACCATTGTGCTATTATGGATAAATAACGTAGGCAAGTATGAGCTAGCTATACTTTGATATTTACTTAATCACAGATGTCCATACTTTCAATATTTACTAATATTCAAGCATTCCCAATTTTTATCACTGCTTGCTGTAGAGAAAAAAAATATTTGTTGCTGCTCAGTTAAGTAAAAAAGTGTGAAAAGTTTGTATGCGCCACACTCATCAGGCAAAAACTGAATTGACTGAACAGATTTAGATGAAATTTGGCAATTTCTGAATCCAGGTAATAAACTGTGAGGTATTACATGAATTCAGACATAGGAAAGATACTTTTTAATCAAGAAAATATAGATTAACCCGTACGGAGCCGCGGGCGGTCGCTATATCCTCATAAATACGATGTTAAGAATGCTAGTTGATTTAATTAGTGAACAAATCGAGTCATCCTACGGCCTTGTGACAAAGTTATTCATGAATTGGGTAAATTAATTGAAACCATGTATTAAGAAACATTGTCGTTACATTTATTTACAAAACTTAACAGTACTCGGCAATTGTACATATAGTTAAATGTAGTTTTTATAAGTACCTACACAACGCAACAAGTTTCTAGCTCTATATAAATTTCACAACTAGCAACCGGTCCTGTCCCTGTATGAGCCTGCATGAGCACAATTTACATTATATTACGGTTTTTATCGCGTGTAACTGTCAAACTAGTAGGCGATGACGAGGTGACTAAATACCTCGAGCCTCTTCAATTTCGCCGTGACGTGGCGTCACTAAGCGCGTTCTATCGTCTGCACCACGGCGAGTGTTCTGAGGAGTTATTCTCTCTTATTCCACCTTCCCCTTTCCTTCAGAAAACCACGCGCGCTGGCCTTCGGTGTCACCGTCTAACTGTGGCCACAATTCCAACGCGTACAAAGAAAGGACAATGGCGAACTCCCATACAATTTTTTGTTGAAATTTTTTCTTGCGTCTATTAAAAATATATAAACAAACATTATGACACTATTAACAAATATTTCCTCCAAAGGGGCAAACAAATTTTTCCATTAATTAGGCGACTGCGTAAGTGTTTACTTATAACGGGAAGCGAATGTAATGTTAAATCGCTTATATTGTCATTAACATACCACATACGAGGAGCTCGATGGCGCAAGTGGTTAGCGCGTTCGACTGCAATAGTTGAACTTAAGCAACTTTCGCAGGGGTCGGTCATTGGATGGGTGACCAAATATTACTATCTCGAGCTCCTCCGTGCTTCGGAAGGCATGTTAAGCCGTTGATCCCGGCTGCATCTGCATTCGTTAGCACCCACCAATCCGCAAAACAAAAAAAATACATGATAATAAATATTTGATTTAAATGCCATTATTCCTTGTTTTATGTTTATTCATTAACCGACTAACGAATAAAATAATTTATACGTCAATCGAATAATTTTCCTTTGAATAAAACAAATTATTTATTATTCGTGAATAACGAAATAGCAAATTATTCATTCGTTATTCGTCATTCGAATATTTACATATATCTAATTTTCGAGGAGGAAATCGTCGAGAGCCAAACCTCGAATTTAGCAATTTTTATATATGCAATTTTCAGCGTCAACTACTGTTGTCCCTATCACACGGTATTTGCCAAAGCGTGACAGCAATAGTTTTTTCAAATATCTATTTCTCAAATGTCTCCCAGCTCGCGTCCGCTCTTAAGTAGCGCAGCTCAACGCCAAAAGGAGATTTACACGTGGAAGATAAGGCCCGTATTAAAGAATCTCTTATCTATTAGACAAGTCCGTCCGTCTGTCTGTGGTGCTGTTTCAGCGGCCAAACCGTAAGAGTTAGATAAAGAGAATGTTTAAGTTATAAGTTAAGAATAGTCGGATAAGACTACAAACCGGATTTGAGTAACGTAGCACTTCCGGTTTTCGAGAAATCACGAATTTCAAACGAAACCACACAATATCTCCGTAGTTCTCAATTAATTAAATACATTTTTTTTTTAAATCAGGTTTTGGTGAACATTTGGTTCACTGGTTTGCTAGTGACAACTAAGTGTTGATCTTTACTTGAGTACAGTTAGAAAGGGATGTCGCTATGTGCTATATATAGCGACATCCCTTTCTAACTATGCTCAAGACTAGATCAATCACTGAGAATCTTTCTATAATACGGGCCTTAGTTAACAGTTCTGCTTATGCCAATTGGCTAAGTTTAGAGTCTTTTTGTTTGAGTAATTCCATGTCCAGGAACGCTCTGCCCAGTTCTCCCGTGCGGAACGCTTTAATCATGGTGCGGGCGACTTCCACCAGGTCTGGCACCTCCCTCATACGACCGTCGAAGTCCCGAGTTCGTCTCACTCGGTTGAATTTTATCGCACCTGCTAGCAGTACCTGTGAATACCATAGATAAATTAGATATATATGATCTTAATAGGGTATTTGACAGTATTAAAAATAAAGTGCCAATTGTTAGCATCTGTATTTAGAATGAATATTAGCAGGAGTTTTTACTATTTTTACAGAAAAATTATTCATAATTTTACTAAAAACCCACGATAAAGATAATAGTTTTCTTGTCTATTGTCACGTGGCCCAAAATGCTTTGGATTGGTGGAGCCTAAAATGATGTCACACGCAAGTAAACTTCCGGTTAAAGTGACATTTGATTGTATGGTTTGACGTTTTGATGACAGTCGTGTGACGTCACACACCAGTGAGCCGCCATGTTGTCCAGAGATATGTTTTCCGCGGTTATATTATATTAGTTTTTTTACCGAAATACACAATATAATGATGAATATCCTTATTATGGACTCCATAAACATTAGTGAATAACGTGAGATCGTTTTCTAAAACTTGTCAAATACCCTATTGGTCGTTGATTTTTTGAAGTTAGAAGAAGGTAAGCAACTTTTTTAACTGATTCAATGCGGTGCCCATTTTTTTAACTTTTCTCTGTGGCTATAAATTTTCTATGACACAACAGGTCAGTGTCAGGCGCCACAGAAGTTGATGGCCATTAAATACCCTAGATACACCAACACGAACAAAATCGTGTCTGAAACTTGTCCAAAAGGTACATTGGACGATCCACGGAGCTTCGTAAGATGATCGCGTAGATAGGGGGCATACGAGCAGACGGCTCACCTGATGGTAAGTGATCACCGTCGCCCATAGACACTTGCAACACCAGGAGTATCATAAATGCGATGCCGGCCTTTAAGGAAGGAGTACGCTCTTTTTTTGAAGGTGTTTGGGTCGTATTGGTCCGGAAACACTGCTGGCGACAATATATTCCACAGTTTTGTCGTACGTGGTAAAAAATCACGGTTGTGGATAGCCACGCATCAAGATGATGGGGATGAAATTTTTGTCGCGATGTACTATGGCGATGCAGCAGCTGGAATGAATCCGAACAATTCCTCAGAACACTCCCCGAAGCTACATCCCTACGCAAAGCCAAAGGTTCAAGCTGATCGGAAAGGTCCTGGTCGTCGACGATTCGAGCCGCTCGGCGCTGGATGCGATCCAAAGGGAGAACTGGTACTGGTAGGCTGGTACTGGGGTGCCCCCGCCCAAAGATGAGAGCAGTACTCCATGTGAGGCCGAACCTGTGCCTTAAAAAGTTGCAGTCGGTGGGCCGGTGTGAAGTACATTCTCGATCTATTGAGCACACCAAGCTTCTTGGAGGCCAATTTGGCCTTGCCCTCTAAATCATCCCGAAACTAGACGTCGCTCGATATGTAAACGCCAAGAATTCCAATACTAGCTGAGGCAGTTAGAGGAGTGTTCTCAAAAAAATGTGTCCCAATCAAGAAGTGCTTGAACACCACTCAAGCACTTCTTGGTTCACAGTCACGCGCGGACCATTGCAAAGTAAAGATGCCGCAAAGCTCCGTGAAAAAATACGAAAACACTTATAGTACGTTAAATGTCGTTTTTTCGATAGCTATTTAATCAATGTTTGTTAAATTAACGCATTTGAAGTAAATTTTGTTGTAATACTTACTATAAACTGATTTAGAAAATATTTGTGATATTCAAATGCATGGTCGCTAATATAGCCGTCTCTTTTCCTCGCGGTCCGTAACTGCTAACAGCACATTCAGAATTGCGCTTAGAGACAAAGGTATAAGGTCTATATTCTTCCGCGTAAAGCAATAAGTCGTAAAATTTTACGAGCTTGCATTTCGAACTGTCGTATCTCGTTTGACGCATGCGTTTTGATTAAGACCTTATACAGTACGCATTAAAGGTGACTTTCAATGTTTCAATAATGCCTCATATTGTTGTTGACCACGCGATCATCTTACGGAGCTACGTGGATCGTTCAATGTACCTTTTAGACAGGTTTCGGCCACGATTTTGTTCGTGTTGGTGTATCTAGGGTATTTAATATCGTTGCTCTCTAGTACCAACAGTATCTAAGTAAAACCTCAAATAGAATCAATGGACAGACAGATAGACAGATATCACGAAACTATAAGGGTTTCTTGTCTATGGAACCCTAAAATAACACATGAAACATTAACAAAATCTTTATTTGAGTTGAATAGAAAAAGCACTTAGATGGTGGAAACTCCAGGCCCTTTGCTCATCATTGTTTTGCATCATGAAAAGGGTAGTATGCAAGAATTGCAATTTGTTGTTTGAGACAAAGCTATTTTATAAATAACTCACCTTATTGATATCATCACAAGGCTCTTCAAGGCCCATGTAGTCGACATACTTGAACTTTGCATGTTTGTTTAACCAGTACAATAGGTAGTCCGCTATGGCCTCTTCTCCTACTAAGTGATCCTGCAGAGATGCACACAGGGCCAACTTCAAACCCATCTCCACATCTGTCACTGAAGGTTCTAAGATACCTAAAATTTTTTTTATATACTTATAAAGACAAACCGACAGGAGCTCCATGGAGCAGGTAGTTAGTGCGTTCGGCTGCAATTGTTTAAGTTAAGCAACTTTCACAGTGATCGGTCATTGGATGAGTGACCAAAAATCTTCTATCTCGAGTTTCCCATAGAAGCCATATCTATTTCAGCAATAAAGGCTCTTGAATTTGAATTACACCACTTTGGTATTGTTTGCAAATGAACTTAATTTCAGTTTTTATTAATGTTGATTTTTAAGCAATACCAACTTGGCATATAAGAGACATTGATTTTCAACTGTCGATATGATATTTTTTATTATATTAACATTAAACTATAGCGAATAAATCACTTTGGAATTGTAAATAGAATATTCATCCAATAGTCAATAAATATTTTTTCTTTAAACTTTATTCATAACTAGCGGCCGCCTGCAACTTCGTATGCGTGGAGTTAGTTATTTGCACATACTTTTTGACCCCAAAAGGGGGTTTATTTCTAAAGATACATTATTAGTACACCCCTACACCATCTATAGAGCATACATGTTAAATTTCAAATCTCTTACTTCAAAAACATAGGACTTTCATACAAACTTCCAACCCCTGTATTACCCCCTTAGGGGTGGAATTTCATGATAATATGTAGCCTGACTGACCTGACTTCTTAATAATATTTGTGCCAAATTTGAAGTAAATCCATGCACTACTTTATGAGTTTATCCCAGACATACATACAGACAAAAATTCTAAAACCTATATTTTTGGCTTCAGTATTGATTGTAGATCACACCCCAAGTATTCTTTTAAAAAAATATTCAATATACAGCTTTGACTTTCCTACCATTTAATTATATGTATAGATATTTTATTTTGCTTCCTTGAGTTGTCGAGAGTTTTATAACAAAAAAACTTGTGTACTTACCAGGTGTATCATACATAAATATATCAGGGTCACTATTAATCCTCATTTTGGTCATAAGACTTCTTGTGACTCCAGCTATAGCACCTACAGGCAAAGCGTGCCTAATATGCATATTCTTTGATCGGAGCATATTTATCAGTGATGATTTACCAACATTTGGCACTCCAATAATCATTACACTATAATCTAACTCTTCGCTTCTATTGTATCTATTAGAGCTTTTAATCACGTCTATCAGGCGAGGCCTAAGGGTCTTCAGGCCTCGGCAGTGTTGATCTTTACTATTTGTAAACACAACATTCTCTATATTTTGCTCTGCTTTCAATTGGTCCTTTATTCTTGGTATAAGCGTGCTTATAGTTAAATCTCTCTTATTGAGAACTAGAATATGAGGTTTGGCCCCTGTCAAAGTGTTTGTAAATATAGGATTACGGCCAGAAAAAGGGATCCTGGCATCATGGACTTCAATGACACAGTCAACACTGCTCAATTTTCTTTGCATTTGTTTCAGACCCTTGTTCATGTGCCCAGGAAACCATCGGAGTAGATCTTTTCTTATATATGGGCATTTTTTTCTAAAATTATAAGCCGCAGCGTCGAATTTTGTAGCCATCTCTGGTTTGTTTTGATACTCACTTTGAGGTTATACTACTACTATAGGTAGTTTTTTAGCAAATTCATATTGTTTTTAATTTAATATTATTTTTGAATAGCTACAGAATGCGTAAATATTTAACTGTGTGAAAACAAAAACAAAATTTATATGGAAAATTTCTCAAATGAAAAAAAACTTTTTAGATACCTATTTGACAATTCTAACCGGGGTTGCTAGATGTGATTTTAAAATTTCGACAGATTGAATATTACTTTCCGCCGAAATTCTTATTCGCCGGTAGTAGTATTTGCTATTGAAATGATCTTGATTGGCACTATCCGTGGGTATACTCCGTGGCCGAGTGGTATAAACGTCGGGTTTCATGGCGTGTCGTTCCTCACTCAGAGGTTTCGGGTTCTAATCCCTGTGGGGGCAAATGTAAATATGAGCAATACAAGCTTTTGTACTTAAGTGATGGTTTTCTATATATTTCTGGATAAAATATTTTAATATTATGTATCTCTGTATTCGATCTATATCATCTTATAACACAAGTATTACCAGTGCTTACTTTAGGGCTTTTCTAATTGATGTGAGTAAGGGAAATATTTATTTAAATTATGAAACTCCGTTTTGAGGTCGCTATCTTTCTTTTCCTTATCGCCAGAAATTCGTCCGTTCAAATTATTTTCACTAAAATTACACCAAGATGAAAATTTTACGCCAACTATAGCGTAATTGTAGCTCATTCTGGCATCACTGAGTCGGACCTAAACTGTCTATTTTCCCGTTATGTAAAGAAAGGCAAAAGAGATCAAGTCCATAGAACCTCGGCTACGAGGTGTGTTGTATTGTACTGTACTTAACCGGAGGAGGCAAGGCAGTGAGTTTACGTCAGGGGTAAGGAAATAAAGCAATACCTTTTAAAATAAGTTTATGTCTACGTGTTGTATCTATTTAAAAAAATATATAATGGCCCCTCTATACGGAAGAAGTCGCGGCGCGAGGACGTGTATGTATTAAGCAAAAGGGTGCTAAAGTTGCATGGAAGTTCCCTTGGGCCCAATCTGATCTGAGCACAATCCGCATTGGACCAAATCCTCACTGGGCCCAACACACACCACCAACAGAGGGCCCATTTCGCACTGGTCTCATTCCACTCTTGGCCTATTCCGCACTGGGCCCAATGCGAATTGGTTGGTAAGATACTTTTTTTATGGAATAGGGAGATTGGGAAGGCTATATAAATATTTTTAACTTCGTTCGAACCGAGTGTTTCACGACACTCATGTAATTTTTGTTACCACAAATTTTGGAAGAGGTTTAATTTCTGCGAACGGAAGCCTTTCCACGAGAGTTGAACTCACATTTCTTTGATGCACATTCGATAAAGATATTCATTAATCTGAGTATATGACAACCCCATCCTTTCTTTATTGACTCTCTTTTTTCCTGATCGTCGTACACTTTTTTATATTAAGGCGCCTCACAATGGTCCATGAACGTCGATTAAAAAAGGATCCCTCCTCGCCCGCCGCGATGATGGGTTGCTCTCTACGCAATCGTGACCGTGCGTGTCTATAATTACCCATTGGGCCATTGTGAAGAGGGGCCATTAGGCATTTTTTTTAAATAGATACAACACGTAAATGCTGCCCGACAATATACACTGGAATACGGGGTGGGAGATGGTGTAGGGTAACCAAAACGAAACTGCCTAAATACGGGCGTACAAGACTTCGTTCATTTATACTTAGTCGTTTACCCGTATTCTATTGGCACTCGTATTCGGGCTAACGACCGAATGTAATTGCGCCATTATGATAGTTTGCCAAGAAAGTCAACTTTAACTTGTAACGGTGTTTGCTTCATAGATACATAGAGCAACACGACCGACACGGCCAGGACGGGAGTAGCCATACACAGGTTTCCCTTCTGTCGAGTTGGGCATACAAATTGGGCATAAAACCGATGCAATACATGTGCGCAGGATTTGGTGATGTATTGTGTTATATTATTTATGAGCGAGTGTAGTAATTAATTTGAGTGTATATAACCTCCGCAAAAAATGACAGAATGATTTGAATAGTATTATGTCGCTATGGCTACTCCCTTCCAAGTTGCTCTATGGATAGATGTATAATAGTAAATCTATGGTTTGCTCTTAGTTTGAATGAGTTCGATTGACTTTAACCAATTGACGTTTTCAATGAACACAACAATGACAATACTTATTTGCACAGTTTTGAACTTACAATAATATTATCAAAATGTCACAGTCGTTTCTGTTGGAGCCTGATATTATAGCGGCTACTGAGAATGTCATGCCCGACCTTAACAATGATTTGGTGATGGCCAAGAATTTCCTCAAGCAGCAGTCTGCGGCCACTGGGGACACCTTGTTAGTTGTAGCATACTTAGCTTAAACCAAATAGTTACGATAATTGATTTTTATGCTTCAGTCTTAGGAACAGACCCGTCTTTCCCAGTGGGCACTTTGGGCAAGTGCCCAGGGCCTCGCGATCGATAGGGGGCCCCCTCAGATCAAATACAAAGGCCCTAGTTCCTGTTAAATCACCAAACGGAAGTCATGGGGGCCCCATTATCCTAATATGCCTAGGGCCTCCAATAGGTCAAAGACGGCACTGCTTAGAAAGGTACATTACAAAACTAATAATCACTATAAGATGTACGCATTTACTGATGGAACGTTCTTTTGGTGAAATGAAACATCTTTCATCTTGACGACCTTTCTGGTTGAGTGGTATGGACACCGGTTTGATAAAGTGTCGCCTATTCAGAGTTACTGGGTTCGAATCCCGGTGGGGCAAATGTTTATATGATGAATACGAGCTTGTACCTGAGTCATTGGCTGTTTTTAAATAATTCTAGAAAAATATACTTAAATATATTTAAATTGAGGAGCTCGATGGCGCAAGTGGTTAGCGCGTTCGGCTGCGATCGTTGAACTTAAGCAACTTTCGCAGTGGTCGGTCATTGGATGGGTGACCAAAAATTACTACCTCGAGCTCCTCCGTGCTTCGGAAGGCACGTTAAGCCGTTGGTCCCGGCTGCATCTGCAGTCGTTAGCACCCACCAATCAGCACTGGGCCCGCGTTGTGGGTCGTGGCCCAATCTCTCTATTCCATTCATTGGGAAGGCCTGTGCCCCAGGAGTGGGGACATTAATTGGCTGATGATGATGTTTCTTGCTTATTTTTTTTAGTTTTAATATCATAAAATGGTGTCGATTCTAGCGTGATTCTCCAAACTTAAAACTAAATTTAACATCAGTCTCTCCTTTTCATTATGTATAGAGAATGACAAGGATGCACTGTTGTCAAATTTAAGTTTAGCTTTAGAGAATTATGCCAGAATCGACATCAATGTCTCGCAAAGTTGTGAACACCTGGTAATGGATGTGATGTAAGTACAAACTCTTGCCACACAAGCGTATACCGTCTTTAACTCTTTTCTATCCCACGTACCTTGTGATGTTTGATAGAATACCATTCTGGTGATCTTAGGTATGACCACCTCGTGGATGTGGTGCACAAGATCCTGTCTCAGAAGCCGCCCGACGTGGTGGACCAGTTCGAGCAGTACTCGTGGGCGGTGAAGCAGGAGAAGTTCCGCCCCAACTTCGACCTGCTCAACGATGTGTACCTCGCGCCACCGCAGCTCGCGCTCGTGCGCAGGCTCGACGAGATGTTCAGGGCAAGAAAGCTTTTTAACTTATCACAGCCGTATGACGCCCACTATTGAGCATTGCCGGATTTAGGGGAGGGCAACCGGGGCGAAAGCCCCGGGGCCTCCACAAAGCACAATAGAGACTTCGGAAAAAAAATCTTTCAAATTCCAACTAGTAAACACTAGTAAACATCTTTTCCTTTGATTTTTGAAGTTATACTTCTTTAGCCGCGTTATGAAAAAATGATGAGAGTGAAATTTTAAGATGCGCGCGCAACACTGTAACAGAAAAGTAACACCATGAAGTCGGCCGCTAAACCGCACATTACTCGTAAGTCTCGAAAAAAAGCTTCCAACAAAATAGTAATAGGATCTCTTAGTCGCACATGTTGGGACGCTCGTCGCCTCTGATCACTGTTTTCATATTTATAATATTTATCCACATGTTTCTAGTTTCTATATTCTTAACACGTGTTATAATGTTATACAAATGCGAAATTTATATGTGCTAATAAATTTTTTCAGTAGTGATTTAAATTGAATATTTTGATTATTTATTAAATTTTTCAAATTAAAACTGAACTTTATTGATTGCGTTCACTATCCTTTTCCAATCCTTTAATTATCTTATTGTAATTAATTATCTGCATGCAATTAAAAACTATTTTTTAATAATTCCAAAAAGAAGTATAACTTCTCACGCGCGTACTTAAGTACACGCACCCATATTTTTTTTTGCTTTTTACCTTTACCTACAGCCAGGGCCGAATTTAAGGCAGGGCAGGTGGGGCTGTGACCCAGGGGCCTGCACAACAGCTTAAGAAATGACAACATTTCTATGGGTCAACAAGCATGCAAATCTTATGTGGCCCGGGGCCTCCACAACAGGATAAAAGATAACAAAATTTCGATGGGTTAACAAGCATACAAATTCTAAGTGGCCCGGGGCCTCCACAATCCTAAATCCGGCTCTGCTATTGAGCATAGGCCAATCGCTTCCATCGGCTTCCCGCGACCTTCAGCAGATCGTCGGTCCGGTGGGGGGCCTGCCCTCTGGGCGTCGTCCGGTGCGTCGTTGGCATTCGAGAACCTTTCCGCCCCAATGGCCATCGACACCCTTAGTACGAGTTTTACAATTACGAAAACTATGATAGTTTTCGTGAGCTCGCAGGTACTGATTTTATTGTTTTCGTTTCAATACAAATAAACAGGGTTTAAATTCTATCATTAAATCATTTGCGTTTTCTTAAATTTGAAGTATATTGGTTACTTTTTAACAAAATGGACATAGAAACATAATTTACAATTACGAAAACTATGATAGTTTTCGTGAGCTTAAACTCGTACTAAGGGTACAGATCTCTCGCTACATGTACCACTCACTGAAGCCACAGCTGAGCATCGAGCGATGTCGGTTACATTATTTTTCCTGCGGATTTTGTCATTTCTTATTATATCACGTTAACTATTCTATACAGGAATTTAACTGGTTCACGATATAAAAAAATACAATGTTTTTATTTTGTGGCCTTGTTAATGCCATTATATAAAAAATAAAAGAAAAGTGTGAGTTCAACTCGCCCGCGCAGGTTTCCATACAAAGTAGGTAAAAAAAAGATGTTCTTTTTTTTGCGTTAACTTAAATGTTGGATTTTTTTACAGCTTCAAGGGACCGTAGACCCGAGTAAATGGTTTAAATTTTCAACTCGATACCTCTATGCCTTCTCGAGATAAAGGGTCTGGACAGCAGACAGATTTAAACGGCCGTATCTTTTTTTCATGTTAATTTAGAAGTTTGATTTATTCACACCTTCAGAGGATCGCAGATTCGAGTATAAAGTTTAGATTTCAGCTCTATAAATACACGCGTTCGCGAGATAAAGAGACGGACAACAAAGTGATCCTTTAAAGATTCCGTTTTTCCTTTAAAAGGTGCGGGACCCTAAGACACCATGAAACGGCTGTTTTTTACGTTACATTAACAGCCATATAGGATTTATGTTTTTTAAGTGAAGAGGTCGATAGCGCATGTTGTTAGCGCCTTCGGTCTGCGATTGTGGAAGTTAAGCAACTTTCGCAATGTCCGGTCACTGGATGAGTGACCAAAAACGCCTGCCACGGCGAGTGTTCTGAGGAGTTATTCTCCCTTATCCCTCCATCATCTTTTCTTCAGAGGACCACGCGCGCAGGCCTACGTTGCCACTGACTTACTGTGGCGACTATTCCTATACGAACAAAGAAATTTGGTGACTTAAGTGGAATTCTTTACCGCGCAAGTGTTCCCTCCTGCTTATAATCTGGGGTCCTTTAAGAGAGGCGTGAAGAAGCATTTTTGCAGGCCGGCAAGGTGAGGATGATTGGTGTAGCAGTTTATAACAGCTGTACCAGCTGTCTTCGCGTTTGGACTTTATTACCACTTTACGTCAGGTGGGGTAGAGTCATTTGCCTACCTCTATATATAAAAAAAAAACTTATTATTTCGAGATCCTCCGTACATCGGAAGGCACGTTAAGTCGTTGGTCCTGGCTGCATCTGCAGTCATAAGTAACCACCAAACCATACGGCACACGTGGCGAGTCATTTCTCACTGTCCCAATTTCGTCCATTCCGCGCGTATCTCCCGCTGTTTCGGCCTGCATAACCAAGAAGGTTCGCCAGGCCATGGGTGGTTGGTGGGATTTGTCCCAATTTCGTCTATAGGGAAGGCCTGTGGATCAGGACACCATCAGGACATAAATGATGAGGATACTCTACTTGTCAAGAAAATACTCCCCAGGGGCTAAATTCCGAAATACCTACAGAGGATTCTCAAAAACCGCTTGATTTACAGCTGATTGCGAGTAAGAATCAAAAGCTGGACGAACTGGGTGAAGAGGAACAGGAGCTGGACTTGGAGGAGGACAACGTCAAGCCGCGAGTCGCTGATCTCATCGAACACAACTACTACTTCAGAGAGGTACTTTGTCGTTAGTGAAATGATATTTGGAGACAGCATCCACATGTAATGGTTTATTTCTCCTTCCTCTGCTCCTCTAGTCTACCTCAGAGCACAGGGGAAACAATGAAAGAAAACAAAAAAATGGGTGCGTGTACTTACATATGTAGGCGCGTGAGAAGTTATCCTTCTTTGGCATCGTTTAAAATTAGTTTTTAATTGCATGCAAATAATTAATTACAATAAATTAATAAAAAGTCTGGAAAAGGACACAGTCAATAAAGTTCAGTTTTAATTTGAAAAAATAAATAAATAATCAAAATATTCAATTAAAATCGCTACTGAATATAATTTATTAGAACATATGTGATTTGCACTTGTATGAAACTCAAACACGTATTCCGAATATACAAACTAGAAACATGTGGATAAATATTATAAATATGAATATATAACTGTTACTTTATTACAAAAAAATAAAGCTGTGGTTTTTGGTTCTACTACACCAATGGTCAAGAGATGGCGCTGTAGTCTCCTGAATCGCGCTTTGGTTCCGTTGTTCCAGATTAATAAATACTTTTGATAGGCCTTCACAATGCAGTCGTTAGCACCCACTAAATAGAGATTCTATTTCTATTTTGTTGGTAGATTTTCTTAATGTGCGGTAAACACAAAAGTAACGCATGAAGTTGGTCGCTAAAGCGACCAACTTCATGCTGTTAAAATTTTGTGTTACAGTGATGCGCGCGCATCTTAAAATTTCACTCTCATCATTTTTTCATAACGCGCCTAAAGAAGTATAACTTAAAAAAATAAGATAATGTTATAATTATATTTTACTGACTACTTATAGATATCATAAAGAAAATGGCTTAATATAAATTTTAAGCATAAATACAGTAGTTTTAAAGTTATAGCTTATCTAAATCACTTCCTTCTCAGTGAACAAAGCATTAAGTTAACATAAAGATGGAGTTGTATAAATACTAGATATTCAATAGTTATTTATTATACAAGAGTGGAAAGTTCCTTTTTAACCGCGTGCTCGATTTGGATGACCGAGCAAGCGAAGGATTCTAAAGTTGAATCACGAGCGCAGCGAGTGATTCTAAATTAGAATCCTGAGCGTCAGCGAGGGAAACAAACGAGCACAAGGTGAAAAATCTTTCCACTCGAGTGCAATACGTAACTTTTCATCCCACCTCAGCGAGGAAATGACAAAATGAAAAAGAAAACAATTTATAATGACAAAATATTTAAGCAATAAAACGTGAAAAACTAGAATGGCGCGAAGCACGCAAATAAAACAAAGAAACCAAGAAGGTTCCAAATTTAAATTTTTTCACAATTTAAAAAGTTCTAATCATAAATTTGGCACCATAGAGGTTACATTAAATAGGTTTAATGACGTTTTGAATTTACAATTATATTGAGTACTCATTATATGTGATGTTCTAAATTCAAATCTACTTTGCCGCTCAAGCGAATAAAATAGAATTTTCCAGCCAGATTTCGAAGCGCAAAATTACACTTTCCGAGGTGGTGGGATGAAAAACAAATTATAATGTACTTACATGAGTTTTTAAACTATATCTAATATATTTTACCTACTCTGCAGTGGACTGTCAATTGAAAAACCACAAAATTAGACTTTTCCAGATAATAAACTATTAGGTGGATATTAGGAGTCCTACGGCTCGTTTGATAGTCCATTACTGAAGGAGATTATTAGAACTTGATGTGAAGAAGACATTAGCATCGTCGTACCTATGTAAGGATCTCTCCTAGCAGCAGTCTAGTTAAACTAACATTTTATTTTGAAATAAGTAATTTTTCAACACTCGAATTTTAGAGTGGGCAATAGCAAGGCTATCCTTGGGAGGAGCTCGATGGTTAAGCAACTTTCGCGGTAGTCGGTCATTGGATGGGTGACCAAAAATTCTATCTCGAGTTCCTCCGTGCTTCGGAAGGCACGTTAAGCCTTTGGTCCCGGTTGCACCTGCAGTCGTTGATACCCGCCAATCCGCACTGGGCCCGAGTTGTGGGTCATGGCCCAATCTCCCTAATCCATCCCTAGGAAAGGCCTGTACCCCAGCAGTGGGGACATTAAGAGACTGATGATGATCCTTGCTCCTCCCCTCCCCTAGCTAAGCCCATGGAGATTAGACATAACTTGCCTTACTAACTAGAAGATCTCGCTTATTTTGTGGCACGCTCACGCAGTGTTTTTTTCTTTTTTTTTCTCTTTTCACCTTAAACGTAATTTTGATAGGGGCCGTCCATATATTACGTCATTCTAAATTAGGGGGGGGGGTTGGTCTGCGGATGACGGTAAATGATAGATAGGGAGGGGGGGTGTTTCGAAATTGACCATGATCCAGAATTTAAAAGAATGGGTGAAAATAGGGAATAATAATATATAATATTATTTTGTCAAACTGGTATTGACGTCAATTTTGGGAGAAGGGGGGGGTCATTAAGAAATGACGATAGGATGATTATAGCGGGGGTGGGGGTTTAAAATCTGAAAAAATCGATGACGTAATTTATGGACGGCCCCATAGCACGGTAGAACTCTGGTGACACGTATAACTTACACCACCAAATCATCCACTTGACCGGTCTGAGACAATTTTAGAGACAACTGATACCCCTGTCTGGGTCAGAGAGTGTCATGGTGTGCTAAATATGAAAATAATTTCCAGCGACAAACAATATTTTCGTGAATGCTCCTACGAAATGGTGCTGAAAGGCAAAAAGTCAAAGCTCTAGTCCAGTGGTTCTCAAACTTTTTAAATGACGGAACCCTTTTGGGAAGCAAAATACTTGATGGAACCCTACAATAAAACAATTATTTTTATAAGTGTATTCTATATTAATCAGCATAATAAAAGTACAATGTATCCGTTACTAATTATTATTTACTTCACCACTTGGTAAGGACAATAATAGAAAACATTAAAAAAGAAAAAATCTAACTAGTGGGAGGTATGAAACTGTTTTTTATTTTTCATCAATTGCTTGATATCAGGTTTGATGGAAGAAAGTTGGAGTCTCATATCAGCTTCGGCGTCCAGTCTATTGCGATATTTTGTTTTCGTGGCTGCGTAGGTAGAGAATCCTGTTTCGCACAAATATGTAGTTGGGAACGGGAGAAGAATATCCAGAGCCATTTGGCCAAGCATTGCATATTCATCTTGGATTCTGCACCAAAAATCATTAAGAGGCGTCGTTTTGAACAATGACTCCATACTTGTGTCTGATGACATTTCTAAAAGAGATTCATATATCTCATTTGACATGTTTTCAGGCTTTTCCAAGTTGGGTAAAAAAGGATTATGAATCCAGGAGTTCACTTTAATTTTTGTATTGTGTTCTTCGGGAAAATACTTTTCAAAAGATGCGCGCATCGAACTGAGATATTGGACCAATTCTTCAAACACATTATCTTCAAACATTTCTGAGTCGTTTTCGCTAACAAACTCAGTGAGTAACGTAAAACTTTCTATTTCTTTCTTACCAATGCAAATGATCCAAAAATCTAATTTTCTTTTAAAAGTAGTTATTTTATTATAGGCCTGAAACACTGTTGTCTGTTTACCTTGCAATGATAAATTTAATTCGTTAAGTTTTTGAAAGATATCCGCCATAAAAGACAATCGGAACAACCAAGTTTTATCATACAAACGGTCCTTCAAATTAAAAGAAGTATCTGCTGAAAGAAACATTTGTAACTCGGCTCTAAGTTCAAATAGCCTTGTTAAAGTTTTTCCCCGAGACAGCCATCGCACTTCTGTATGGAGCAGCAGTGTTTTATGTTTGCTGCCATAATCTTCACACAATAATGAGAACAATCGGGATTGTAGTGGTCGTGATTTGATAAAATTAATTATTTTTACCGCTTCATCCATAACTAATTTTAGATTAGACGGCATTTGCTTCATCGCAAGTGCTTGTCTATGCAGAATACAATGACTGGAACTACAATTAGGCGCTTTATTTTTCATTCGTGACACTGCTCCTGCTGTTTTACCTGTCATCGCCTTGGCCCCATCTGTACAAATGTCAATGCAATTGTTCCAACTGAGATTATGTTCTTCAAAAAATATATTTATTTTATTAAAAATTTCTTCCCCGGTAGTGTTTGTAAGCAGCGATGAACACATAAGCATGTCTTCTTCAAAAGAACTTTTATATGGATATCTCACAATAACCAGCAGGATAGCCAAACCAGCGACATCAGTCGACTCGTCCATTTGCAAAGCGAATCGTGTATTTTGTAGACGTGTAACTAGTTCTTGTTTGACGTAGCTTGCCAGATCATGGATTCGTCGTGAAACAGTATCGTTTGATAGCGGAACAGTAGAAAGATGCTTTGCAGATTTTTCATCAAGCATACATTTTGTTATGTCTAATACACATGGTTTTATTAATTTCTCAGCGATAGTGTGCGCTTCACCTGCTTGTGCAATGCGATAGCTAACTAAGTATGATGCCTCCGTGGCCTTTTCGTTGGTAGTTTGTGTTACATGCATCATATTTTTTTGACTTTCTAATAACTGATCTTTTTTGCGAACAAAAAATTCTTTATTCTTGTCTTTAGTCTCGGGGTGTACGGTTTCTAAATGTCGACGCAATTTGGCAGGTGCCATGGAACTATTAGGAAGCAGTTTACTACAGAGCATGCAGAGAGGTGAGCCGTTGGAATCAACAAATCCGAAACTGATATAAGATTCATCATACTTCCTTTTTTTCGTCTTTGAAACCGTCGAGCTTGACGTCGTGGCACTCGTGGCATCATCTTCTGGATCGGTGATTGCTAAATTCTCCGCGCGCATTGCTTTTGAACATTCAGCGTCATTAGAAGATGTTGTTGGAACACGTTTAACACCTTTAAGCCAACGTTCCATTCTTCTTTATTTATAATGTTACAAGTCAGGATAGTGGGGTTTAAATAATGCACAATCGTTACTGCGTATAAGAGACTAAATTTAGAACCTACAGGGAAGAAATGTATAAAACTGAGACAACAGAATACAGCAGGCAGTAAAACAATGAACACCAGTTTCTCGCTAGCGAGGTTGTAAGTAGGTAGTAACTTATCGCTCCGAACGCTAATCATCAACTGACGACGCCAACGCGCGATCGCCGCTTTTATACTTAGTCCTAGACTCGATCTCAAATATTCTCGAAAATACTCGAGTCGGCACCTTTGATAAACAAAAAGCAAAAATAAAAACAGAAATTTAAAAATAGCGTTGTAAACAATATCGACTTTATCCTTTGAAGTTAGAGACGAAAGTCGCTAGTTGACAACTATAGCGTCTAATTCAGAGGCGGCTTTTATCAAAGAGACTGAGCGCTTACAAGTATACTACCCGCTCGTTTTAAGTTTGCCGCTGGCGATAGGTATGAGTGTATGACGTTCGAAATTTTTTATTTAATTGTAACAATAAAAATTGTGTACGTTAGATATTTGGGTAAAACTATGACACATTATAAGTTTTGTTGTCACGTGGGGGAGGGTACGCGCATTCCACAGACCGGCAAACTTAGAGCGAACGCGTTGTACAAGTATAAAATTGTTGAGACCAAACTTATGAGATATTGTACCAGCTAATGTAACACAAGCTTATACAAATACAAATAAATAAATAAATAACATTCATAGCGTTTTGTCTCCGCGCGGCCGCGGAGTCCGCACAGCCGCGGAGCGACCAGAGAGAGGTGTTTTGATTTTTTTATTTCTAAATTCTTGCGGAACCCCGACAGAGGTATCACGGAACCCTAGGGTTCCGCGGAACACACTTAGAGTATAGCTGCTCTAGTCGACCGGATAGCAGAAAATGCAGGTTCGATTCCCTTTTGAATCCTGGACAAAGTGGATTTTGTGTTTTGTAATATTTTTTTACATTTAAACCTCGAAAAGTTTACAGCTTTAAAATATAATAAATAAAGCTCTATCTCAATATAAATACTAGTCAGCGATGATGATACTGGATGACCAGACCCCTCTTTCCCTGTGGGCACTTTGGGCAAGTGCCCAGGGCCCCGCGATCGAAAGGAGCCTCCCTCAGATCAAATACAAAGTCCCTAGTTTCTATCAAATCACCAAACGATAACCAATATTTATTACAAAAAAAAACTTATATAATAAATTGAAATCTAACCTAAATTAAAGACTAAAATACCAACTTACTAGCTTTTACATAAGCGAAGCTATTCTACTCTCGCCCAAAAATTAGGCTTTCCGACTTCAGCATGCATATATAAATTTGAATATACATATACTGCTAAGCACATACACATTTTAAAGAAAAATCATCAGTATGACTCGCTCCATTTCAAGTCATAATCCACATCAAAGTCATAGGGGCCCCATTATCCTAATATGCCCAGGACCTCCATTAAGTTAAAGACGGCCCTGCACGTGACATTGTTCAATGTTATTCTGCAGTTCTTCAATTAGCCGGTTTGTTTTATTTGGCAGGCTGGCTACGGTCTGCCGGACAGCGAATGCTATGCTTTGTACATCGCACTAAACATGTTGGCCATCAAGGAACCTGTGGCCACAGTCAGGTACCTTCTTGTTATACATTGGTTTTACTTCATAAAATGCAAGGTTGGTTGAGCTTCAAAGATGATGATAACGTCTCATGACACCAGATTTGGCATTGGTACACCCTTTTTTTTGTTAGCGCACCCAGAGGTGATTGTTCGCAAGCAGACCCCACCCGAAGTATCCAGGGAGCTTGTGCAATGCGAGCCCCCTCGAGCTACGGTTACCATATCTCAGGATTTGTCCTGAGATTTCAGGATTTTTGGACTCTTCTCAGGATTGCGGCTGGATTTTACAAATCTCATGAAATCTCAGGATTTTTTTTAATTTCCAATAAAATACAGCTTACGTTTTAAAGATCTCTTAAAAAGTTAAACAAACTAAAAATAATCTTCTATTGGTAATAATTGCACAATTAAAATCAGTACTTTATTATCCAAGTCGGTACTTAGTTTTATCATACTTAATATCTGAAGGTACATTTTTAAATAAGGTTTTTCTTTAATTATGGATTCATATAATGCCCCACATGTTAAGCTCTTCAAATTATATTGATTTAAAAGTATAAGCACAGGATAAACGACAATATTACGACTTTTTTAAATTGTTAAAAGTGCGTTTGAGAGAAAATTCTCAAACTGTAAAAAATCTCAGGATTTTTCATTGGAAATCAAACCTTTTCTCCGGACTTTTGATTTTATTATCTGGTAACCCTACCCCGAGCAGACTCGCGGCTCCCGCGCCTTTCCATCGCTCTCCCACCTCCCCTTGGCCCAGAAAGGGCCTTTGAGCTTTGAGCATGTCCTAGTGGCCGAGCATTGATGCTCTAAGACCTGTAACTTAGAGCATTATAAGATAAGACCTATAATATATAAATACTGACGCACTCTACCAACCTTTCGAGTACTAAAACAGACAATACTGCGCCACACCACTCAACTTTTAAATGCTTTGTTTTAGATTCTTTGGCAAGATTTACGGAACAAAGGCAAATTATTATATAGCGGAGACTGACTTGACGATAGAAGAGCTTGACCGCCGGATCAGGGTAAGTTTAAGAATCTGGACAGGCAGGACACGACAGTAGGATGTGTTTTGTGAATCAAAATATAGGTAAGTAACGAATGTCTTAAAAATATGGCTTCTGCCGTTCGCAGCTCTTACAGCACTTCTTGTCCTTAGGGTAAATATGACTCTGAGCTGAGCAGATAGGGTACCTAAAAAAAAACAAATGGCATTGCTTAAAATACACATCATATCTCTGCTCTGCTTCAGTAGCAAAAGTACATGTCGCGGTACGTAACTCTAGCGCCGAACAAAACGCGGAGGGGATAACTGTGCATAGGTACGACTGGAGAGCCAATCAGCACAACGCACGCCCACCCGCGTACCTCGTTACCCCCCAAGACATCTTATTTTTTTGAGTTTCGTGCCGCGACTTATCTTAAGGGAGTTAAGAAGCTAATGTGAGTTGAGAAGAAAACAAAAATAAAATTGTGAGTGAGGCACAGCGGTGCGGCGCGGCGGGCGCGCTGGGCAGAGTTGACCTCAGTGAAGCTGCGTAAAGTTTCATCAAAAGTGATTAATTTTTGCAATGATTTGTGAGTGATGGACACTGAAATGCATTGTTTGTATAGACGCATCACTGATGATAAAAGCTAATACATATTCCATTTCTTGTGGAATTCCCGCGTTAGCATCATATGCGTCGAGTGATTTAATTAAAGAATTAATACCGTGACAGTAAAAGGGATGAACTGTGAAAGAGCTGTCGACGTTTTACTTGTCGTTCATTACCGATGAATGATGACAGATGCATGATTGATGCTAGTAATAATAATCGGGAGCCAGAAGCTTTCATCGCGAAGGTACATTCCGATGAACTTCAATTTAGACATTTAATTTTCTGTCTTCATCGATGAAGCATCGAAAATGAATAGTCTAATTTCATTTTAAGGTGGAGCGGAGACGATAGGGGCGAAGAGGAGTTTTCTTTTTGTTAAGCGACCACATTGTTTTGTTCTTTTGTTTACCTGACTGCAAATAAAAAAAAAATCCAACACACACCAATTGGCCTATCCCCAAAGTAAGCACTGTATGCTTGTGTTCTGGGTTACTAGGGTAACGGATAGAATACGTACACTGATACATACATAAATATATTTATATAGAAATACATATTAAACATTCATGGCTAGAGTACAAATGCTCGTATAGATTACAAAAACATCTTCTTTTTGCACTACCTTCTTAAGATCTTTGCTATAATTCTCCAGTTGATTGGTAGAGAATGCCTAATGGCATTAAGTTCGCCATTTGTACACTCATTTGTGTAATAAAGTATAAATAAACGCTCACGGTGTGCGAACATTTGTTGGCCGAAAATATAGAAAGGAGCACGCTATGCAAGTACATATTAGTATCAATCAGATTAGGTACGTTAGTTGTGTTGTTATTAATTAAAACCATTTGAAACGTATAGGAATTTGAGATGAAGGACATGCCGGGCGAGGGCGAGGACATGGAGGAAGGCCGTGCACAGGAAGCCGAGGAACAGAAAGAGATAAGTGAGTAGAAGTAAGAAAACAGAGTTGAGTAGCAACTGAATAGTGATATAAATTCTGATTAGTAGAATAGATCTTAAGAAAAGCTTTACTAGAAAAAAACCCACGCGGACCAGGCGCATTAAACATCTAGCAGTTAAATGCTTAAAAATAAAATAAAACATAGTAGAATAGATTTGTGAATTCCATTACATTCCGCGCTACTAGGTACCAGGTACTTTATGATTATAAGATGATAAACCCAAATAAATGACCACGTTTCCGTAGGTCATAAAATTGACAAATATTTACTGTGAATGAAAAAAAATAAGACTGGGTGTAATTACTATGTAATTACTTGGTGTCATTTTAACCACAGAACAGAAAAAAGGTGTGATTTCACTAAACCACGATGCAAGTGGAATTTTTAAAGCGTTTTAATATATGTAATAATAATTCTCCTGCCCTTCTCGTCTGGACATTGAACCCAGGCAGGCGAGCTTGCGACACAGATGCTTGTTGATAAGCTCTGAATTAACTAATAACAATTAAAAAATCTGATGCAACATGCTATAAATGAACGAAAAAGTTTACGGCGATGTAATAAAATTTTTACTTAAAAAATAAAGAGCGAGTGTGCTTATCACCACACGACTGAAATGAAACTTCTTTAGCTATAATGATCTGAAAATCATAAACTTAAGCTGAAGATTTATTGATAGAAAAGAAACCACCATTCCGCACTGGGTCCATTAACACCCACCAATCCGCGCTGGGTCCGTTATCACCCACCAATCCGCACTAGGTCCGTTATCACCCACCAATCCGCGCTGGGTCCGTTATCATCCACCACTCCGCACTGGGTCCGTTATCACCCACCAATCCGCGCTGGTTCACCCGTCAAGCACTAGATTCATGTATTTTGTGACGGGTATTGTTCATTGTTTACCGATGAGTGCGTGCATAACGTAACGGTGCGCGCGTAACGCAAAAATTGTCACACATTCGCCAGTTTACCCCCCAAGTCAAGCGTGCCTAAAGAAGTTTCACTTCAAACACTTCTGTGGTGGTAACGATTTCTTTGCGATAAGCGTAGAAAAACCATAGACATAGGATAGAATACAAATAGAATAGAATATTAAGTCTATGACAAAAACAAATTATCTCTTGGCGAGTCATAAAATTCAATTAGAATCTTTCAGTACAGCCGTTAAGGTGTTTCCACATTTTCACTTTTTTTTATGAAATGGTTTCCGTATCAGTGGGTGAAGGCGAGATGCGTGAGGACAAGCCCAAGGAGCCGGTGCCGCCCAAGCTGCCGCCCGAGCCGGTGTCCACGTGGCAGCCGACGCCGCCCGTGCCTGTCGAGCGCCCCGGACAGGGGGTCAACAAGAAGGTCCTTGTCTAATATACATAGGTCCGAAGAAAGGACTCCCAGTCTCCATCCCATCTGCGTCAGGACAAGCCCAAGGAGCCGGTGCTGCCCAAGCCAGTATGCACGTGGCAGTCCACGCTACCCGTGCCGATCGAGCGGCCCGTGCAGGGGGTCAACAAGAAGGTCCTTGTCTTATATACATAGGTCCGAACAAAAGACTCCAGTCTCCAACCCATCTGCGTGAGGACAAGCCCAAGCTGTCGCTCGTTTAAATAAAAATCCCGCGTCAGAGTGTTTGTTATTGAAGTCCTCCGTTTACTCAGCTTTATCCTTTTTAATTTTTGTTATGTGTATATTTGGTAGGTCTAAGTATTGCTTGGAGGACCTTGCCAGATTTTTATTCTTGGACTGCAATTTTTTTTATGATTTGGCTTCAAACAATACTTATAACCCTAGATATTCACCCTCTGCCACCAATACTTATTTTAATGGCGGAACTGAGTTCGCTGGGTCAGCTGTATAGTTTATAAGTATATTACAAAGATAGAAACAGTTATAAGGAGAGAGGTATTGGTTCATTCAACCCCCACTCTCCCCCTGACTGCGCTGACCCTCCCCTGACCTCCCTCATACTGGCTAGTAATAGGATGTATCCCTAAAATAGATTTTTAGCTCTTCTGTGCTCTGGAAGTTATGTTGAGGGGTTGGTTTCGGCTGCATTTTCAGTCTTTTGCACTCACAAATCCGCTCTTGACTCGCGCTGATGGATCAGGGCCGGCGTTTTCCCTTTTACATCCATAAGGAATGGAAACGAGCATCGGTCTTATAGGGAGCCTGGCGCCACTCGTCAACATTCTATTTTGACCGCGCGCTTACTAGAGGACGTTAGTGTAGACGCCTCTGAATCGCGCTATGAGTATGATGTGTGGTGCAGGTGTACTGGGTGTGCAGCCAGCCGGGCGAGCCGTGGGTGTGCCTGCCCGACGTGACGCCGCAGCAGCTGGTGGTGGCGCGCCTCACCGCCCGCTGCATGACCGGCGACCTGGACGCTGAGGTGACACCCTGTTGGAATATTTCCCAACACTAAATATTGTGCACAGCACTGATTGACCAGCAGCGTCTCTCGCTGACTCTCTCTCTCCATTACCGGCCACCGTATTGTACGGACATACTTCCTACAAGGGCGGATCCAGCTTTGGCGCCAGGGGGGGGTCATATAGCCAGCTTTGGCGCCAGGGGGGAGGGTCATACAGTTGTGGTATATTAAATATTGTAAGTACTTAAATAAAATCCCCCTGTGTTTGGTACATCTGTACCCAGCCCAGGGGGAGTCATGACCCCCATGACCGGGGGGTCATGACTCCCATGAGAGGGGGGGGGCCCCCTGGATCCGCCTTTGGCTTCCTATTATATCAAATTTAACTACTTCTGAGTAAGTCCTAGCCATAATACCAAGTTTTTCAGTGTCTGTACTTACAGTGTATTTATTACTTTTGTGTCTGTATGTGCATAAATATATATATATATATATATATACCTTGACCGACGAACCAGTGTTTGTGTTACCATTCAACCTAACTACAGTTCGCTACCAACCGAACACACCCGCTGACTATTAGAGACCGCTAATAAGGGCATCAGCCTATGCAGCAATACTACACAAGTATGTGACATGTGAGGAGCTCGATGGCGCAGGTGGTTAGCACGTTCGGCTGCGATCGTTGAAGTTAAGCAACTTTCACAGTGGTCGGTCATTGGATGGGTGACCAAAAATCTTCTATCTCGAGTTCCTCCGTGCTTCGGAAGGCACGTTAAGCCGTTTGTCTCGGCTGAATCTGCAGTCGTTAGCACCAGTCAATCCGCACTAGCATGCATAGCATAGCATGGTGGATCATGGCCCAATCTCCCTATTCCATCCATAGGGAAGGCCTGTGCCCAAGTGGGGACATGATAAGCTGATGATGATATTATGATGTGACACGCCCCCAAATGTTGACAAAAACCGATAATCCGACATGACGTGACGTATGTGTCCAATCGAAACGTGGCCTAGGCCCACTCATGCCTCAACTTTGGCGAAAAAAAAAATATATAGGACTCTAGTAGGGGTGCTCCATTGGTAACATCGTACACATAAACAATGAACTGAGCTTGAGATTCCTGCAGATGCTCTGTAGAAAAAGCGATGTTGTGTGACCAATGCGCAGAAAATTATGAGAAGAGAGCGAAAGAGCGAACGGTGCAGAATTCTCAGTCCATTCCCTCTATGTCTATTTCTTCACACATTGACACTTTAACGCATCAGTCCCTGTCACCGAACTTATTTATTAGTAATTTGACAATTGAGCGTGATAAAAACGAGCTATACTATATCATATTACGTTGCTCATGCTAGGTCACCCGTGAGAGCTTGTGCTCATGGAAGCGACCTGGGAGGGACGACACCCCCGCATGGCCGGGGGGTGTCTTCGTAGGAGGGTGGATGTGGTTGCGAACACTCTTCGCGAGAAGGGCTCCCCTGGAGGTCCTCAGATGCGATACTCGATCCTGAGGCCCCGTACAATGCCTGATGGCGGCCATCGCTGGGGTTTTAGTGGGTAGGCCTCCCCCTTCTGGGGAGGAGAGCCCCACATAACCACCATGTGGTATGCAATTTAATGCATTTCCCCAGCGTATCAAAAAAAAAAGGTCACCCGTGAGACTTGCGAGAGGCTAGGCTTGAGGTACGTTCATTGATGTGCCCCTTAAAGGCGCCAACATCTGTAAAAAGAGGTTATGACTGCTTAAAAAAGGCGGGGAAGCCGACCTGAGAATTTGCTTATTGTTTAGAGATCAGCGATCACTGTATCTATTGTATTTGAAGGTGATCACATTCCCCCCGTTCGAGGGGACCGAGCGGAACTACCTGCGCGCGCAGCTGGCTCGCCTCGCCGCCGCCACCGCCGTGTCGCCGCAGGGATTCTTCACCTACGGCTCCGGAGAGGAGGAGGAAGACATTGACTTGGAGGAGGGCGCGGGTATACCTACTCATCACCTTCATCATCAGCCTATTATTGTCCCCAGTGCTGGGGCACAGGCCTTCCCTATGGATGGAATACGGAGATTGGGCCATGACTTACCAAGCGGGCCCAGCGCGGATTGGCGGGGGCTAACGACTGCAGATGCAGCCGGGACCACGGAAGCAGCCTTCCGAAGCACGGAGGAACTCGAAATGGAAGATTTTTGGTCAACCATCCAATGACCGACCACTGTGAAAGTAGAACGCGCTGACCACCCAGGCCATCGAGCTCCTCACACCTACTCTACACTCCCTATTAGGCTCACCTCGTTACACCGTGACGTGGCGTCACTAAGCGCGTTTTATCGTCTGTACCACGGCGAGTGTTCTGAGGAGTTATTCTCTCTTATTCCACCTTCCCCTTTTCTTCAGAGAACCACGCGCGCTGGCTAACGTTGTCACCCTCTAACTGTGGCTACAATTCCAACGCGTACAAAGAAATTTGGTGGCTCATTTCTTTGTCGTACTATCTGTAAATGGAATGCTCTGCCCGCTGACGTGTTCCCTCCCTCTTACAACCTGGGATCCTTTAGAAAAGGTGTGAAGAAGCAACATGCAGGCCGGCAGGGTGAGGATGGCTGGTAGAACTGCTGTATCAGCTATCTTCGCGTCAGGACTTCACCTTCACTTAACACCAGGTGGGGTGGAGTCATTTGTCGGACCTTTCTATAAAAAAAGGCTATTAATGGCCCCACTGTTAGGGCCTAGGCCTTCCTTACTGGCGATACACTTGGTCATTAGCTCGAATACGATTTCCCATGGAATTCGGACAAAAGATTAACAAGTGATTAGTCTTAATGAACGGAGTCGAATGCGCCCGTATTCAATTGGTTCGCCCAGATCTGGTATCACTATGGTACGTTCCAACTAGAACGCGGGTGCAGGGACGTGTCGTTTGCCAGTGTTTCAGTATTCGAGCGTGAGTAAAACAATGTTAATATTGCATCAGGTAATCTGGTAATGTCTTTCGTACACCCGGATACGGGCTAATTGCGCTTTAAAGCCGCGTATCCACTAGAGGCAGCCTCGCGTCGAGCGGCCTCGACTTGCAGCAAATAGCCTCAGTTTGAGACTGCTCGCTCTGAGGCAACGGCTACGGATCAGCTCGAGGCGTGTCGCCTCAGCTTGATCCGCCGGCGGTGCACTGCGCAGTTAAAAGCCAAAACGTCTCCATTAAACACACGGCTCGGACTGAGGCGCCTTTGAGCACGGCACAGAAACCGACAAAATATGGCTCGGCTCGCGGCGACGAATTTGCCTCGCGTCGCGGCGTGCCTCAGGTTGAGGCAGCGTCTCCACTTGCGCAGCCTCGGAGTGAGGCAGCCGCTCGACCCGAGGCTGCCTCTAGTGGATACGCGGCTTAAGGGTGGAAAAGGCAGAGGCCATGACCCACCACGCGGGTCACCTCTGGCTTCGGCGAGAAGGAGGACATGGCCTTGGAAAAAGATGCTGGTATAGACATCATCATCAAAACAGGGAGAAAAAAAGCCCAGCCCTTGCCGGTTCTTCTCAGTACAAGGTCTCCCGCCGTAGATTTACGAACCGATGGCGTAGCTTCTAGACATTCATATGTGCTTGCAACAGCCTAAACTGAATAAATGATTCTGATTATGATTATTTGATGACTGCGATAGGAATACCTACGGTTATGTCAAAGTTTCTGTTTGGGGTGCTGATGTATGGTATCCTATATTATGATTTTTCTCATTTACTGCCAGGTGACATGGAGTTCAATCCGAACCCGTTCTACCAGGGGCACACGCTGAAGGACCTGCTGGACCCCAACCTTACGTACTGGGTGCACCACGGCCGACACATCTTAAAACAAGGACGCACAATATGGTGGAACCCCAACGCTGACATGGTAATATGTCGTTATACCTAAAACTCAAGGAGGAGGAGCTCGATGGCGCAAGTGGTTAGCGCGTTCGGCTGCGATCGTTGAAGTTAAGCAACTTTCGCAGTGGTCGGTCATTGGATGGGTGACCAAAAAAAATTTACTATCGCGAGCTCCTCCGTGCTTCGGAAGGCACGTTAAGCCGTTGGTCCCGGCTGCATCTGCAGTCGTTAGCACCCACCAATCCGCACTGGGCCCGCGTGGTGGGTCATGGCCCAATCTCCCTATTCCATCCATAGGGAAGGCCTGTGCCCCAGCAGTGGGGACATTAATAGGCTGATGATGATGATGATGATGACCTAAAACTAAGTATCATGGCGTTTCCGTATTTTGTAAATAAGGTACCTCAGGTTTCGAGGTTCAAGTCAAATTGAATGTGAAAAGTTTTATGTTATGTGACTAGGTAGGAAGACCCCGATAATACAGTGTTACAGTTTCAATAGGTTTATAATTTTTTTGCTTGCAAAGAAATCATGGTGTGTATGCTTTGACTATCTCAGTATGTGTATGACTAAGTATATTAATCCCGAAGATCGATACCTACATTCGGGGATGGATTTTGGTTTGCTTCCAAGATGAACTCTAAACGCGATAAAAGCGGACGATAAAGCGGAATGCAGCTCTACATATGCTGCCAATAGCGATATGTCATTATATGCTGCTGCAGCTGAATCGCTGTAAGTAACCGCGGTACAAGCCCAGTGTTGTATTTTGTTTTCTCCAACGGTAGGTAATCTTTTCTGGTGAATTGTGAAATTTTCAATCAGCAGGAAGAAGGTTTGGAGGAGGAAGAGGACGAAGGTCCACCACCCGCGGTCCCGGAGTCTGGTCCGTCGCTATTCAGTCCCCTGGCGGAGGACGCGCGCGTAGACGGCATGCGGGCGTGGACACCGCGACAGAGCTCCGCGCTCGCCCCGCAGCGGGCGCTCGCCGTCATACGCAGCACGCTGTGGCCCGGCGCTGTAGCCTACGCCACCACTGGCAAGTGAGTGTAACTATACCAGAGCTCCGCGCTCGCCCCGCAGCGGGCGCTCGCCGTCATACGCAGCACGCTGTGGCCCGGCGCTGTAGCCTACGCCACCACTGGCAAGTGAGTGTAACTATACCAGAGCTCCGCGCTCGCCCCGCAGCGGGCGCTCGCCGTCATACGCAGCACGCTGTGGCCCGGCGCTGTAGCCTACGCCACCACTGGCAAGTGAGTGTAACTATACCAGAGCTCCGCGCTCGCCCCGCAGCGGGCGCTCGCCGTCATACGCAGCACGCTGTGGCCCGGCGCTGTAGCCTACGCCACCACTGGCAAGTGAGTGTAACTATACCAGAGCTCCGCGCTCGCCCCGCAGCGGGCGCTCGCCGTCATACGCAGCACGCTGTGGCCCGGCGCTGTAGCCTACGCCACCACTGGCAAGTGAGTGTAACTATACCAGAGCTCCGCGCTCGCCCCGCAGCGGGCGCTCGCCGTCATACGCAGCACGCTGTGGCCCGGCGCTGTAGCCTACGCCACCACTGGCAAGTGAGTGTAACTATACCAGAGCTCCGCGCTCGCCCCGCAGCGGGCGCTCGCCGTCATACGCAGCACGCTGTGGCCCGGCGCTGTAGCCTACGCCACCACTGGCAAGTGAGTGTAACTATACCAGAGCTCCGCGCTCGCCCCGCAGCGGGCGCTCGCCGTCATACGCAGCACGCTGTGGCCCGGCGCTGTAGCCTACGCCACCACTGGCAAGTGAGTGTAACTATACCAAAGCGTCGCGCGAATTTTTTCTAGTAAGATTTCGCGCTACCTGCGCTTACGCGACGTTTCAATTTTGACATAAATGTATGAAGCTAATGCCAACTTTGACATTTATCGCACCTAGAGCGTAGGTTTTGAACGTAGCCTGGACCCGCGACACGACGAATGACGTTATCGTATGTTCGCGGGCCGCCCGCGTTTCGGTGTGCTAAATTGATAGTTTAAACTTAATTCTCTCAGCCATTTTTAAAGAGAGAAAAAAAGTAAAAATCCTATAAATATTTTGTAGATTACTTTAGCTTTTCTAGAAAAACGGTTGTCATCTCCATTGGACGCCTCCCCGTTCAATAAATGGCTCTTGGACTATACATGATTTGCAGACGTTCAGAGTGCATGTACGTGGGTTGGGGTCTGAAGGCGCAGATTCCCAACTGGTCGCCGCTGCAGCTACCGCGGCCGCAGGACGAGTACCCTGTAGGCCCTGAGGTCATGGAGATGGCCGACCCAACATTTGCTGACGAGGAGGTTACTATACCTATTATTATGTGTAGTTGTTTTTATATTTATACATATAACGCCAGACCAAAACGACTGGTTTAGCCCCTCTCCATCTACAGGGATGCAGCTATTAGAGAAAGGACTTCTTCCATTTAGGAACAAGTCGATTTTTCGACTCGGCTCTGTCACTTATTATTTCCTTGAGTGTTATCTATTAGATTGTAAAATAGAAAGTGGGCAGAAAAATAGGCCTATCTCAAAAATACTTAAATATCTTTGCCGTGTCTTTATGCGGGAAAGATTAAGAACATTTATTGCTAAATAACTACATAATACTTCAAAAGAAAAATTTACTTGAAAAAATTCCACGCGGACCAGTACCCTTAGTACGAGTTTGAGCTGACGAAAACTATCTATCATAGTTTTCGTAATTGTAAATTATGTTTCTATGTCCATTTTGGTGAAAAGTAACCAAATATACTCAAAATTTATGAAGTCGCAAATGATTTAATGATATAATTTAAACACTGTTTATTTGTATTGAAACGAAAACAATAAAATCAGTACCCTTAGTAAGAGTTCGAGCTCACGAAAACTATCATAGTTTTCGTAATTTTAAAACTCGTACTAAGGGTACAGATAACAGACTGGACTCTTTACAAGTAAAAGTATATCATTTGACATTGTGGGTTACCAACAATGCTGCATTGCAGCCTACGAAATACTAGAAAAAATTCGCGGTAGCATAATTGGTCAGTGCATCCGCCCAGATTGCGGAGGGTGCGTGCGTTTTGGAGTCTCTTCCAAGTGCCTTTTTTCTAATAAAATTTTCTATAGAATTAAATAAATACCTAGCAGTTAAAAACTTAAAAATAAGAATATAATAAACTACATATTTCACTTTTCCTATCGCAGGCCTATCGGATTGCCCATTTACCCCCACCCCCGCCCCCCGAGCTGCCCGGGGAGGGAGAAGGCTTCGGCGAAGAAGAGGAAGACGAAGATTAAACATAAAATCCTGTTCGTCGCTCTATCCCTTTCTCATGCACACACATGCCGATCATCAGAGCGAGAGAATGTACGTGATGTATCTCGTTCTAGAATACCACGTTTGGTCAGAGATGGAGCAACTTGGATAGTTAAACTGATAAATGTAGATGGAGCAACTTGGGTACTTAAAGTGATCAATGTGGATGGAGCAACTTGGGTAGTTAAAGGGATCAATGTGGATGGAGCAACTTGGGTAGTTAAAGGGATCAATGTGGATGGAGCAACTTGGGTAGTTAAAGGGATCCATGTGGATGGAGCAACTTGGGTAGTTAAAGGGATCCATGTGTTATTTAGAAGACAAGTTTATTTATATTAATAAAACATAGTTGTTATATATATTTTTTCATTAGAGAGTGCCTTATCTAGATTCTAAAACGCATCAGAAGTTAGGTCCGGAAAGAAAATAAAACATAAAATAACGCTTGCAAAACTATATTTAAATGAACAGAATTAATATTTACAATAACAATAATATCACTTCAATAGAAACAATTTTCATAGACTGACTTGAGTTCGACCTGGGTTTTACAATGCGTTCAATTTCAAACCTTGCTACACATAATGTTACTCTTATAATAGATTTACAGTTTCTTCTGTTTGCTCCAAGCTTTAACTGTTGTATTTATATAACCAGAAAAAAAATATGTAAGGCTTTGGCCTCATATCTAGTGGTCTGTGTAAGCAAAAAAATCACGAAATTAGTGTGTTATGGTGGTTACAAACTGTGTTTAATAATCTGTTTTTATCATTGCATTCCTTATTGTACCCTCGTATTTTATTGCAACAACAAAGCTTCTCACCGTCAAATTGTTTTTTATCATCTATATATATAAAACTCAAAGGTGACTGACTGACATAGTGATCTATCAACGCACAGCCCAAAACACTGGACGGATCGGGCTGAAATTTGACATGCAGGTAGATTTTATGACGTAGGCATCTGTTAAGAAACGATTTTGATCAATTCTATCCCCAAGGGGATAAAATAGGGAATAAAAGTTTGTATGAAACTTTGTCAATTTTAAACCGATCGGGCTGAGACTTTGCATGCAGGTATAAAGAAGAATCATAGATGAATGTCATTGTGTATAATACAAGCCTGAGAACAAAAACTGTAGTCTACAATTCAGCTCTACACCGAAGCGAAGCGAGGGCGGGCCGCTAGTTTCTTTACAAAACTAAATTTATCAGAATCTATTCATCAGTATTAGACCTATTCTAGACGGATGTTATCCAGCGTACCAACCAAGGAGACCTTGCCCATTGCCATCTAGACGAAGTATGTAATCCAAATTTTGATTTGACTTTCAACGATTACGTGTTGGCGCGTAGATTACATCCGAGTAGCCAAAAATGATAACGCGGATGGAAACCAACTTCCCACCAAGGTCACCTTGGTTGGTATGCTGGATTAAATCCGTCTAGAATAGGCTTAATCGTGATTTTTCAAATTCAAATTCTTTATTGCATAGTCACATGGTTAAAAGATGACAATTTAGTAATATATTATACTAGCGGACCCGACAGACGTTGTCCTGTCTACACGTCTTTGTGAATCTAAACCATTCTCAGATCCCCTTGAACACACACAAAAAATTTCATCAAAATCGGTCCAGTCGTTTAAGAGAAGTTCAGTGACATACACACTCACAGAAGAATTATATATATAAAGATATAGAACATGTGACTCCCTGCAAGGGTGTTTGCAATTTATTTATACATAAAAATAATTAATAATATTTTATACAATTACATCAGTTGAACAAGAATGGGCATACAGGGCGGCGCTACTACAGCATTTACATGTATTAATTAAAAATGAGCAAAATTGTAGACACTAACTATTCAATAATTCAACTACTACTATTTATATTACACAAGTATCACATAATGTATATATCTATAGCTTTATGTATTTCGTGAGTAAATGTTAGAGCTGATTTAATAACTCAAATATACCCTAAAAGGGAGTGAACAGTACTCCTAGCATGAACCAATATCGAATTCGTATCGTTTGCGAGTCCGAAATGTCATTGTCAATTGAACATTAGCGCCATAACGTACGTAATGAGAACTACAAATCAGTACACATTTGACAATGACATTTCGGACTCGCAAACGTTACGATTTCGATATTGGTATAGGGTATTTTCCAAATTTTTAAAAACTGACTTTGATTTACAGATGGGGACAAACAATTTCACAGAAAAATAAAAATAAATTAATTAATGTATTTTTTTCTCCATTAGACTAATTAAAGTTGAATTTATTTTTAATGGTTTTGAATTTACCGCCAAAACTCTTGGTTCGATTACGTCTACTGTGTGACGTCAACTTTGTGTATGCTATAATCATATGAAGGTCAAATCACTTACTTTTATTACGTTCAGGATAAAATAGTACAATACTTACACAAAATCAGGATTAGTAGCGAAGAAATTTGCAAAGTATTATACTATAAATTTATCGCGAACGTAAAAAAAGTTAATAATTTGACCTTCAGATGATTACATAGCATACACAAAGTTGACGTCATCGAACCGAGTGTTTTAGCGGTCAATAAATAATAATAATAAGGTATGTATTTCATAGAAGTGTTGGGTCAAGCGATTACAGCGCCCCTTGTGGCCAAATTTTGCATATATCTTGTCCATTGAATCGAGCGTATGATTCACACGTTTCCACTTCTGTTTGTTGGAAATGAGACCTTAAAACAACTTCTGTGAGTACTACTTCTTAATTGCTGAAGATGGTCCTTAATAATAATGGACAAAGTATGATATCTACCCCCTTCTTCTGCTTACGTTTGTGTCTGCCAATTGAAAGTAGACCTTATAACAGTTGAATCGAGCGTATGATTTGTTTGTTGTTTTGATTTGTACTCGTATTTGTTGGAAAAGAGAATTTAAAACAACTGAATAGAGTCAATATCTACTTCTTATGTTTATGCAAGTGCGGTGCCGACAGTTTAACCTTCCCCGGAAAGTTTCTAGCGATGTTTTCCTCACTGACTGCTTTTAATAAGTCCCTCTCGCGCGGGGCAGCGTTCTTGTCGCGTAGGAACACATAAATTATACAGATTGATTGCTGAAAAATGGTCCTTAATACAAGTGAATAAAGAACGTTTATTACCATTTCTACTTTTTCTGTTCGTGTCTGCCAGTTGAAAGTAGACCTTATAACAAGTGAATCGAGCGTATGATTTGTTTGTTGTTTTGATTTCTACTCCTATTTGTTGGAAAAGAGAACTTAAAACAACTAAATAGAGAAACACATAAATTATACCGATTGATTGCTGAAAAATGGTCCTTAATACGAGTGAATAAAGAACGTTCATTACCATTTCTACTTTTTCTGTTTGTGTCTGCCAGTTGAAAGTAGACCTTATGACAATTTAATCGAGCGTATGATTCACAAGTTGTTGTAAGTATGTTTTTGGTGGAAAATTGACCTTAAAACAACTGAATAGAGTCAATATCTACTTCTTATGTTTATGCAAGTGCGGTGCCGACAGCTTCACCTTCCCCGGGAAGTTTCTAGAGATGTTTTCTTCACGGACTGCCTTTAATAAGTCTCTCTCGCGCGGGGCAGCGTTCTTGTCGCGAAGAAACACATAAATTATACCGATTGATTGCCGAAAATAGTCCTTAATACAAGTGAATAAAGAACCTTAATTACCATTTCTACTTTTTCTGTTCGCGTCTGCCAGTTGAAAGTAGACCTTATGACAGTTTAATCGAGCATATGATTCACAAGTTGTTGTAAGTATGTTTTTGGTGGAAAAGTGACCTTAAAACAACTAAATAGAGTCAATATCTACTTCTTATGTTTATGCAAGTGCGGTGCCGACAGCTTCACCTTCCCCGGAAAGTTTCTAGCGATGTTTTCTTCACGGACTGCCTTTAATAAGTCTCTCTCGCGCGGGGCAGCGTTCTTGTCGCGTAGAAACACATAAATTATACCGATTGATTGCCGAAAATAGTCCTTAATACGAGTGAATAAATACCGTTCATTACTTTTTCTACTTTTTGTGTACGCGTCTGCCAGTTGAAAGTAGACCTTATAACAGTTGAATTGAGAGTATGATTTGTTTGTTATTTTGATTTGTACACGTATTTGTTGGAAAAGATAACTTAAAACAACTGAATAGAGTCAATATCTACTTCTTATGTTTATGCAAGTGCGGTGCCGACAGCTTCACCTTCCCCGGGAAGTTTCTAGCGATGTTTTCTTCACGGACTGCCTTTAATAAGTCTCTCTCGCGCGGAACAGCGTTCTTGTCACGTAGGAACACTTGTACCGCAGCTTTGGCCGCTTTGCCACGCTTGCTGGTGCCCGGGGTAAGCTTCACTTTGTACCTGAATATAAGATTTTGTTTAATACATGAGCACAGCGAGTGGAACTATAAAGTTATAGTATTTTTAGGAGTTTTTAACGTGTAACATCTTTCCTCTCGCTTTCGTGCAATTTGTGGGAGTGATCACGTGAAGTGGGACGGAATTGTGTAACAGGAAGTTTGGGAAGCGCGCGCTATTTGATTTGATTTTAGAACATAATGTTCAAATGGCTTATTCCTTTTGTAGTAGGTTTATTGTAATTAAAATGCGTCTGTGTGTGTATGTGTTTGGATGTATGTATCTATATCCATAAATGCTGTGTCATAACCATGATTGTGTACCCTATACTATGGCAAATTCACATTCTCAATTTTTTGTTGTATTTGTCGTATACAATAAGTAGATTTTTTACTGTATGTTAATGTCCTAAGCTGTATAGACATATTTGTAATAGATTGCTGTAACCTAACTAATCCCAAGGAGGAGGATGGACCGGTGCTCTGAAATACAAGCTCGGCTTAGTTCAGACACCGACCTCTCACGACATCAATGGTACTCACACTATGATTGTTAAATGTCTATCTATCCATATGCTTATAAAAATGTAATTAGTTATTTAAAAAAAATGTTGTCGATGCCAAAATGTTGTGACGAGAAATAAACGATTTATTTATTTATTATAATTTCTTTTTTTACTAATATAAGGTCCCTCCAGACCACGTGATCTTCGCTCTTGCAGGCACCTTACCCTTAAAACTTTTTTTCACCATTCAGGGTTCGTTTCCAAATCTTTCGCCATCACAGCTATACCTCTTTGGAATGCTTTGCCACTGAATATTCGCAGTGCACGTAATAAGCTACAATTCAAAAAACTAGTGCGTGCTCACTATCTGTCAAACTAATTTTCCTCTTAATCTGTAGTCATCTATACATCATAATTTTTTTTTTTTACTAATATTAGTGTATGTATGTTTATTTATGTATTTATTTATAAATATATATATTTATATGAATATATATGTATATCAGTATATGTGTAGGTATAATATGTATTTTATATTTATTGTTGTTATAGAATAGTTAGGTATTGTAGATAGTTTTCATGATCCACACTAAGTAGCTCATATTCTATCGCCATTACATTTCATCTCCTACACCTTTAGTGGTTGACTGGTAGAGAATGCCTATGGCATTAAGTCCGCCATTTACTGTTTTTATGGTAATAAAGAATAAATAAATAAAATAAATAAATAAGGTGAGGTTTCAAATGTAACACATCATACGCGACTACTGTAAGGCTCGCTCGTTTTTTTTCCAACACACACTAATCAGCCTAGCTCCAAAGTAAGCACTGTAGGCTTGTGTTAAGGAATACTAGGGTAACGAATACAATACATATACTGATACATATATAAGTATCTTTATATAGAAACACATATTCAACATCCATGCCTGTAGTACAAATGCTTGTATTCATCACACAAACATCTGCCCTCACCGGGATTCGAACCCTCCAGTAGGCGGATACCTTAAAACCCGGCGTACAAACGACTCGGCCATGGAGGTCGTCAATATAATCTTAAGTAATAAATTTAAGTTAAAATAAATCCAGTAAAAGATTTGTTTAGATTTAAAAATCAAGTAGTTTAAATGATTCACTTATTTAAGTAATGAATTGGGCCAAAGGAATGGTATGTAAAGGAAATATTACTAGAAAAAGAAAACTACGCGGCCCAGACAGCGGACGGGACTCGAACCGGCACGCTCCGCTATCCAGACGGATGCACTGACCAATCATGCTTTCGCAACCTTAATGACCGTGTCGATTTTGTTCTAGTATTCTTAGGCCGCAAGACAGCGCCATCTTTTCGCATTATAGGTAAGAGTCCCGGCTGCTGCCTGGACCGCGGATTTTTTTATAGTAATATTTTCTTTAAATTTAAACAAATAGATAGATAAATGATGTATGCAGTAATTAGTATGGTCCGTTTCACACGTTTTGAGAGCGAATGTAAACAAAAACTTTACCTCCCAATTAGTTACCGTAGATTTTAAACATCATCAGAGTATTAATGTCAGGAGGAGCTCGAGATAGTACATTTTTGGTCACCCATCCAACGACCGACCACTGCCAAAGTTGCTTAACCTCAACGATCGCAGCCGAACGCGCTAACCACTTGCGCCATCGAGCTCCTCAATTTTTCAATCAAATCTAAAGAATCTCAATCATCATCAAATTGATCAATTTATTTTGATAAGGCTTTACGAATTCCTATCACTATAGCTGCTGCATATTGTAAAGTTTTCCCCATAGAGGTATAAGAATAGAGTGGTATAGGGAAGGCGGCTCTAAAAGTGTCCGTCTAGTAGAAAGAGAATGAATATGAGAGACCGCTAGCTATCTCTCTCTCTTGAGACGCATGGCATCCAATGGCATCACATCGAAATAGTAAGTGCTTACGGTGGCCAATGCGCATGCGCGATTAGAGAGAAAAGCTAACGGTCTCTCATCTTCTTTCTCTTTCTATTAGAGTGACACTTCCTCTTGTAGTACAGTCTATATCTACCCTACTCTATTTTTATACCTCTATGGTTTTCCCACCTCTTTATTAACTTTTTGTTTTAAAAGGTTTGAAACATGATTTACTCACTTATAGTTATGTAGTGCGGAGTATGGCCCGCAGACGGGCACAGCGAACAGTAGCTCGTCTTCGGGCAACGGACAGCCGGTAAGTTGGCTCAGTAGCTCGTCGTTAGCACTGGCACCAGCCGTTTCCAACTATCAAACGCGATATTAGATATTAAGGTTACAACCTTGGTTACAACTCAGCCGAAAAATATATTAAGGAGAAAAGGGAGAGGTGGAAACAGCAGTTATATCTGTCAAACCTAAATAAGAGTATGACGAGAAGAGAAAGAGACAAAAGATATAGTGTGTTGTTCTCTTAAATCAGAAAGCGGATAAACATGAAGCAATAAAGATTATGACTATTATTAAATGATTTAAACTTAAAACTAAACTAAAACTAAAAACTAAAGTCCATTTTTTTAATTATTCGTCTTTCGTGGAGCGATGAATTTAAGATATACTGATTTTCATGCCTTATAAAAAATAATGATTGACTCGCTCTCCCGTTTTGTATCCTCTCAATTCAGAGGTTGTCTAATGGAACAGTTACACAAGAATCAAACAACTACGTATGCGCCAAACGCTTTTGTTTAAACTGTGAAGAAGCAATATTGCCATCAACTAATGGGGTATTACAACCATTTTTGAAATATTGAAAAATGTCTCAATTAAATTGTAAAGAGCTAATATGCTAAAAAGACAATTTTTTTATTCAATCGTTGAATGCTTTAAAGATGTATTTATATTTAACATTTTCAAATTTCGCGCGTAGTTAAACAAAAATGCTGGACGCAGTGGACATATTGCTCTGCGGTCCTAACGTCATTATTACTGTAAATAAATGCGTTACCTTGGTTACGAAAACATTAAAATATTATGTCGCTGTCACTTTGGCATATACTAGCGGTGTGACGTAATGATGTAGCGGCTGCTACTACCTACCTATTTCATCATGTTTTCAAACTGATTAAAAAAACTAAAAACTTTGAATTGAATTTTAAATTGATTTTGAAACTAACATTAATTTTCCTACTCCTTTTTGCCCAGACTTTGGCAATAATAACACTGAGTGTTTGTTTGTTACTTCTTCACATCTAAACGGCTGGAGCGATTTTTATAAAATTTGGAATGGAGTAAGCTGACACCCTGGATTAACACAGACTACGTTTTATTCCGAAAAAATATGCCTAATAAACCGCGGGTAACACCGCGGGGCACAGCTAGTACATTTATAGATTTTATCTCAAGTAGAGTGAAATACCCTGTTATTTGTCTGTGAGGTGGCTAAATTCAGCCATAACAATAGACACTTGAAATACCTCATGAAGTATAAAATGAGCCTTGATAAGCAGTAAACCATTACATTACTAAAGTAGAACTTTTATTAGCTGCAGTAAAATGACGTTTTGTGGGTTACCGCTTTTTGAAGAAAAATAAATAGGGATGTAGCTAAGTGAGTAAGTGAATCATTCAATAAATGAGTGATGAGTTTGGTTTTATTTAAGAGATTTAATATTAAGTTGTAATGTTTTTTTATTCTATTATTATTACTTTAGTAAAGGATTGATCTTTTTCAGTGGAAGTATAAGGACGTACATTCAAAATTAAACAAAATTGTCATAACAATGTTATTTATTAATCAATCATTTTCGGAATCACTATTGCTTCCGGTCACACTAATGACAAATCTGTCTGTCACTTCTTTTATAATATGATCGAGATGGCACATTTTGTCTTCCTCTTTTATAGTGTGAGACACAGTCATTCCACTTAGTCGGTGTCACTTTGTTGATTCCTTCTTGGAATAAAGTTTTCAATTCTTGCATTTTATATGTGTTATTATTGATTGCGACGTGCCCCTTTACCTGAGCCCAAACCAACTCGATGGGGTTCAATTCACAGTGATAAGGGGGCAGTGTTAAAAGTCTGATACCTTTTTCAGCAATCTCGTCCACGGCACATTTCTCAGTATGATTTTGTTGTTTCACAATATATATATCTATGAGAGTGGCCTTCACCATATTTGGTTCAAATGTAATATTTTTAGTGGTCAGCCACTCTTGAATTCGTGCTTTCGTCCACGACATTTTTGGGATTGTTTCGATCTTCCTAGAATGATAGGGCGCGTTGTCCATTACGACTTCTGCATTCGGCTTGAGTTTGGGTAGAATGCCGTCGAACCACTTCTGGAAACACTCTGCGTTCATTTCATCATGGTAATCTTCTGTACCTTTCTTTGCTTCAAACATAAGAAATCCGTCGTCCAGGAAGCCTTCTTCTCCGCCTATGTGACTGATTATGAGTCGTTTGCCCTTTCCTGTGGAATTTTTTAATCCCGTAGTTAGACCATCTAAAAATGCCTGCCGAGAAGAGTTTATACTTCCACCACTCCAGGTTTTTTTTTGTAGTATGACCTGAAAGAACAAAAAATAATCATATGTTTCGACAGCTAAAAAAAAGGGGATCAAACATAGAAAACTAAGAGTTGCCACTTACCAGCGTTGATCCAGGTCTCGTCTTGAAAATACATATATCTTCCCTCCCTACGATATTGTTTAATTAAACGCAGGTAGCGCTGGCGCCATGATATGATATCTTGTCTATCAATAAGTACGCTCTTGCGTGATCGAGTAGTGAATTTGAAACTAAGATGCTTCATAATTTTTCTCAATGTCTCTTACGAGAAGTTGGCCTTTTGGTACAGCCTTTTATTTATATGAATAATAAATAGAATTAAGTATGATCATTATGAGTTACTTATGGAACGATAAGATTTTCTGTGAACCTAAGCACATCCCTATTGAAATTAGGCTGTCAACATTATTTTACGGAATGACATTTTGAAACGTCATTTTACTGCAGCTAATAAAAAGTCGAAGTATAGGCTGATGACGATGAGCGTCGCTAAGCAGAAAGCGACCAGCGTGCATTTTGGGATCGCACAGAATCAACCTTAAAACTGGGTACATAAAACAAATTTTCGCTTGTTTCAAAAATGCCCGCTGGTCACTTTCTGCGTAGCGACGCTCATCGCCATCAGCCTATTAATGTTCCCACTGTTGGGAACAGGCCTTCCCTGTGGATGGAATAGGAAGATTGGGCCATGACCCACTACACGGGCCTGGTGCGGATTAGCGGGTGCTAACGACTGCAGATGTAGCCGGGACCAACGGCTTAACGTGTCTTTCGAAGCGCGGAGGAACTCGAGATAGAAGATTTTTGGTCACCCATCCAATGACAGACCACTGCGAAAGTTGCTTAACTTCAACGATTGCAGCCGAACGCGTAAACCACCTGCGCCATCGAGCTTCAACGATGCTCAGATGGTAAATATAAAACGATACATTTAGTGAAGAGGTGTCATGTGAGGCGGGTCGTTGCGTTCCCTAAAATAAGGTTGAGCGAAGCGACGGCTGGTTCATGCGTCATGCTCGTGAACGGGTACTGCCAGTGGAGATGAGTCTGCCCTAACTACTTTGATATTTAAGATGTTAATGTCTAATTACACCTAATATAAATAACACTATTTGTATTAATACTGTATGACACAGCAATCAAAAAGAAGGTCATCAATGAATGTATATTTGACATTATGTAATGAAAGGCGACTTTATGAATCATCTCCGAAGTTATTTTTCAACTTGACGACTCTATAAATGATGAAACAGGGGAAAAAAAAACAGCCCTTGCTGAGTTTATTGCCGGTTCTTCTCAGTACAAGGTTTCCCGCCGTAGATTTACGAACCGATGGCGTAGCTTCTAGACATTCATGAGTGCTTGTAACAGCCTAAACTGAATAAATGATTTTGATTATGATTATTATGATGATAATGTCCAAGAAAAGTGTATTGTATATTGATTTATCTCACTGACCTCAGGCTCGGGCTCCGGCTCGCCATCAGACTCGGCCTCCAGTATGAGGGGCGCGGGTTGAGGGATCTTCTGTCCCTTCGGCTTGCTGACCTTCGCAGCGGCCGCCTTTTTAAGCGCCTTCTTGGATTCCTTCTCTTGTTTCGCTGACTAAAGGATTAAAACCTTTGTGTTTATTTTGGTATTAAAATGAACTAATACAAAGCAATATTTATGAAATCATATCTCTAATATGTCAAACTATAAAATTATTAATTGAAATGAATTTTCTAATTCTAATAATATAAAATAAAACTAAGGACGAGGCTGTATGGGCATTGTTCCCCTTGCCTTCCCAGAATAGGGAGAACATATAAAAAAGGATTAAAACCACTCATTGATTAATGTATCTATCTTCACGATGACCTCCGTGGCCGAGTGGTTTGTACGCCGGGTTTCATGGTGTCGCCGACTCGAGAGGTCCTGGGTTCGAATCCCGGTGGGGGCAGATGTTTGTGTGATGAATACGAGCATATGTACTCCAGTCATGGATGTATAATATGTATTTTCGATATAAATATTCTTATATATGTACAGTATTCTATCCGTTACCCTAGTATCCCATAACACAAGCCTTACAGTGCTTATTTTAGGGCCAGGCTAATTGGAGTGAGTTGGAAAAAAAATCTTTTTTGCCTTGGAACATTTTGTATGCAGATGATATTGCTATTATTAACAACACAGCAACAGGACTTCAAGCAAACTTAACGTCTTGGATTGAGGCCTTGGAAACAATGGGCCTCAGGGTCAGTCGATCTAAGACGGAGCACTTGGAATGCCTTTTTAATAATGATAGCCACCCAACAACAATCCACTATCCTGATAACACGCCCGTACCGAAAATAACACAATTTAAATACCTAGGCTCAGTTGTTTCAGGAAATGGCGCATAGAGTAAATGTAGCGTGGCAAAAGTGGAGATCTCTAACAGGAGTTTTATGTGACCCCCGCATGCCTGTACGCAACAAAGGCAAAGTCTATAAGACGGCAGTGAGACCGGTAATATTGTACGGAGCGGAATGTTGGCCAGTAAAGAAAACTCAAGTAAAGAAAACTCAAAAAGGCTTTATTGCTTCCTGAACATAAAAGAGGCAGAAGGCGCCCTCCCGCCACCTGGTGGACCAGCATGACGAAGCTAATGACAGCTGAAAAATTACCCGAACCGACAAACCTAGACAGAGAGTCTTGGCGCCTTAAAATTAGGAGAGCCGACCCCATATAAAGTGGGAAGGAGCAAGGACGAAGAAGAAGAAGAAGAACTGATAATCAAGTAGTTGTACCAGTTTTCCGTCCGTGGCTTCTTCCTAGTAATACCCATTTAAATTCCTAAAGGAATTAATTTTTAAAATACATACCCATTTCCTATTTTGTCTATAACCAAATACTGAATCATCAACAGACTTACATATTACTGTCTCCCAAAATTACAATTCGCTTTTAAAAACTTAGCCATTGGTAGGGTCTGCTCTTCAGCAAATAAAATAAATCTGTATTCCTATTTATACAGAAATTTAATTTAATTTATTTAATTAAATAAACATGACTGGATTACAAATGCTCGTATTCATCACACATAAATGTGCCCACACCGGGATTTGAAGCCGGGACCTCTCGAGACGGCGACACCATGAAATCCGGCGTACAAACCACTCGGGCATGGAGGTCCTTGTATACCTGTGTATGCTAAAAATGAGTGCAAATTTCCAACCTGAAGCACTTTCATCATGGCCTCCTTATCCTCTTCGTCCTGGTCGCGGTACTTCTCCCTGATCTTCTTGAGCTTCCCGCGCTGGCCGCGCTTCATGCCCTCCTTCTGCTTCGCTTCCGGCTGCTTCTGCTCTTTGCTACGCTGCGGCTTCTTGCCGCCCTTCTTCGGAAGGGACGGGAATGAGAGCGAAGTTCCATCACCTGATGTGCAAATAAATTTAATGTCATTTAAAGTGAAATCGGAATTAAATGTCAATCTGTTTCCTTAAAAGGTTTTTAAAAACATTTTTGTCTAAAAAAGCATATGTCGTTATTTTAAGGTTATTTTGGTAACCAAATTTGTTCTAAAATAATGCATTATCTACCGAAGGTTTTCTTGTGAACATGATAATTCCTTATCAAAATTAACACATTATGCATCGCGAGTATTAAATTTTGATTAAAATTGTTCTTGACTTCAGTCGATTTCAATAAATATTTTAAGAGATATCATATTTGTTTCTTAGGTTTTCACGCACATCACTCACTAAATAAAACAAGTTTCAACGGGTTAGATGCACTGATTTTATTTATTTAATAGGCGCGTCTACACAGAGCGAGCAGCCTCGCGAGGCAATTGCCGCGCGAGGCAGCTCGGTTAATGTAGACGTGCCTCGGCCGGCAAGCGCGCGCGCTTCCGCGGGCATATATCTACTGAATATGCATATAAAATTTCACGAAAATCGGTCGAGCCGTTTCGGAGTAGTTCAATCACGCACACCGTGACACGAGAATTTTATATATTAGAATGTTAATAAAATAATGTAGCGATTTTGAACGACAAATCAATAAAAATGACTTTGAAAATTTCAACATTGACCAGTTTCGCGGCAGACTCCTAGATGGCGCAAGCGTTACTTGGCTATAGTCTTAGGCCCGTATTAAAGAAAGATTCTCAGTGATTGATCTAGTCTTGATCATAGTTAGAAAGGGATGTCGCTATATAGAGGTTCTCCAAAAGGTTCTTGGTTCATTTGTGGGTCAAGGCATATGTTACTATAATAAAATACCAAAAGAAATAATTAATTTACCTTTCAATAAGTTTAAAGTGTCTATAAAAACATGTCTCCTTAAGAAAGGTTACTATACTGTTAAAGATTTCATAAATGATAAGTCACCTTGGGCTTAATATAACAGACTAAGTCGTTTTACATTGCTGATTTGGTTGAAAATTGTTTAATCGCCACTTCTAAATTTAAAAGTAATACCTAGCTATACTTAACTTTTGTTAATTAATAATATTAATGTGATGGAAGTTGACATCAATACATGTTTTCAATTTTTGATGTCATCTTTCAATTGACGACACTGTTTGAAACAAAACAGGGAGAAAAAAATAGCCCTTGCTGAGTTTCTTGCCGGTTCTTCTCAGTAAACGGTCTCCCGCCGTAGATTTACGAACCGATGGCGTAGCGTTTGACTTTCACAAAAGCTTGCAACAGCCTAGACTGAATAAATGAGTTTGAGTTTGATAGCACATTGCGATATTCCTTTCTCACTGTACTCAAGTAAAGATCAACACTTAGTTCTCATTCTGTAATACGGACCTTAGCTTGCTCTTATAAAAAAAAGTGATCAATAATTTACTCACTCTTATCGGACACCTCTGATATGGTCCTAGTTTTAGACTGCGTAATAACTTCGCCGGTGCCGTGATCCACCTTGATATGAGTATTTGGAAACTCCGCTTCTGAACTATCGCTATCACTGTCACTGCTATTCCCTTCTTTGTCTACTTCTTCTCTCTCCTTCTCTGTTCCTCCATCCTTTAATTCTTCATCTTTGACATTTTCCGTTTCTGTGTCTCGAGATTTGTTTTTATCTTCATGGTTTGTTTTTGGTTCTTCGTTAATGGTGTCTAGTTTGGGATCGATTGTGGGTTTCGCGTCTTCTTTGTCCGATGCATCATCTGAAACAATAAAAATAAACATAACATAATAATCAGATTTGACCAATCAAAAGGCAATGCCATATTGATAAGCGAAAACCAATACGTTGAAATAAATATTATGTATTTTCTTGGGCAATAAAGTTAGTAGACTAATAAATAACTTCAAAAATATTATACTGCCACAGTATAATTGCCGAATATCACCCTAAAAGGTAGGTACATAATTTTCTTCTCTTTCTCTCACAAGAGAAGAGATTTATTTTATTTTATTTAATTTTTATTGCCTTCACAATGCAAGTGGCGGACTTAATGCCAGTATGGAATTCTCTACCAGTCAACCGGTAAAAAAGGGGAAGAGAAAATGAAACGGCAGACAGCGAACAGAGTAAACATCATGATAAAAACGAAATTAAATAGCATTAATTGATTATACCTACATATATAAATATATATTATAGCAACATATATAATACATACAAATAAATACATATCTACCAATAATATAGTGATTATAGTATTCTTATTCAGTTTAAGCATTTTGCGATAAATTTAAATAATGAGATTGCCTTCAACTCTATTGGCCTTACTTCAAAATGTAGACTAAAGTTAAACCTGGACTAAAACTGATGCTGTCACTTTTGTTTGCTAAAAAGCAGACAAAGACAACATTAGGTTTAAGCCAAGACTAACTTTAGTCCGCGTCTTGTAGTAAGGGGGTTTAAGTTTATAAATCTATATATGTAGGTAAATCTCATAGACGCCAATTGATTTATAATAATGTACACAGCAGATGAGCACCGTATACAAAATATAATATTTCCATCATCATAATCATCATCAGCCTATTAATGTCCCCACTGCTGGGGTACAGGCCTTCCCTGTGGATGAAATAGGAAAGTTGGGCTGTGACCCACCACGCGGGCCTAGTGCGGATTGGCGGGTGCTAACGACTGCAGATGCAGCCGAGATCAACGGCTTAAAGTGCCTTCTAAAGCACGGAGGAAGTCGAGATAGAAGATTTTTGGTCACCCATCCAATGACCGACAACTGCGAAAGTTGCTTAACTTCAACGATCGCAGCCGAACGTGCTAACCATCCGCGCCATCGAACTCCTCTCTATTTCCATCACACCCTATCTATTATGGCATACCTTCTCCATCGGAGACCGGGATCTCCTCTTCTTGCACGGAAGTGACGTCAGAGGCGGAATCGTCCACGGGCGCAGATCTACGCTCACCTCGATGGCGTTCTATACAGCTGTCTTCAAGCTGACGTGCAAAGAAATAACATTTATACAATGTCTAAAAACACGTTTTTTTATAGCAGAAAAACATGCGTTAGCTATAATCTATCAACCCATGTCTTTTTTCTTTATGATTGAGATAAATAATAGTAAAAATATTATTTTTGTCAATATTTTCAGTAGGCTGTTTTTTTGTGTCTGTGGCTTTTCCGTTTTACACAGAAATTTCACCAATTTCTAGTACTGAGAGAGGCAGGAGAAAGACTGCTCGGTAGAAACAGGTTATGGTGGTATGCAGTCTATAATTCAGAGGGTAGTTGAAATGTTGGTAAGCTCGGACATTGGGCGCCATCTTGGCGTTTAACCCCACTTGAGACTATTTAAGGCGACTTCACCCGAGCTCACTCTCTCAGTTCTCTTTCGGTCATCACGTAATACAGTGCGGAGCTCTCTCCCAGTGAAAAAATGAAGTGACAATATTTGGCAAAGGTTTGTGAAGCACAATAAGAATCATGTAAGTCAAAAAAATATTATTAAAATCCAAAAAGACATACGATATCTATTCTAAGATTAATTATCACGGTTACGCCTGCAAAACATTAGAGTGAAAATGCTTAAAATCATCATCATCAGCCTATTAATGTCCCCACTGTTGGGGCACAGGCCTTTCCTATGGATGGAATATAGTGATTGGGCATGGCTCACCCACCACGCTGGCCAAGTGCGGATTGGCGGGTACTAACTACTGCAGATATAGCCGGGACCAACGGCTTAACGTGCCTTCCGAAGCACAGAGGAGCGAGAGATAGAAGATTTTTAGTCACCCATTCAATGACCGACTACTGTGAAAGTTGCTCGACTTCAACGATCACGCAGCCGAACGCGCTTACCACCTGTGCCATCGAGCTCCTCAGTCATCACGATCGCGGTAGTATAGATTGCGCAGGGTGTGGGTTCGAGTCCCGTTTGCTGCTTGGACTGCGTGGTATTTTTCTAGCAAAATTTTCTTTAGATTCAATGATCTAGCAGTCATAAGCATTTGAAATGAATATAATTTTTTTCAACTAAAATTTTTTCAGTGAAATAGATTTAAATAAAACTAGTTTTTACGGGTTAATGCAAGAACTTTATTTATTTATTGACGTTTCGCAGCCTTTTCAGGTCTGCATCGTCAGAGTATTCTGACGATTATATATAGATAGACAGATTTGATTAATGAGTGATGTGCGTGAAAACCTAAGAAACAAATATGAAATAGATTTCTCACCCGGAACATGAAAGTGAATCCGAAGGCCAAATGATCTGTGAGCAGGTAGTTCTTCTTGCCGCGGATCATGAAGGAGCCGGTGGGCAGGAACTCGCCCGTGGGCGCAGACTTGGACACCTGGTGCGCCCACACCCACCACGAGCGGGTCACCACCTTGGCCTCCCAAGCGACGCTACCAACAATATTGACATTTTTTAAGTGGACATTTTAAGGTAGCCTCGGAACGAGACGCTACCAACAATATTAACAAACGCTACCAACAATTTTGAACGAGTACTGCCAGCGGAGATGAGTCTGCCCTAACTACTCTGATATAAGTAACACTATTTGTATTTATACTGTATGACACAGCAATCAAAATGCAGGTGAACAATTAATGTATAATTTCACATTTTGTAATGAAAGGTGACTATATGAATCATCTCTGAAGTCATTTTTCAACTTGACGACTCTATAAATAATAAAACAGGGAGACAGAAACAGCCCTTGCTGAGTTTCTTGCCGGTTCTTCTTAGTACAAGGTCTCCCGCCGTAGATTTACGAACCGATGGCGTAACTTCGAGACATTCATGAGTGCTTCTAACAGCCTATACTGAATAAATGATTTTGATTATGATTAACATTTTTGAAGTGAATATTTTAAGGCTGCCCAGCAACGATATTAAATACCCTAGATACACCACGTGCGCTCAAAATGTGTCCCAATCAAGAAGTGCTTAAACACTGTTCAAGCACTTCTGGGTTCACAGTCACGCGCGGACCGTTGAAAAGTCAAGTTGCCGCAGGGCTCCGTGAAAAATAATATAAAAAATGGGTGCGTGTACTTATGTAGGCGCGTGAGAAGTTATCCTTCTTTGGTATCGTTTAAAATTAGTTTTTAATTGTATGCAAATAATTAATTACAATAAATTAATAAAAAGTCTGGAAAAGGACACAGTCAATAAAGTTCAGTTTTAATTTGAAAAAATAAATAAATAATCAAAATATTCAATTAAAATCGCTACTGAATATAATTTATTAGAACATATGTGATTTGCACTTGTATGAAACTCAAACACGTATTCCGAATATACAAACTAGAAACATGTGGATAAATATTATAAATATGAATACCTATAACTGTTACTTTATTACAATAATAACATAAAAGTAACATTGAAAAATAAAGATGTGGTTTTTGGTTCTACTACACCAATGGTCAAGAGATGGCGCTGTAGTCTCCTGAATCGCGCTTTGGTTCCGTTGTTCCAGATTAATAAATACTTTTGATAGGCCTTCACAATGCAGTCGTTAGCACCCACTAAATAGAGATTCTATTTCTATTTTGTTGGTCGCTAAAGCGACCAACTTCATTATGTTAAAATTTTGTGTTACAGTGATGCGCGCGCATCTTAAAATTTCACTCTCATATTTTTTTCATAACGCGCCTAAAGAAGTATAACTTCAAAAAAAACTTATACAAAGTAGTGTCGTTTTTTCGACAGGCATCTGAAGCATTTGAAGCAAATTATGTTCTAATACTTACTATAAACTGATTATTTAAAAAATATTTGTGATATTCCAATGCCTGGTGGGTAATATAGCTGTCTCTTTTCCTCGCGGTCCGGACCTGCTATATTGCTAACAGCGCGTTCAGAATTGCGCGTAGAGTCAAAGAAATAAGGTCCATATTCTTCCGCATATAGCAATAAGTCGTAAAATTTTACGAGCTTGCATTACGAATTGTCATAACTCTTTGCCACATACGTTTTAAGTAAGTACTTATACTGCATGCATTCAAGGTGACTTTCAATGATTAAATAATGCCTATTGAATTTTAAAGATCAGGTGGTAGAAAGAAAAAAAAGGTTAAATGATGCATACCCTTTCACCGGTGGACCGAGCGTCTAGACGCTTTCAAAAATGCAAAATATCGCCATCTGGAAATACTCGAGCGCGTCAGATTTTCATACAGGCGGTTCAGCTTAATGCCCTAGTCATGCTGATCCACAATCTGACGAATATTCGGAGGGATTTTCTTAATCTGACGGTTTAAAGAAATTTTTCTCCGTGTTTTTTTTTCAAATCATTGAATGTGATATGTACTTAAATAAAATTCATAAAGAATAGCATGCAAATAAAAATAAGTTGAAAATCTAATCAGGGTTAAATTAGGCCAAGGTACACTCATTGTAAAATAATCAGCTCATTTGCTTCAGCGGTTCGAGCGAAAATATGGCGAATAATTTTAGTCACGTATTCACAGACATGTTCCTTATTTTAAATATAAAAAAAAATACAAATAAAAAAAAAGTGTTACATTTCAGTCTCTGGTAAGCCTACAGAAGATAAGTTGGAGTACTTTATGCTCATACAAAAGCGAGTTTGATGCCTAAAGTCGGACATTTGCAGAAAATTCCTTTTTTAATATTCATAAATAAGTAACAATGCAACAAAACATTGTATTTGTGTATTATTCATGACTTCATGCGAAATAGAGAGAGGCGCGTAGTATGAAATACATGCTTCGCTGCTGCTGCACGCGCAACACTTTATTAACGATTTTTGTTACTTCGGCTTGTCCAAATCGGCAGATTATATGTTTTCCATCATCCTTGAATTATTGCCTTTAAATTAAAAAAAAATTCAACCGCACTCGAGTATGTCCAGACATCGGTTTTTTTTCCAACTTTGCAACCCTCCCACTCCCTTACGTTACGCTCAAATCGTCAGATTATTGAAATACACACTTTTCAACATGTAATTAAACCACCATACCTTAATCTGACGCGCTCGAGTATTTCCGCCTATCGATTTTTTTTTTACTATTCTGATCGGCTGGTCTACGCGCGCGGCACTACATGGAGAACTCAGATTTGGTAGAGGTACTCAATTAGATGTAAGGTATCTTCCCATATATTAATCTGCCGCGCTCGAGTATATCCCCAAATCCCCTCTTGCGATAAAAATACATACAACCCTACATTTTCACCCTTCTACCACCAACCCCTATTTTTTATGGCGATACAAAGTTCGCTGGGACAGCTAGTAAAGAATATTTTTACAGCAGTGTTTCCGGACCAATACGACCCAAAAACCTTCAAAAAAAGAGCGTACTCCTTCCTTGAAGGCCGGCATCGCATTTGTGATACACCTGGTGTAACAAGTGTCCATGGGCAACGGTGATCACTTACCATCAGGTGAACTGTCTGCTCGTATGCCCCCTATAACATAAAAAAGATATATAAAATCAAGTCTCACCTGTAAGCCACGGCCGATTGTCCCGCTTCGGCCAAAGTCTTGGGCGGCACGGGCTCCCCCGTAGGATTCTTTATGACGACAGACGCCGCGCCCGTCACCTCCGCGTGCACGTATACGTCACCAGAACGTAGGTAACGTTTCACTAGCAACTCGTTCTGTTGCTGATCGCGACCGCCTATAACCTAGACAACATTAAAACTCAAACTCAAACTCATTTATTCAGTCTGGGCTGTTACAAGCTCTCGTGAAAGTCAAACGCTACGCCATCGGTTCGTAAATCTACGGCGGGAGACCTTGTACTGAGAAGAACCGGCAAGAAACTCAGCAAGGGCTATTTTTTTCTCCCTGTTTTGTTTCATACAGATTGAAAGATGACATCAAAAATTGAAAAAATGTGTTGACGTCAACTTTCATCACATTAATATTATTAATTAATAAAAGTTAAGTATAGCTAGGTACTATTTTGACATTAAGAAGTGGCGATTAAACAATTTTCAACCAAATTAGCAAAGTAATCTAGTAGTAGGTGCCTTATCATTCATGAAATCTTTAGCAGTATAGTAACCTTTTAAGGAGACATGTTTTTATACATACTTTAAACTTATTGAAAGGTAAATCAATTATTTCTTTTGGTATTTTATTATAGTAACATATACCTTGACCCACAAATGAACCGAGAACCTTTTGGAGTCTCAACGGTGGCAATTTGAGTTTATCTTTATATCTGGTATTGAAATTATGTACATCATCGCGTCTCGTATTTAAATTTATGTTTTGACGCACAAACAATATACAATTGTAAATGTATTGAGAGGCATTAAAATGATTCTTCAGAATAGACTGACAGTTTTTTGTTGTGAAACATCTTTTGGCGCACGTAAATTTCGCACGCACCGATTTCTGGAGTGGCGACAGTCAGTACGGCGGCAGCGCCATTCGAGGCAGGACCTATGTCATTATTTACCGCACGCATACCGAGCAATAGGGATGATGACTATTTTTTTTTCTTCGTTTATCAAGTAGATTATCGATAAGTATTGGACACGTTTCTTTTTCTTTTTCACATAATATAAACATTGCAGAGATATATTGATTTGAAAAGTCGCATGACGCCACGTTTTAGTACACTTTTAAGTGAAAATTCACTAAAAAGTGACGTCACGCGCCCCTACTCCCAAACTTTGACGCGCTATAACTTTGTCATTTTTTGGTTGATTGCCCAAAGAAAAATACGTGTCCATTATTTTTTGATCATCTAACTGACGGACTAAATAGAATTTCGTTTACTGTACCCCGTCATCACCCCTATTCTCCGAGTGTATTATTCGTAAACCGGCTAGTGTTTCACATCTGCCACGCATTCCGTGTTTATAATATGTTTATGTGATGAGTTTCTTACGCCTGTGGCGGCGACCTCTACACACTACATATGTAACTAATGAAGGACGAAATCCCCTTCTCTAGAGATAGCGCTACTGGCGGCGCGCTCAATAATATGGAAAGCCTACATCGCGGTAGAGAAATTCGGAGGCTAACATATAATATATACAGTGACCTACCAACAGTGGCGGCGCTAGGCGTCGGCGACGTCAGCCACCGCCGACGGTCTCGCGCCTGAGGGGGCCTCGCAAAAATTTTTTACAAGTTACCTTATTTTCGTTTCTCCTGGCCTGGCTTAGGTAACCGACCCCGAACAATTCGGGGAAAAAGCTAAGCAGATGATAATGACTTTTATTATTTTCGAACACGTGCGTGATGGAAGCGAGTAGCACTTTATGGTAGCCATACACACTACGAAAAATCGTTACGTCCGAACGGTACCGATAAATCGTAGCGTGTATGTTATAAAACTGCACAGTTTCCTATACGTATGCCACGTACGATAAACTGTTCCGTTCGAACTGTATAGTGTGATCGTAACGATTTCTCGTAGTGTGTATATGGCTACCATGACGGGTATTCAGAATCGTCGGTCTGGCAGCACTATTTTTGTAATTAAATTCTATGTTTGTAATTATTTTTTGTCATCATTTGATTATCAACAATAAAACTCGTTTACTCATACGTTATTTTATAATTTGGCTCACTCAAATTTACGGTATTTTACTGCGAAGTAAAATAGGCCTCGCGAACTTGATGTCGCCGACGTCCACATGTGGTCTAGCGCCGCCACTGCCTACCTACGTCTGTCGGACCGCGGGCCCTGAACTAACATCACCCAGCTCGGTGGAAGATCTTCCGCTTTGACCTTCCTACAAGCCCAATCTTCTAACAGAGTAATTTCTTATCGTAGGAAAAAAAATGTACTATTCAAAAGAACTTTCTTATTAGTTAATTTGAATAAAATATGATAAATTTGAATGAATACGTCTCCAGACTTCCAGCCTCCCGAACAAGCCGGTTTCCGAAAAGGCTTTAGTACCATAGACCACATCCATACGCTGCGGCAGATTATACAGAAGACCGAAGAGTATAATCGGCCGCTTTGCTTAGCGTTTGTGGACTATGAGAAGGCTTTCGATTCGATCGAGACCTGGGCGGTGCTGCAGTCTCTCCAGAGGTGCCAAGTGGACTACAGGTATATCGAAGTGTTAAAGTACCTATACCAAAACGCCACTGTGTCGGTCCGAGTACAGAATCAGAGCTCTAATCCTATCCAACTACAGCGAGGGGTGAGACAGGGAGATGTTATATCTCCGAAACTGTTCACTGCTGCGATGGAGGATATTTTCAAGCTTCTGGACTGGAAAGGACTCGGCATTAACATCAACGGCGAGTACCTGACACACCTTAGATTTGCCGATGACGTAGTCCTAATGGCAGAGACCTTGGAAGACCTGAACACCATGCTCGAGCATCTCAATGACGCATCCCAGCGAGTGGGTCTTAAGATGAACATGGACAAGACGAAAATCATGTCCAACGCCCATGTTGCACCTGCTCCAGTTAATGTTGGGAACGTTACACTTGAAGTTGTTGACCACTATGTTTACCTAGGACACACAATCCAGTTAGGTAAGTCCATCTTCGAGAAAGAGATCTCTCGTCGAATCCAACTCGGATGGGCAGCGTTCGGGAAGCTGCGGAACATCTTCGCGTCCAAAATACCTCAGTGCCTTAAGACGAAAGTCTTTAACCAGTGTGTCTTGCCAGTGATGACCTATGGCAGTGAGGCGTGGTCGTTTACTATGGGTCTTATAGGACGGCTCAAGGTCGCCCAGCGGGCAATGGAGAGAGCTATGCTTGGTGTTTCTCTGCGTGATCGAGTCAGAAATGACGAGACCCGTAGGAGAACTAAAGTCACCGACATAGCTCGAGCCCAGCTGAAGTGGCAGTGGGCGGGACACATAGCGAGGAGAACCGATGGCCGTTGGGGCGGAAAGGTTCTCGAATGGCGACCGCGTGCCGGACGACGCTCAGTGGGAAGACCCGCTACAAGGTGGACCGACGATCTGGTGAAGGTCGCGGGAAAACGCTGGATGCGGGCAGCGCAGGACCGATCGTTGTGGAGATCCTTGGGGGAGGCCTATGTCCAGCAGTGGGCGTCGTACGGCTGATATGATGATGATGATGATAAATTTTGATTTTCAGTTTAATAGCACTCTTAGAGAGTTCGGCCTTCTATTAAGCAACTTTCTCAATGGTCGGTCATAGGATGGGTGACCAAAAATGTATCATCTCGAGCTCTAAGCGACAGCCTAAGTTAGTCTTTGGCGGCACGGGCCCCTCCGTAGGATTCGTTATGAATGAATACGTCTCCAGAGCGATTAGAATAAAGTATATTTTCATTTTCAATCTTATAGCACTCTTAGACCCGTATCATAGAACGTGGCTCAAGCAGCATTTAAACTGGAATCACGCAAAGCTAGTTTTGAATGCCGCGTTTTAGGAGCAAATCAACTGAAAGTGGAATCAAAAATCGTTTTGAACTCCGATCAAATTTGTCTACACGTCCGTTAAAAAATAACTCTTATTACAACACATTTAGGTGTGCATAAAATATCAGTGTAATAACCTATTTAATGAAAGCGTTCGGTCTTGCAGATATTGACATTAGATAAGTGTAATATTGAGGAGCTCGATGGTGCAAGTGATTAGGGCGTTCGGCTGCAGTGGTCGGTCACTGGATGGGTGACCAAAAATTTACTGCTGCTCCATGCTTTGGATGGCACGTTAAGCCGTTGGTTCCGGTTGCATCTGCAATCGTTAGCGCCCACCAATCCGCACTGGGCCCGCGTGGTGGGTCATGGCTCAAACTCCGTATTCCATCCATAGGGAAGGCCTGTGCCCCAGCAGTGGGGACATTAATAGGCTGATGATAATGATGAAGTGTGATATGAATTGATATCAGTAAAGTTCATAGCCCACTCACCAGATAGTTATCAGAGGAGATGAACCACAGAAACTTCTCGAACCAATAAGTGCGTCTAGCTTTAGTAATGCTGCTAATGGCGCTGGCTTCCTTCAGCGTTTGTTTAGTCTTACGTTCAGCGCTTTTAAGCGCTTTATCTGCTGACTCTAGCGTTTTCTGCTGCTTCTTGGCGGCGTTGCGTTTCTGGTCGTAATACCTTAACATTATCATTGAAATATTAATAATATAATAATAAGTGGTAAATAATAGGGTATTTGACAGTATTAAAAATAAAGTCCCAATTGTTAGCATCTGTGTTTACAATGAATATTGGAAGGGATTTTCACAATTTTAACAGAAAAAATATTCATAATTTTACTAAAAACCCACGAAAAAGATAATTGTTTTCTTATCTATTCTCACGTGACCTTAAACGCTTGGGATTGGCGGAGCCTAAAATGACGTCACACGCAAGTAAACTCCCGGTTAAAGTGACATTACATTGTATCGTTTGACGTTTTAATAACAGTCGTGTGACGTCACACACTAGTGAGACGCCATATTGCCCAGAGAAACGTTTTCGCGGCAACTTGTAAATGGAGTTTTTGATTTGGTTAGTTTTACTGAAATACACAGCAGAATGATGAATATCCACTTTTTACGGACATAAATATTAGTCAATAACGTGAGATCGTTTTCTAAAACTTGTCAAATACCCTATAGTCACACCAATTAGCCCAGACCAGACCCAGACAAAGTAAGTAGTGTAAGGCATGTGTTATGAGATATTACAAAAAAAAACTATGCGTTTGGTCTTAATGAAGGTGTGAATGATCACTACATTATACACCAGGTTACGATCTGCGATCGTGAAAGCTTGGATTTCCCAATGGCTAGTTACAGGATGCGTCACATGAGAAAAAACAAAGATACAATTGTATCGGTAAAGTTTTCCTCAAATTATGGCGTTAACAAGGGAAATAGTGGTTCGTATTTAATGAGGGTATTTAGAAAAATTCAAACGTCAGCAGTCGGCACCACTGTTACATGAGGTCTTTTGTATGAAGTTTTTGGCGCGAATTAATATAACGAGCATTTAAATTGATCCATAGACTATGACGACATACGTGATTTGTTTCTTAGGTTTTCACGCACATCACTCATTAAATAAAACTAGTTTTAACGGATTAATGCACGAACTTTAATTATTTATTGACGTTTCGCAGCCTTTTCAGGTCTGCATCGTCAGAATATACGTGATTTGACGGCTGAGTACACCTTTCGTCTCAGTGCTGCCACCTAGCGCCCGTCATTATAGAAAACCCACATTCATTAGTTATCCCGTCAATTGCAAATTGCCGCTCAAAACCCAGTCTATGTTTAGCCCTCCATTTTGTTATTCACGGCTGGATTTTTTTTTCGGCCGATTTTCCTCTTATTATTCGAGTTTTACTGTACAACCAGGCTTCATTTATATCTTAAATCAATCCTTAATAGTTTCTCTACAAACTTATCGATATATTAGATGTGTAAATTAAAATCCATAAGTAAAACTAATAAAACGCAAAATATGAAAATAATTTTCTCAACTCTTGGCAGAAATCTGCCATCTCCACAGACAGGGGTTGTTTGACGTTGACAGAAATCTGCCATTTACAGACCAGGGCGCCATTCGCTTAACGGTATTTTTTCTGACCGCCGAAGGTTTTCAAATACCTCACGCTCATTTTCTTTAATATTGTTATTAAGAGCGCGAGGCATTTGAAAACCTCAGGCAGCTAGAAATAACAAAATTAAATCGTAAGCGTTAGGGTTTTCCAAAGCATTTCCGTTAGGCGAATGGCCCCCAGGGGATGTAGAAGATAACTAACCTCCGAGCATTAGCGAAAGCCGTCAGCGACAGATCCACGTCCACCAGCATCGGTTTCAGGAGTTCCTCCTCCTCATCATCGCCTTCATCAGCGTGCGAGTAAGGGTCGGACAGCAGCAGGGTGATGTGGTTGGTGCCCAGTTTCAGGTCCTTGATGCAGGTCGCTACGGGATCCGCGTTGTCTTGAGCGGTCTTAACGAGAAGCTTTATGTCGTCCCAGGACATCTACGAATGGGGTTTTAATGTAATCACTGTTTTCAACTAATCGAACTTTTTTTTTTATGTTATAGGGGGCATACGAGCAGACGGCTCACCTGATGGTAAGTGATCACCGTCGCCCATGGACACTTGCAACACCAGGAGTATCACAAATGCGATGCCGGCCTTTAAGGAAGGAGTACGCTCTTTTTTTGAAGGTAGGGCTATCAACTTTTTTACTATCAAATATAGTATTTTCGAAGCTGTTATCTCTAAAAATATAGTAGATGGCAAAATTTTTTTATAAGATATAGTATGTGGTTAAAATATTTACTTTATTTTTGAAATGAGTATATTTTTGCTGCTTACCTTAATATTTCAGTTTATATTTGAAAAAAAAAGCTTTTACTGGTAAAAGTCTGCTTTAAGCAAAATATAGCAGTTTCGCCTACTACATATTTTTTTAGAAATATAGTATTGGATCCCCTAATACAATAGGATACTATATTACATATAACTCCTAACCTTATGCCTGCTAGGTTAGCGGTTAGTGATTCAAACTGTTTTCACAATTCAAAAGTGGCCCTGGATTCGAATCCTGAAGGTAAATGTTTGTGTGTCGAACATATGCATTTTACTTTCGTGTCATGTCATATAATAAAAGAAATAAATATTTCCAACACTCACACCAATTAGCCTAGCCCCAAAATAAGCACTGTACGGCTTATGTTATGGGATAATAGGGTAACGAATAGAATACATGTCATCATCATCATGCTCATCATCAGCCTATTAATGTCCCCACTGCTGGGGGACAGGCCTTCCCTATGGATGGAATAGGAAGGTTGGGCCATGATCCACCACACGGGCCCATGCGGATTGGTGGGTGCTAACGACTCTAGATGCAGCCGGGATTAACGTAGCTTCCGAAGCACGGAGGAACTTGAGATAAAAGATGTTTGGTCATCCATCCAATGACCGACCACTGCGAAAGTTGCTTAACTTAAACGTTCGCAGCCGAACGCGCTAACCAACCGCGTTATCGAGCTCCTCAATCAGAATACATATACTGTACACATATAAGTATATTTATACAGAAATACATATTAAACATCCATGACTGGAGTACAAATGCTCGTATTCATAACACAAAGACCTGCCCCCACCGGGATTCGACGTACAAACCACTCGGCCACGGAGGTCGTCAATAATATGTATGAGTATTTAAGTATACATGCATTATCGAACCCCCAACTTGCAGAAAACTTTGTTTGGTTTCTGACGGAGACAGGGTTCCGGGACTCCGCAGGGTAGAAGAAGTCAATCAGGGTAGGCCACACAAACAGTGATATTGTGGTATAGCAATCGGCTATGGCTGCTTACAAAATGGCGGCCTATACCTCTTTAACACATATACAGAAGTACCTAAAGATGTAACTCATCTGATTGGCCTCACGCAGTCTGTACGGCGAGTCTAACGCTGTCTACTAAATACTGATTGCGTGTGATCAGTTCTGCCTGTTTGTTTGCCGCTCTTTTTACCTAAAGATTTCATCAATACCTAAAAAACAGAGTAACTCACCTGATTGGCTAACGCGGTCTGTACAGCGAGTCTAGCGCTGTCCACTAAATGCTGATTGCGAGTGATCAGTTCTGCCTATGTTTGTTTGCCGCTCTTTTTTACCTAAAGAGGTCTTTGATACCTAAAGAGGTCTTCGATACCTCAAGAGGTCTTCAATACCTAAGTAACAGAGTACTCACCTGATTGGCTAACGCGGTCTGTACGGCGAGTCTAGCGCTGTCTACTAAATGCTGATTGCGTGTGTTCAGTTCTGCCTAGGTTTGCCACTCTTTTTTACCTAAAGAGGTCTTCAATACCTAAGTAACAGAGTACTCACCTGATTGGCTAACGCGGTCTGTACGGCGAGTCTAGCGCTGTCTACTAAATGCTGATTGCGTGTGTTCAGTTCTGCCTAGGTTTGCCACTCTTTTTTACCTAAAGAGGTCTTCAATACCTAAAAAACCGAGTACTCACCTGATTGGCTAACGCGGTCTGTACGGCGAGTCTAGCGCTGTCTACTAAATGCTGATTGCGTGTGATCAGTTCTGCCTTAAGCCTGTCTCCCGCTTGTACGGCTTCCAATTCCGTCACTCGCTTTTCGTGATCCCGCCTCACATTCTGGAGCTTTTTCATTGCTTCCCTTTCTACTTGGACGGTCTATATTTATGATAGAAATATAAATATATACATAGAACAATTTTTAATAAGCACTATTTTCCTAAAGTTATATAGGCGATGAGCCTCCTTAGCCAAGCTTTTATTTTAACCGCCATTTACCATTAAATCGTCGTGATTAGGAAAAATTAAAAGTCAAACTTTCTTGATACATTATATTATTGTCTTGTAAAAACTCTGAACTCAAACACCAAAAACATTTTGACTAAATTAGAATAAAAAACATACTAATTTTAGTTTTAATGCTCGGGCAAGAGACCTATTTATCGAAAAGGATTTTTATAAATACATCTTCAAACCATTAGCGGCCCTGAGTGAACTAAAGACCCGAATTGAGTATGAAAAATAAGATACAGGTAGCGGCAAACTTCTTGTGCGAAAACACAGACAAATAAACTTGCGCAGTAGACGTTTTTGCATGTAAAATTGCTACTGCGCAGGATTCCTTGTCAATGGTTCAATCAATTTTTATTCATAAGTGCTTTGTATTAAAATTAATGTAACTATCAAAATTTTATAAGATTTAATTGCCAGTTAAGTGTAAATTGCATGTCGTAATCATCATCATCATCAACAGCCCATCATAGTCCACTGCTGGACATAGGCCTCTCCAAAAGCACGCCACTCAGATCGATCTTGGGCTACTCGCATCCAGCTCCTGCCAGCCACCTTGCGCAAATCGTCACTCCATCGCGCCTGAGGACGTCCTACACTACGTTTGCCTAGACGCGGTCTCCACTCCAGAACTCGTCTACCCCAACGGTTATCGGTTCTACGGCAAATATGGCCAGCCCACTGCCACTTCAACTTGCTAATCCGGTGGGCTATGTCGATAACTCTGGTTCTCTGTCGGATTACCTCATTCCTGATGCGATCTTTCAGAGAAACGCCGAGCATAGCCCTTTCCATAGCGCGCTGAGCGACTTTGAACCTGTGGACCAGCCGTACCGTCAGTGTCCACGTTTTGGCTCCGTATGTCATCACAGGTAGGACGCAGTGATTGAAGACTTTCGTCTTTAGGCACTGTCGTAATCGCCTATAATTAAAGTTCCACTAATAAAGTGTCGTACTATAAATGTGTAAATAAAAAATGTCTAAGTGTAACTTTGTTGGTGATCAAATAAATAAAAAAAAATGGGTGCGTGTACTTATGTAGGCGCGTGAGAAGTTATCCTTCTTTGGCATCGTTTAAAATAAGTTTTTAATTGCATGCAAATAATTAATTACAATAAATTAATAAAAAGTCTGGAAAAGGACACAGTCAATAAAGTTCAGTTTTAATTTGAAAAAATAAATAAATAATCAAAATATTCAATTAAAATCGCTACTGAATATAATTTATTAGAACATATATGATTTGCACTTGTATGAAACTCAAACACGTATTCCGAATATACAAACTAGAAACATGTGGATAAATATTGTAAATATGAATACCTATAACTGTTACTTTATTACAAAAAATAAAGGTGTGGTTTTTGGTTCTACTACACCAATGGTCAAGAGATGGCGCTGTAGTCTCCTGAATCGCGCTTTGGTTCCGTTGTTCCAGATTAATAAATACTTTTGATAGGCCTTCACAATGCAGTCGTTAGCACCCACTAAATAGAGATTCTATTTCTATTTTGTTGGTAGATTTTCTTAATGTGCGGTAAACACAAAAGTAACGCATGAAGTTGGACCAACTTCATGCTGTTAAAATTTTGTGTTACAGTGATGCGCGCGCATCTTAAAATTTCACTCTCATCATTTTTTCATTGACGACCTCCGTGGCCGAGTGGTTTGTACACCGGGTTTCATGGCTGTCGCCGACTCGAGAGGTCCCGGGTTCGAATCCCGGTGGGGGCAGATGTTTGTGTGATGAATACGAGCGTTTGTACTCCAGTCATGGATGTTTTAATATGTATTTATATAAATATACTTATATATGTACAGTATATGTATTCTATCCGTTACCCTAGCATCCCATAACACAAGCCTTACAGTGCTTACTTTGGGGCTAGGCTAATTGGTGTGAGTGTCGGAAATATTTATTTATTTATTTTATTATTTCATAACGCGCTTAAAGAAGTATAACTTCAATAAATGGTTGTTGCTCTAGGAGTTCGTTGGGGAGTTTACCTTCAAATCAATCTTCTGTCCTTCCAAAGCGGAGAAGAACTCGTCGACTGCCCTATCAAAAGTTTCATACTCCGCACGCGGCATGGCTTTGTGCTGAGCCATCTCCAGTGGGTGGAACTCCACGTTGGCCAACAGGAACGTTGGCTGCCCACCATCAGGGTTAGGGCGTTCCTCCTTCTTCTGGATTATGTAGCCCTGGTGCACAAAATAGAAAAAACGCAGGTCAACTCCCGCTAAACTCGAAAATAATTACCTAAGCTTACTGCTATCGATTTTGACAAAATCATAATCATCATCATCAGCCTGTTAATGTCCTCACTGCTGCCTTCCTTATGAATAGAATAGGGAGATTGGGCCATGACCCACCACGCGGGCCCAGTGCGGATTGGCGGGTGCTATCGATTGCAGATGCAGCCGGGACCAACGGCTTAACGTGCCTTCCGAAGCACGGAGGAACTTGAGATAGAAGATTTTTGGTTACCCATCCAATGACCAACCATTGCGAAAGTTGCTTAACTTCACCGATCGCAGCCGAACGCGCTTACCACTTGCGCCATCGACCTCCTCCGAGTAGACCAAGTAGATACATATTCTAATGAACAAAATACTTAAGGGGGACAAATAAAAGGGAGGACAACAGTATTGCAGCTGTAATATCTCACCTTGGAAACTTCTTTTTTGGCAGCATCCATCAACTTCTCGGCTTGTTTCAGTGCTGTCACCAGTTTGTCCAGGTCTCTCTCTATAGAGAAACCCTTGTTTGGGTCTCCGCTAACTTTCATGTTGCCAGTCAGACTATTCTCCAAGAGCACATGGTCTATAAGTGCCGCACCGAATTCTTAAAAATAAAACATTGAAGATGTAATTTGAAAATTAACAATTTAAAGTAAAGCGCATTTAATACAAAACTTATCCAGCTTATGAAATGAAATGTAACGAATTACATTTTAAGATTAAATTTTGATTAAAACTAATTGCATTCAGAGAAGCTATATTGAACAAAGCAGTTGCATTCATTCAATAATCGGTATGTTTGAAGCAATATCATCACGCACGCAGCACGGAGGAACTCGAGACAGAAGATTTTTGGTCACCCATCCAATGACTGACCACGCGAAAGTTGCTTAACTTCAACAATCGTAGCCGAACGTGCTAACCAACCGTGACATCGAGCTCTTGAAGCAATATATATATATATCAATTCTGCTTGTTAAACTACTGCTACTGCTTAAAAAATAGAACTTGTAAATAGATTATATAGAATATTTTTTTTTATGACTATTTTAAACACAATTGGACTATTCCATGGTTCTTACCTAGGTTAGGATTTAGAATTTTCTTAAGGTTGTCTCCTGGTTTACTGTTAGACAGTATTTCCTTTAGAGTGTCACTGGAAGGCGCCGCATAGTTTGTCTTCGCCCTGTCCAGTGGATACTTTTCTTTGACAGCAAACCTACAAATATTGGATTAATTATTTTTACAACTTCCAAAAAGGAGTGTAATGCTTTCTACTTTCTCTTAAGCCAGGATGTGGCTACCTTCAACAGAATTTTGCATTTTGTATGTATCACTGAGAGGAGCTCGATGGCGCCAGTGGTTAACGCGGTCGGCTGCGGTCGTCGAAGTTGAGCAACTTTCGCAGTGGTCTGTCATTGGATGGGTGACCAAAAATTTACTATCTCGAGCTCCTCTGTGCTTCGGAAGGCACGTTAAGTCGTTGGTCCCGGCTGCATCTGCAGTCGTTAGCACTCACCAACCCGCACTGGGCCCGCGTGGTGGGTCATGGCCCAATCTCCCTAATCCATCCATAGGGATGGCCTGTGCCCCAGCAGTGGGGACATTAATAGGCTGATGATGATGTATCACTATTATAATGTTTAAGAATGATATATAATGTATCTTTCTCTGGTGATTCTAATAAACAAATAAATGTATGGTGCATTTCTTTATTTACATTAGTTATACGGTGGTATCTTTAAAATATGCTGAAGGTAGGACACAATTTTGTAAAGAACCTGTTTTTTATTTTTAAGTTAGTTTTTGTAGCAGGGTAGTTAGTTATTTTTCAATTTAATTAATGTTTTTTTTCTATATTTGCGCATGCTGCTCTGATAGAAAATACTTTTGAGCATAAGATACATTATAATTTACATAAATTTCCGGCCACTCAAGTCACAATATCCTGAGCATCGAAAGCACCTGTTTAATTAAAAACAAAACATAAAATTACCTTATCTTGTCACCTTCAACATGAGGTCTCAGTACATTTAGAATAGTCCACTCGTAATCTGTTAGGACAATGTTGCCTCTATCATACAATTCAAGTATGACATGGTATGCTGCTTCTCCAGAGCCAAACTGTAGATCAACAATACGATCTACGCCGAGCTGTGTTAATGCTTCAAGGCGCTTGTTCTTTAGATGCTTACGTAACTGGAAAATAATAAATTAAGACAATTATTATTTCCCTTTCTAATTCTGTTCCTTTTATAAAAGAATTGGTAACAAATTAATTATATGGAAATAAAAAGTTATTAAAAGTTTATTTTAACAAATTCAAATATAATTAATATGTTGTAATAGTTTTTCAAGCCATCATAAAATGAAGAAGAACAGCTTTTCATGTGCCAAAAACACTAAGTTCCATAAATAAATAAAAACCCAATATACAGTCACTTAAAATACATTTTAAAAATTACAATTTGATTAAGCAAGCAACCTAGCCTATTTATTGAATATAAGATGACGGACGGATTTAATAATTCTTTCGGAATGAGCGTTACCTTCATTGTAAATCCTGATGGTGCTACATTTTTCGGCCACTCAAATTGTGTCGTATGGAATCTATTGCCAGATTCCAGCAATAGGACACTCTTCTCTTCGGAGCGTTGCAGCCGTATAACATAGGTCCGATTGTCTATGTCGTACACTTGATTGACTCGCATGCCAATCAAACTGTGAAATAAAAATCAATGGTTCTTTAATTAAACCAAATAATATTTATTAACCTGAGGCAACAACAAAAACATAACCTTACCTCTGTAATTCTGTCACCATACATATTATATCGTATGTATTAAATCGATTCTTCATTTTGAATTGCTCATGAAAAATTAGAAAGCTTCAATAAAATAAATAAACAAATATTTCAGTTCCAACTAATCAGCAAAAACAAATCCTACGACGACAAAGCAAATGTCAAACAAATGTCAAGTGACGTAAAATGTTGACAGTTAACTATCTTTGTTTCCCACTAATATTACAGATATTCAACTTTAAAGAAGACAAAATCAAAAATCAATATTGGAACCAAAAGAATAATATAATAATTAAACAAAATAATCTTAATTAGTTGTTTATGTTTTTGTGATTATGTGGCATCGGAATTCAAAGTGAAAATGTAAACTGTGTGTCTATTAAAGATTGTGTGACAAAAGCAACCCAAATAGCGAAACATTAAAGTTTAAATCCACCGAAACTTATGATTTTATTATGGAACCTTCAAAATGCTAAATTGATTATTAAAACTTAAAATGTAATGTAATGCTTAAAGCTATAATCTGGTGTCGATTCTAGCAGAATTCTATAAGCTTAAAACTAAATTTAACATCTGTCTGTCCTTTTCATTCTGTATAGAGAATGACAAAGATACACTGTTGTCAAATTTAAGTTAAGCTTTAGAGAATCATCATGTAAGAAAGAAGAAAGATCATGTAAGTCTCAATTAAACACTTAACACTATGCTCAGTGCTGTCTTTGACCTATTGGAGGCCCTGGGCATATTATGATAATGGGGCTCCTATGACTTCTGTTTGGTGATTTAACAGGAACTAGGGACTTTGTATTTGATCTGAGGGGGCCCCCTATCGATCGCGGGGCTCTGGGCACTTGCCCAAAGTACCTACTGGGAAAGACGGGTCGGACTGTGCTTTAGGCTATCCTAAAATGAATTATCCCGGTTACGGTTGAAAAACATTATTCATTCGTGAGATAAACCATTAATTATTATCAAAGAAATATTTATCTCTGACATTGTTGTTTTATTGGTTGTTTACAGTAATTACAAAGCCGAAAGAAGTTACATTACTTTTTGTTTGGAACATTTTTGGTTCAATACAATTTTAGACCTAATCATAAACATCTCCTATCCCATAACTTACTTTAAAGTGAATAAAATTTTGAGAAGGCTCATTCCAGTACTGTGCGTAAGGAAAAGTCAGTGAAATAATTCGTCATTTCGCGAAATGACACCAAAATTTTTCCATCTTCTGTCCCCTTAGTGCTTTGAGAAACTCCATTTTCGGGGCATTCCCCCCTTTCTGGCAATGTACCTATATTGGGTATATTTAATGACAACGTAAAATAGACTTTAATGCAAAGGTACAAGGTCGATTTTTGATAATGAGTTTTTGTTTTGAACCACAGAGTAGAGGAGCAAGTCTGTCTGCTCTATAGTCTTTGATTATTACTGTCAAGATCTGTGTCATCTGTGGCTAACTGTAGGGATGCATATTTTAAATAAACATCGATAATTTGTTTGACGCAAGTTTAACGTCTAACCTTGAAATCTTAAAATCTAATACATAACACTGGTGTCAATTCTAGCATGGTTCTCTAAACCAAAACTTAAATTTGACAGCAGTATATTCTTGTCATTCTCTATACAGAATGAAAAGGAGAGACTGATGTTAAATTTAGAGAATCACGCTAGAATTGGCACCAGTATCGACTTATAGAGAACATTACTATACACATACCTGGAAAAATATTTTTCAATTACCTCAAAGTACAGATCACCCATGAAAATTAATTTAATTGAATTTAACTAAATATTCTGTTTTGGGCATGCTTTCTACATACTTATATGCCAAAATTTCAGTTCTCTAATGAATTTCCTTTAAAATCTAAAGACCTGTGACATATGGACAGACAGATAGACAATAAGGTTCCATTTTTACCCTTTGGAAACGAAACCCTAAAAAACATCGATGTTTCCAAAAATTATTTCTGTTAATGAACATATTTAGGACTTAAGGTGGATTATAAACACTAACAATAGGGTAGAATAAGGCGTTGAGATAATTCCGAAGTCAAAATTAAATGAAAATAATTCTATAAATTCTCTAAGTGGTATATGGATGGACCACGTTACACGTACTTCATTGTAGGCGTCAGCAAATTATTATGAATGGTTTTACAAAACGTGGTAGTCACTGTTAGTTTGCGTAGCTGTTTTTCTTTTGTTTCCTCCCAGGCGGGGGAGCGGGTAAGAAATCCTCATGGATACTGACTGAAAAACACCCGTTAATCATGCTTATGGCCAGAAGGGCCTTGGAAGCTTCATCTGAAGCGATCATCCCCTGAGTGGGGGATGATGCGGTGCGTAACTGATACAACGTGATAGCGTAATGCCAAAATGTCCTATAGCCTAGAGGGATCGATAAGGTCGATGGTGGTGATGTGTTAATATCTTATCGATGTATGTATATCGTCCATCCAAGCATCCTCTAGTGAAATGTCACTGTCAAACTGTCATGTCATTCATTCCTAGAGAGTTTTTGGCGGGATTTCATCGAGTGCGGTTGGCGTCTTAATTTAATTATTCTTAAATTTGTTCATAGTGGATATTGTGAAATAAAATTGGTGTGATTTTGTGTTACAACCGTCTGGGCAACTGAAGAATTAGTGGAATCTTTAAAATATACGCTATTCCGGTCAAGTGGACGTGAGAATTTTATTGTAGTATTGACTACCTCACAGAAGCTTATCGAAAAAGCCAACTCGATATATTTCGTGCCAAACACTCCGAGAAGCATTAGAATGCGTCACACCCACATTCTAATGTAAAAAAAGGAAGATTAATACAAAAATAAGACGATGGCTGCATGGCTATGCCTTTGCCTTTCTCAATAGAGAAGAATAGAACTAAAAAAAAAAAAAAATCATTCCTAGATTTATATAGTATCTAGTCTGTGGATTTCTACGTGCATTTTTACATATAAACACCGTATTTTTGAGTTTCATTTTAAATAAATTGACATAACTGTTGAAAATAATAATGGGTATGGAAAAAAATGTCTCAAAAGATTTCAAGCTGAAACCAATGAAATGCGAGCTGAACTTTTTGAGTAAGTCTGATGGTTCGACAATTTTATCACAAGGTAAGTTTCTGTATTTTGTACTGTGGAGTTATTAAAATTAGTATCATATTCTGCAAAGGTGCCTACGTGCATGCCTGTACTTAAGTACCGATAATTTGGTAATTTTCCTTCGTTAAGTCGTTACCTTAACTATTTCCCCAGACAGGAATATAGGTTATGTTCTTGTTTACATTTTGCTTTTAGGTGACACTGTAGCGGTAGTAAGTGTGAATGGACCATTAGACATTAAGTCGACCAGCCAAAGTATCGAAAAATCCACTTTGGAGGTTTTATATTGTACTAAAGGTGGCAAACCATCAGTTGCTGATAGGTAATTATATCTTATCATAACATTGTGTTCTAGTTCATGAAAAAAAAATGTATTACTTTAAGCAATAATGAGCTATCATAATTTTTTCATTTGATTCTGTTTTAAAACAGGTACAAAGAAAATGTCATCCGTCAGACCTGCGAGACTGCAATCTTGGGAAGTTTGTACCCTCGCACAGGCATCACTGTCACTATACAGGAGTTGGAAGACTATGGAGGGGTGAGCTCTATCTCCTTAGAACACTAAGGCTCATATTACAGAATGACAACCAAGTGTTGATCTTTACTCGAGTACAGTTAGAAAGGGATGGTGCTATGTGATATACATAGCGATTCATTCGAGCCTAAGACCCGTATTATAGAAAGATTCTCAGTAATTAATCTAGTCTTGAGCATAGTCGGAAAATGATTGTGCTATATTTAGCACATAGCAACATCCCTTTCTTATTGTACTCGAGTAAAGATCAAAACTTAGTTGTTATTCTGTAATACGAGCATGAGTTATAGATAGTATGAATCTATATAAAAAAATACCGTGCAAAAAAAATGCAGGTTGAACACCTGGATTTTGTTGTAGTAAAATTTTCTTTAAATTTAACCAACTAGCAATTAAAATATAATAATCTAGTATGTAATGTAATGTTTTAATATACAATATTGGCATTTGCGTCTATGTAAAATAACTGAACTTTGAATAGAAATGGAGGTTTTTCTAATCTATTTGAAAATGCTAGTTACAATAATTGGCAAAGTTAAATATAAATATTGTACATGCTAGCTTAAATGAAACATAGTATATTTTTCTAGTTACTCTCCTGTTGTCTGAACTGCACCTGCCTTGCACTCTTAAATTCTGGTGTATCGATGCGGTGTGTATACGCAGCGGTAACATGCGCCGTCGATGAGTCTGGTGACATAGTCCTGGAACCGCCTAAACATCAACTTCAGACTGCGAGGGCTGTCATGACGTTTGTTTACGATAGCAGAGAGAAAAGCTTAGTAACTAGTAAGTATAAAACTTATGTTGAGTTTCCCAAAAATTAAAAGAAAAAGTAGAAACAAAATAATTATTTGAGAGTAGTGAACTGTATATATAATAAATAGTCACCCATTTATTTACGTTTACTGACTAATCACAAAATCTAAACACTATGAAACCAAACTGCCTTATTACAAAATATGGACTAAAATATGTGTTGTCTCTGCCTTCTCTTTAGCAAATAAATATGGCAGGATCATTAATAGACCGGGTTTAACTTCAGTCAACATTTTCTAATGAGATGCTCTAAGATTAAAGTTTTCTACGTAATGGATGAAAAGAATGGTTTATGGTCCATCAGATTTTATTTTGTTTTTCAAATTTTGTTTTTTGTCATCTCTATAGTTGTTTTCATTGTTTTCGCAACATGTTTTTTTCCTAAGTACCCTATATAAGTTAAATAAGTATTTGTTGTTTCATTTATCAATGAATGATTTCATATTGTTCCAGGTTTCACGGAAGGCATGTTCAGCGAAGACACATACAAAGAGGCGTTAGCTCGGTGTCACGCCGCCAGCGACTTGATATTCTCCTTTTATCGAGATATAGTCAGTAAATACGCTAATGTCATATGACAGAGAACATAATCTGCTGGTAATAATTATGGCAGCGGAGTAAAAAGACTTTAATAAAAGGGGGGGTATAGCAGTGCTGAGTAAATGAAAATATGTGATACCGAAAATCTGACAAAAGTCAAACCAAATTAATAGTATGCATTCATAGTGACATATTGAGATATTTGAAAATTTTACTTATTAAATAAAACCAGTTTCAACGGTATAGATGCACTGAATTATTTATTTATTGACGTTATGAATTATGAAAACCTAAGGAACAAATAATTTTACTCATAAAAAATAGCTTGCATTGGTTTTACAATATAATGATTTTATAGTGCTTCTATATCTGATTTATTGCATGGTTAATGAAATTCTACTCAGGGTTAATAGGGTATTTGACAAGTTTTAAAAAACGATCTCACGTTATTGACTAATGTTTATGGAGTCCGTAAAAAGTGGATATTCATCATTCAGTTGTGTATTTCAGTAAAAATAACCAAATCAAAAACTCCATTATCAAGTTGCCGCGAAAACGTTTCTCTGGACAATATGGCGTTTTACTAGGGTGTGACGTCACACGACTGTTATTAAAATGTCAAACGATACCATGTAATGTCACTTTAACCGGAAGTTTACTTGCGTGTGACGTCATTTTAGGCTCCGCCAATCCCAAGCGTTTTGTGTCACGTGACAATAGATAAGAAAACTTATTTTTTTCGTTAGTTTTTAGTAAAATTATGAATATTTTTTTTGTAAAAATAGTAAAAACCCCTGCTAATATTCATTCTAAACACAGATGCCAATTATTGGCACTTTATTTTTAACCCTGTCAAATACCCTATTATGTTAATTTAAGGTGTTGAAATAAATATAATTGTTAAGTCAATAAATTAGTTTTACAAGCAATTTTGGTTTCCTTTATTTTTAGCAAGGCAAGTGAACATATCAGCCCTTCTAGCATGAGAACCGCGATATGATAAATAATGCGTTTTTATCACGCTCAATTGTCAAATTACTATGGATTTTGACAGTTAGACGCGATAAAAATCGTGATATAATGTAAATTTCAGTGCTCATGCTACGGGGGCAGTGATCTTGTTTGGAATTTGGAGTAAATTGATCCCGTATTAATCACTAGCATGGTAGCTGCAACGCTCTGCACTCTTGACTTTACGTCCAAAATGCAGTATTTTAAATATAGGAATTGTATGGGAAACCCAAGTTAAGAGCCCTTTCACATTTTTTTGCAATAAATCGCAATTTTTGAGCGCCTCGTTTACACTCTTAGAAGAGATTTGACTATTTCCGATAGAAGAAAACAGTAGATTTATTCTTCCTATTGAAAGTTAATGGAGAATATTTGCAAATACTATTTTCCTTTTTTTGTACTGATCGTTCTACCGCAGCTAGTTTACGGAAAAAACGATAATATGCACAACTTCAAACGCCTTAATCTCTCAATAATGTTCAATAAATTAGATCAAATTAATTACTACGACATCAGAAATATGTTTGTGTGTGTAGTTCAAGAAATTACAATAGGTATTTGGTATATTAATTAAGGACTATATTTGGTATAGAGTTCCACAACTCTACACCAGACAACTCATAGCCCATACTACGGGTCTGAATAAATGATTTCCAGTTTGGTTTGAGCGGCATGTTGGCTCTACAGTGGCGACAATGGGAGTGACGACAGGTTAAAGTAAACGAAATTCTATTAAGTCCGTCAGTTAGATTACTTTAAAATAATGGACACGTATTTTTTTTGGTTATGAAATCAAAAAATTACAAAGATAAAGAGTATCAAAGTTTGGGAGGGGGTAGTCTCGCGATGTCACTTTTGAGTAAAAATTGTACCAAAACGCGACGTTATGCGACGTTTCATATCGGTATATCTCTGTGAGGAACTCGATGACGCAAGTGGTTAGCGCGTTCGGCTGCGATCGTTGAAGTTAAGCAACTTTCGCTGTGACCGGTCATTGGATGGGTGACCAAAAATTTACTATCTCGAGCTTCTCCGTGCTTCGGAAGGCAAGTTAAGCCGTTGGTCCCGGCTGCATCTGCAGTCGTTAGCACTCACCAATACAAGGCCCGTGGTGCGCATTTATCTGTTAGGGTCATGGCCCAAACTCCCTGTCTCATCCATAGAGAAGGTCTGGGCCCCAGCATTGGGGACATTAATAGACTGATGAATATCTCTGTAATGTTGAGATTATGCGTATAAAGAAAAAATATATGCTCAATACTTTTCGATAATTTATCTGTTAGACGAAGAAAAAATTGACGTCATCCCTATTCGGTACCTAGTCTTCTTATCGTATGAGATTGGATGATGCACAACATGGTCCTAATGATATAAGTGAGTGAATAATCGAAGGCGGCCTCTTTACTGTCGCATGTATAAACGCGGCAAAACAGACGACGAGCGTACCTTCGGATTAGGACAGCGCTGCACTGAGTGTCCGAGTATCAGTGAGTGTTTTAACGGCGAACCGTTGGCTCAGTTTGAACTGTCCGGCTAAGAATGTATCCTCTACCTCACAGAGGGCCTCTGAACAAACCTCATCTTGACCTAGCCTATTCATGCAGATTCGAGTACTGTACTGGGCACGGGGCACGTGTATTCGCCCGAATAGCGAAGGGTGCAGGTTCGAGTCCCGTCTGCTGCCTGGACCGAGTGGATTTTTTTCTGGTATTATTATCTTTAGATTTAAACAATGAGCAGTTACATGCTTAAAAAATAAAAATTATAACTATTAAATAATCTGTGGTAGTAGGTACACTACTCGAAGCTGCATAGAAAGGGTAGGCCATTATAACCTTTTTGTTTTTTTAATGCGTGACGCATACCCCGTCCTTGAGTGTGGGAGTTAGGTGAGACTCCTTCTCCCCCAAATCCCGCTCACCTGCTCAGCCAGCCCATGGGACTGGTTCAGTGGCTGTTCGGGGTGAGGGGGGCCCTGCCCACTAAAATTCCAATAGTGCTCCGTCGCCTTCCGCGACGGGTGTCGGATCCTGGTGACTCTCCAGGCTAGGCAGGGGTTCCTCTCCTCCTCCTGCTGGTTAAGGGGATGCACAGAAGCACACAAGGCATATCCCCTCGATGGGTGAGACTGTGCAATGCGGACGGCAGACCACCCTGTCCATCGTCCTCTAGCCTCACTAAGGTGGAAAGAGGCGCGCGTAACGGCTCCTCCAGGGTAGTTGATGCTGGAACAGGGTTTAATTTTATTATTTTTTTTATTGGGCAGGACTACATTTGTGTTGCCATATTTTATAATATGCCTCTACCTGTAATTATTGCAATAATCATAAGGATTATTTTTCCTAGAGAACATAGCATCCTATCTTCAATATTTAATATACTTCCTGCCCTTCGTGCGGTGGGACGCCCTGTAAAAAATGAAATTATAATATAGATTATTGATTACTTTTATTAAACGGTGAAAATTAAGCAACTTTCGCAATGGTGGGTCATTGGATGGATGACAAAAAACTTATTATCTCGAGTTCCTCCATGCATCGGAAGGCAAGTTAAGCTGTTGGTACCGGATGTTTTGCACTCGTTAGCACCCACCAATCCGCACTGCACCTGCGTGGTGGGTCACGCCCTATCCCATCCATAGGGAAGGCTTGTGCTCCTGGGGACATTAATAGGCAGACCCCTCTTTCCCAGTGGGCAACTGCCCAGGGCCGCGCGATCGATGCCCCTCCCCCTCAGATCAAATACAAAGTCCCTGGTTCCTGTTAAATCACCAAACATACCCCCGTTTGATGATTTTACACCAAACGGGGGTCATAGGAGCCCCATTATCCTAATATGCCCAAGGCCTCCAATAGGTCAAAGACGGCACTGTAAATATGCTGATGATAATAATGAATATTTACTCTCATAATGTCTCAGTCCTTATCCTTAATAAAAAAGGTAGTGTCTCAGATGCAAATATCAAGTTAAAGGCACCGCCGTCGCCGCGCCGTCGCTACGCAGCACGTCTTTAAGCATATTTTTTGTTTTATTTCTCCGCCATATTTACATATAAAAGGAGCGCAAAATCTGACGAATGTGCGTGCTACTGGTACTTTGCTACACACGAAACTGTTTGTGATAAAATTAGAAAATCACTTGTATTATAATAGCGCGTTCAGTACTAGCTTGGATCTTCAATCATTTGCCTGCAGAAATTAAAGCACACAATTTGCCACTGTTTAAGTTTAGGTTAAAAAGCTGGTTATTAAATAATGTTTTCTATAGTCTTGATGAATATTACACTTGTAAAACTAAATATAATTTAGACTCTAAAATGTACTTTTTAAATTAAGATACTTAAGTAGTTTTAAGTTATAAATTTTACCATTGCATGCCCGTTCTGGGCACACTGTTCTGACTTTGTTATTATTGCAATTCCAACTGCAAAATTGTACACAGTTTTTTAAGCAATAAAGTTATTATTATTATTAAAAAGAAAAGGCCTTATATATAAAGCTACATCTTAATGAAATAACAAAGTTATTAACAGATAGGTAACACTATCGTGTGGTTGTTTCTTGTGGAAAAAAATGGATGCGTGTAACTTATGTACGCGCGTGAGAAGTTATACTTCTTTAGCATCATTAAAAATATTTTTTAATTGCATGCAAATAATTAATAATTACAATAAAATAATAAAAGGACTGGAAAAGGATAGTTAACACAGTCAATTAAGTTCAGTTTTAATTTGAAAAATTAAATAAATATTCAAAATATTCAATTAAAATCACTACTGAATTTAAGTTATTAGTCCATATGTAATTAGCACTTGTAAGTAACTAAAACACGTTGTGTCTATATAGAAACTAGAAACATGTGGATAAATATTATAAATATGAAAACAGTGATCAGAGGCGACGAGCGTGCCAACATTGTTTTTACAACGCGATCATCTTATGGAGCTCCGTGGATCGTTCAAAGTACCTTTCGAACAGACACTAACATTCATGACGCGCCCGCGGCCAACTTCATGGTGTTACTATTGTGTTACAGTGATGCGCGCGCATCTCGAAATTTCACTCTCATCATTTTTTCATAACGCGCCTAAAGAAGTATAACTTCAAAAATATCATACCTATTACTTTATTGTGGTTTACCTACAACACCAAGAGGTGGCACTGTCTTGCAGCTTAAGAACGGCTGGAAAGAATTCGATACGGCTATCAGGGCCGCGGTAGCATAATGGTCAGTGCATTTGACCGGATAGCGAAGGGTGCGGGTTCGAGCCCTGTCTGCTGCCTGGTCCCCGAGGAATTTTTCCTACTTATATTTTCTTTAGATTTAAACATTGAGTAGTTACATGTTTAAAAAAAAGTTATACCCATTACTTGATGCTTTTAATGTTAGGAAATACAAGATGATTTTTGACGTTTCGCAGAAAAACTTTAAAGCAACATTGTTTGAGCTGCTCGATTCTCATTAATTCCGCATTATTATAGTTATTATTATTATTTTTTGTATCAATTTGACATTACATTATTATTTTTTGCATTGTAGTTTTCTCAATTGAATGTTGTGTGTGCTTGTAAAGGCTTGCATATATGTCTTAGGATAAGTGTTTGGCATTTCTGTGCGAGACGGAACGCACCAAGTTAAGGTTCGGCTCGGTCACCAATCCGTATGGTGCTACATGACGCGATATAAAAATCGACGCTGCCATTGGTCGCAAAATATTGTTCCCAACCCCTCTTCCTCGAATTTTGTAACAGATTTATTTTGAATACATTATACGCTATTAGACTTTCAAAGATATCACACCTTTTATTTAAACATCCAAAATCTCAGTCTCAAAACTCCGTAGCTAAGCTGCGACGATACGAAAACCAAGTGCCGGTGGTCGCTATCCGGCACAATAAGTATTATTTTAATTTTTTAATGTTTTTATATATTTAGCTGTAAGTATACCTATTAAATAAATAAATTCAAGATGCATAGGTTATAGTTTGTGGGACTCCTCCCCCGTCTTTTGGCTCACTCGCTGGCTAGCCAAGGACTGGTTCAGCAGCAGTGCGAGGGACCTTACCCACAAAAAATCAGACAATGTCACTCACCTCACTTATCAATTTCAAAATATCAATGCGAGATCGGTTTAAAAAGGTTTAAGGAAAATATTCAATACCTCGAGGACACACAGGTGACCAATTAAAGAAGAAACCCCTATTATCTCAATTTCGAACTCATGCCATGGTTAGTAATTATAAAGTCAGTATTATTAAAACCCTTTACGTATAATCATAGCATTCACCTTTTTTTAATTGTAGCAGGTAACAAAAAAAAAACATATTTTAAAAAGTTGGTGGTATTTTTGTAATAACACCTGTTAATAATCTGCTAAATATTGCTCTGAATTACTCTCACATTTTCTCTTATTTACATAAACTATTTTTTAACCGACTGCAAAAAGGCGGAGTTTACCAATTTCACCGGTATGTTCTTTTTCCATTCCTATTCTTACATTAACTGCGTAATGCAATGGTGGTTTCAGTCAATATACATAATTACCTGTATATACCTGACAATAATTTATTGTGTTATAACTTATGAAAAAAAAAAATGTTTTTTAAACCTCATCAACCATACATTGTTCGAAAGTTCAAAATTACGGGCCATTCAATGGAACGTGCGGTAAAACATTTTACCACACGCTCCCATATATGGCACTGTGCGTTTCCTTAACAGTTTTTTTTTATTTCGTCCGAACCTCCTTGAAAGTGTTTAAATCTAAAGAAAATATAACTAGAAAAAATTCCACGCGGACAAGGCAGCAGTCGGTTTGTGGGTTACCTACAATGCGAAGAGATGGCGCTGCCTTGCAGCTTAAGAATGGCTAGAAGAATTTCGACGCGGCCATCAGGGCTGCGGTAGCATAATTGGTCAATGCATTCGCCCGGATAGCGAAGGGTGCGGGTTCGAGAAGGAATAACATAATAGTCTTCCTATCTCGTTTCTCTGCCTGAATTCTATCTCTCGGAATGTTCGATATAAGACAACAAAAGATTCTCTTTTACTTTTTAATATTACTGCCAGTCGTAGGCATTACATAAACAAAGAGTTTACACAAACAAGGAGGCCGTAACACTACCGACGTTACAGTACCTACATACCTATTTAAGAGAACAGGCAGTAGGTATTTACAAATCTGTCGCCCCGTGCCCGGGCCACTTACGATTTACATGATAAAACGGCAATCCACTGATCTTTCCACATGTGTAAAGAAATTACAATACAGTCGGACTGTACGTTTCTTTGTTTGTGTGATCTAACATTGCATCTCAGCGTTGTACAAAGAGCAACACGACTGACGGTCTTGTATGAAATTCTGTCTTCTTTTTTATCATTAAAAAAATGTGAAAGAAGTTTTGACTGGAGGTCAATATTCTGTCAAAACTATCGAAAGGTGACGTTTTCATCTTTATAAAATCAAACACATTGGAATCAGAAATCTAATTATAGTGTGAATTACAATATTTTGTGGATATGGCGGCAAAAAAGTTAAATTTACTTTTGACATCTGGATTAATGAAATTTCCTAAAAAAATCATCAAAATCGACAACAGTATACATAGTTTGCTTGGGTAAGTCCATTTAAACTCTCAGCTTAACGTGAACAGCAGCATTTTTGAACACGTTCCATCAATTCGTCAGCTAAGGTTGGTTGAGTCAGAACTCAGAAATCTCTGAATTGAAAACCATTTCACTCATAAAAAAGTTCTGAAATAATGAGATACATACTGAAACCTACACCTGGGTCGCAAGTTCCGGGAACTGCTCGGAGTTTCTCTCTCTGCTACACGATGGACCCAACACATCATCATCATCATCAACCCATGTTCGTCCACTGCTGGACCTAGGTCTCCCCTAATGCACGCCACTGCTCCCGATTTTGTGCTACTCTCATCCAGCCCACTCCAGCCTACGAATATCATCATCCCATCCTGTCTCAGGGCGTCCTACACTACGTTTTCTGAGTCTTGGTATCCACTCAAGAACTTTCCGGCTCCAACGCCCATCAGTTCTGCGGCTAATGTGACCAACCCACTGCCACTTCAGTTGGACCCAACACCTGCACGGTGAATCTATAGATTGCTAAGAAGTTCGTCTCCTATGTATGCTTTCATGGTTTTACGTGTGTTCATTTCAAAACTACCCTCATAAAACAAAGATATAGCATTTCGAAGCTTTAAATAGTGCGTCAATGCACGCCTACACTTGTAGTATCTTCTCTTTAACACCTAGAGTAGCGGCCGTAATACTATTCCAGCAGATTTCTGACAAGCGGTAATGCTGCTGGCATTATCAGCAGCCAAAAACTCGTACACAGCCGCAGATCATGATTATGTATCATTCCCATGTTTTGAACAAAATGACACCCTCATCCGCACAAACCGGACGCCATTTTCAAGCCGCCATGCCTGATGCAACGTGGCAATAGGACGCATTATGTTAATATTTACGTTATGTTACGGAGCTTCGACTCCGATTCCGATAAGGCGGAACTTCCGATTATTATTACACCTTCGGTTTCGATTTCGGCTCCGAAACTTTGAAATCGGAGGTCGAAGCATAGCAAATAGCTACGGCGGTCTGTGTCGTAGCTACCCGTCGCGTTGGAAGTCTGTGTTAATAATAAGTAAATTTAAATGAAAAAAGGTTATTTTATAATTAAAAGGTAAGCAGTCAACCTTACCTAAGGTAAGGTGGTAAGGTGATAACGTTGTTTTTATTTGTTCGTATATGAAACATATCTCTCTGTGACCACTTCTGACTCTGCCGATTCTCCCTCCGACTCCGATAAATCATTTAAAAACTCTGACTCCGACTTCGGTTCCGATAATTTACCTCCGTTACATCCTTGATTAATATCATATGGCATTATGGCATTTGGCAGTTACCGCGGTTATTCCAATTGGGAAGTGGGCATCGGCACTCGGCAGGAGCAAGACTGGCGAGACGTGGTTAGCGAGGCTGAGCAGATCGTCGGATACCCCACCTCCTTTCTGAACCTTCGCTGGCTATTCAACGACGAGATTGCCAACACTGCAATACAACTCAGAAAGCTGGTAAGTAGCGTGGAATATGCTGGCAGGAGTCAGTGTATAGGATGTGGTGAGCAGGGCGCTCAGGTTGTAAGTTAGCCTACATCCTTCCTCAACCTGCCTTGGTTGTTCAACGAAGAGATCGCCAACACTGCCATACAACTCAGGAATCTAGTGAGTAGCGTGGAATATAATAATAATAAATATTTCAAGCACTATACGGCTTGTTTTATGGGATGTTAACAGTATATATGCTGGCTGTAGCGAGTCTATGGGCCTTTGTAAGACTTGAAAGTGGGGCGTCCAAGTTGTAAATTAGTCTATCTCCGTCCTCAAGCTCCGTTGGGTGTTCGACGACGAAATCAGGTAGGGCAGTCATTTGTCGGACATATCTATTTAAAAAAAAAAGTCGCTAAACCTTTTTACAACTCAGGAAGTTGATGAGTAGATCGCTAACGAGTGTGAAGCGTAGTAATTATGCTAGTAGATAAGGCAGAAATACTTTGCATATATGAAACATGGTTTCAGACGCTGATGACGTGATACTATCAGGTCACTATGTAATAATTATCAAATCATCCACTATATCAGTGTTTCCTAACCTTTCCAATACTGCTACCCCTGTAACCTATTAGGATAACAGATTTTACCCCGACTTTAAAATGTTATCATCAGTATAAGAAATTTCAATTTGGCTCGTCATCATCTTCGTCTCTAATAATGTCATCATCAGGAGAGAATCTCGGCCCGCTTCCCACACTCAGTACACCGCGAGCTCACTAGTAGGAGCGCATGCTCTATTTAGTAATATTATTTAGATTTGACCAAATAATTAGGTTCTTTGTTACCCCCGAAGTATGGCTGATTTACCCCCGGAGGGGTAATTACCCCCAGGTTCGGAACCCAGGCACTATATGCTTGGTTCCATTGTATTACTATATTCCTACTTATGATTTAATGAACTTTTTGCCTTTTGTCATCAGGTCGGAACAAACCACCCGCTTTTAAAGTCAGCAAAGAATCTACTCATTGGTTCAAAGAGCAACCTCCAGTCTGTCGGGCTCATCGTTTTACTGGTCTCTAAAGCAGCCGGTTTCAACGCGAGCGATTTTATGAGGTATTTTCATTTAGCGCTTTTGTATTTCTGAGTAATCGATTTTGGTATAGGAATTAAACAGTGTAGCTTTTGTCGCAATTCAAAATTTATAAGAAGTAGAATGCATAGATGAACATTTTTCAAAGGAGACTAAGATAAGACCATTCGAAATCTTCATACATAAAGAACCAATTAATATTGAATTTAATATTGAAAGTTACAAATACTGCTCGAAGGACAACACACTATGAATGAAAATTAGGTATTTAAATCAAATGCATTTGCAACTATACTCACTAAAAGAGAGGTGTGTAGCTCTTATCAGTCTCCATTTACATATTAATTATAGATCCCTAATTACCTTTTGGTAGTATTGTATGTGTTTGTAATAAATACGGAGCAGAAACTTTGTGGTAATAAAAAAACATGGGGTAGGATTTGGTATAAAAATGGTTCTGTGAGCATTACTAACTTATCACATTACGTGCTGTATAAAGTAATTAATAGTGATGAAGCAAAAAAATCTTAAAGCCATGATTTTTGATTATTAAAATATACCTAACACAGGGACCAATATGATTCCGGAGTGCTCCACTCGCAAAGAGCGCTTGCTGAGATAGTAGAGATGAAGAGAACTGGCCACCTGATCCATAAAACGATGGTCAACCTCCAGGAGAAGCAGAAGCATGGAGACAAGTACAAAGACTTGCTCTATGGCAACAAAATAGTTTTGCTTACAGGTGAGATTTTTTGGTTAGTCATATTTCTTACCCTGACCTCATAACTCTTACAAGGAAGCAGCGCTGCTTCAGTGACAGGGACCTATCGGACAGTGCCGTTGCCATTACTGAGGAGATTATAATGGGTATGGAATACTATATTCCTCATTCTGATCTCATCAGTAAGGGCACACGTAACCTCTGGTTCAATCACGACTGTGCTGAAGCTGCTTCGCGTAAGCAAGCGGCATATCGTGCTTGGATCAGAGGCCGCGCTCTCAAGGATCCCGAGGTCGATTCACTCAAAGCAGCCTACAATTTTGCTTCCAAGGCCTGTAAGAAGGCTTATATCAGAGCGGATGCCCAGCGCGTTGCACGTGTTGGCCATGAACTTATGACGCATCCTACGGGCTCCCGTAGCTACTGGCGTCTGGCCAAGGCCGTGCAAAAAAACTTCTGCGAGCCCTCGCTGCCACCTCTGAGATGCCCAGACGGAACACTAGCCCATAAGCCGCAGGAGAAAGCCGATTTACTGGCAAAACTGCTAACTAACTCCCGAATCGATGATTGCAATGCACTGCCACCATCATTACCTCACTGTGGCACAACGATGCCTGATATTAAAATCAGGCAGCGCGAGGTTCGTGCCGAATTGCAATCACTCGACGTCCGGAAAGCTAATGGACCTGATGGCATCCCAGCAGTAGTACTTAAAAAATGTGCAGCGGAGTTGCCTCCCGTGCTCACGCGCTTGTACCAATGCTCGGATTCTTTGGGGCGTGTGCCGGAGACTTGGAGAGATGCAAATGTGCAACCGGTGCCCAAAAAGGGGATCGCTCAGACCCAGCAAACTACCGGCCAATAGCAGTCACCTCAGTTTTATGTAAAGTTCTAGAAAAGGTCCTTAATAACCATCTGACCCTCTACCTAGAGGATCACTCCCTGATTGATGATCGTCAATATGGTTTTAGACCGAAACGATCGACGGGTGATCTTCTAGCGTACTTAACTCATATCTGGGGTGAGGCTATCGACAAGCGTGGCGACTCGTTGGCTATCAGCCTTGACATTGCCAAGGCATTCGACAGGGTATGGCACAAAAGCCTTCTCTCCAAGCTTCCGGCATACGGTCTGCCAGCCCAGTTCTGTTCTTGGGTAGCTGACTTCCTTACGGATGGTAGCAGTTTGCGGTTCATGTCAGTGAATGCCGGCGTTCCCCAGGGCTGCGTCCTATCCCCCACTCTCTTTCTGCTTCATATCAATGACTTAATTCCTCTCGGGAATATTCATTGCTATGCAGACGATAGTACAGTGCATGCGGGGTATCTCGGACAAGCAGCGACTGGCTGGCGGTAACCAAGGAGAAACGGGAGAATCTTGTCATTGAACTCAATCAGGCTTTGGACCACATTTCCGAATGGGGTACCAGGAACTTGGTTGAGTTCAATGCCAAGAAAACTTAGGCTTGCGTTTTCACGGCAAAAACATCGCCATTCCTTCCCCTTCCCTCTTTTCAGGGCGCAACTCTACCGCTACAGAGCAACATTTCCATGCTCGGTATGGAAGTTCGCTCAGACCTGAATCCAAAGAACTACATCGAAACCGTGATCAAAACAGCTTCACGCAAACTCGGAGTCCTGAACAAGGTGCGGCGTTTTTTCACGCCCGATCAACTGTGCTTGTTGTACAAAACGCAAGTGCGGTCCTGCGTGGAATATTGCTCGCACCTCTGGGATGTCTCCGCCAAGTACTTGCTCGATGCTTTGGATAGGTTACAGCGGCGCGCGATCCGCATCATAGGCGATGAGGAGGTGACTAAACTCCTTGAGCCTCTTCAATTACGCCGTGACGTGGTTTCACTAAGCGCGTTCTATCGTCTGTACCACGGCGAGTGTTCTGAGGAGTTATTCTCTCTTATCCCACCTTCTACTTTCCTTCAGAGGACCACGCGCGCTGACCTACGTTGTCACCGTCTAACTGTGGCCACAATTCCAACGCGTACAAAGAAATTTGGTGACTCATTTCTTTGTCGCACTATCCGTAAATGGAAAGCTCTGCCCGCTCACGTGTTCCCTCCCTCTTACAACCTGGGATCCTTTAAAAGAGGCGTGAAGAAGCAACATGCAGGCCGGCAGGGTGAGGATGGCTGGTGTGGCAGGTAAAACTGCTGTATCAGCTATCTTCACGTCTGGACTTCACCTTCACTTAAGCGCAAGTGGATTAAAATACGTTGTGGGACTTTAGGGGTGAAGCACTATATTATGACTTTTTTTCAGTTTTTGCAATCGAATTTCGATAGTTCTAATATTTGTCAATTTTTAACTGACATATACGGCTACTTTAACAGATGTGCGACATTATGCCCGTATCGATGTGGTTAATATTTAACTGATAATGTCCAAAATTGGACCTGTTTATGTTAGACTTATCGCCAAATCGGCCTTACTATAAAATATCCAATGTCCTGTTGTGTGTAGGATCTGGAAACTTTACTCCACTGCAACTAAGCTGTTGGGCATTAACATAAAATCGCTTAAAAATAGCCTCTTTTGCTACAGAAGATGTCGAAAGTTCAATGTACTTCAAGGGTAAACTAAAAAGTTTGCTAAACTTGGTTTGTTTTTCCTTTAATAGGTGATTATCTCCTGGCTACTTGTCTTCAAAATTTGGGCGGGCTCCGGAACAACGCCGTCACCGAGCTCATCTCCTCCGGACTCCGAGATCTGGTCGAGGGGGACTTCTTTGGTGAACACGACGCGGCCAATAACCCATTGCCGACGAAACCTAAAGGTGCAGGAAAGTTCAAATCATCATAGAATTTATATATTGGCGAACGTTGAAACTGAAACCACCAATCCCGCACTGGGTCCGCGTGATGGGTCATGGCCCAATCTCCCTGTTCCATTCATAGGGAAGCCCTGTGCCCCAGCAGTGGGGACATTAATAGGCTGATGATGATGATTATGAACTTTGAAACAGCGACTTGATGACGTCGCCCGGTCCTGCGCGTTACAGTTATAACAACGAACTTTTCTGAGTTCTTGCTAATTCTGTTAATGTTGATAAGGTAGGAAAAATATTGGGATTCAAAATAGCTTTCAATAAGTTGAATTGAATAAAGTAGGTATATTTTCATTTCATTGATTCCACGTCAGGTGGTTGGGGCTTATGGTACCTTCATTTGTACTGGCGACTTGTTTTAGTTATAGTAACTATTAAGAAATATCTGTAATGCTGCATCATTCGAATATTAGAATACGGCTTTTGGACCAAAAAGTTGGGAGCTCTGCCGTTGTGTGATATCTTTGATCTGAATCTAAAGAAAAGTTTACTAGAAAAAAAAAAGTTTATTTTCTATTAAACTATTCTTTAGATTTAAACATCTAGCAGTTAAATGCTTAAAAATAAATAAAAACATAATCTTTGATCTGTTTTTCCCATGCTTATCAGGTACACATTGCTCCAGACATTACGAATGGGAGACGGAGGACAATTTAAATAAGCTTGGCTCGAATGAGTTCCTTGGGCAAGGCAAAGACGAATGGAAACTTCGCACTATGCTCACCACAGGCAGCATTCTCGGTAAGGGCTGCCAGGGAGTCATGAAGCTGGCACAAAGAGGAGAACAGATGGAAAGAGATGCGTATATGCTAGGAGGACACTTGGCTCTTCTTTGGCAGCTACATCTTGACGTCAAAGACTTTTTTACTCATCCTTATTCGTACTCACTGGTGGGGGCACCGGTAATGTTGGCAATGTGGGAGTACCCCCAGCTTTACGGGCACATATTCGAGCATAGAGTAGAAGGTGTTCCAGTTGAGTACAAACAGTTGTATTACGCTGTTAGAAGCACAAGGGCTGTGGATTACCTGACTCTGTTTTTGAATGAGGAGTTTGACGCGGTCATGAGGTACAGTGACAAATTCCCGGTGGAAGACGCGAGATGTTCCCTCCAGAAAATGGCGACTACCATACACACCGAGGCTTTGGAGTATATGGAGAAATAAAGGTAAACTTTGCACGCCACAAATACTTTTTTATTTGTAACTCGAATTTTTTGACTAATGTTATGGTCATTAAAAAAAATATCGCTTGTTTTCAGGTAATCTACCTCTTCATGGGTATTTTCGTTTTTAGTATATGGGTAAGGCGCTTATACTATCCCCTATTAATATACGAGGAATAAGCTCAGACTAGTTACGCCGAGTTTTGTTCATATCAGTCAAATGCTATTTGTCATTCGATGAACAGAGACAAAACATGAGGTAACTAATGGAAGCCTATTCCCCGTTTATTAATAAGGGAGACTGAGTAAAAATCCCAAACAAATCACAAGCAGCAAAATGTACAGCTGTAGACTTAGGTTAAAACAAAAAGGGAAGATACGGCATTCGCTGGCTTAAATTGTGGTCCATGACCATATTACGCTTTAGTTACAATTTGACATTCAAACACGCTGCATGTACACTCAATATAACAATATTGCATATATTCTGTGTTATGAAGATATAACAATGCCTCCGATGCTTATATAAGGAACTCAAATAGTTCAAAATCCAATGCCCCGGCAACACTTTTGGCAGAAACTGCGCGCGGTTCGCGCCACCGCGTGCGTTTAATCAGTGTGTTTTCTATACGAACTGCGATACTTGCATACTACGTTAAAATCTGCGCTACGCGACGTAGCGCGATGCAGTAGGTGATACTCCTAAACCGAGCGTGTCAGAGAACGATGAAATCAGAGTTGAAAAGGCATGATCCCTGGATACCTATTTAAATTGTATCGGTTTTACAGCTTAATATGACATATTTAGATATTTTTAAACATTACTATTGACGTCGATAAAGGTGAAAAAAGATGATCATTGGTCTGCCTTTTGGTAGGCGAAGTACATCGCTTACGTTATCTATTCCGATCTATGTCTATGTAAGCTAAAATGTAATCTTTTAAGAGCTCTCAGGAGTTACGTAGTTATCTGTAGGTGGAGGTAGCTTCCTAATACGTATATTCCCTTTCGAGTGGAAATGCGATGAGGTTAACTCACTTGCGTTTCAGAGATTCATATAATATGATTGCTATAATTAAATTCACGGGTCACAATGAATGAGGTGCATCGAAATGTCAGATGGCGTTGAGATGTCGGTACGATTTGCTCAGCGCGGATATTAACGCCAGCACATCGATGTAATCGCATCCCTATTTAATAACACATTGAAAATGTATTATTGATTATATAATAATTCTATGTAGTTAAAATGTATATTATTGCAATTATGTATGTTATTGCAATTTCATTACCTTATCATTAAGTTCAACTTGTTAATTTTGCAAGAATAATATAAAATTAATAAGTTAAATGGTAGCAGAGCATCAAAGTTACAATAAGATTATTTAAGTCAGTACCCAGAGCCGCTTTCCCAGTGGGCACTTTGGGCAAGTTCCCAGGGCCCCGCGATCGATAGGGGCCCCCCTCAGATCAAATACAAAGTCCCTAGTTCCTGTTAAATCACCAAACGGAAGTCATAGGGGCCCCATTATCCTAATATGCCCAGGGCCTCCAATAGGTCAAAGACGGCACTGTCAGTACCCTTAAGTGAAGAAGTGAATACGTCAATATAAGTGCCATGATGAAAAAAGAAATGGTATTTGCAACAAATTGTAATTAAACTGAACATACAAACATTTCAATAAAGGTCATAAAAACATCAAAATAAATGCTTTGTAATATCAAATTACATCAAAATGTAAAACTCCATTCAAAAGAATTTGTTAGCTTTTTGAAAGCTTCTCTTTCTTATAACTTAATATACTGGTAACAGAGCATATAGGAAACAATCAACTACACATAACAAACATTACATACTAAACAACTTTTCATTATACAACTACCGACCATTTTCTTCCTAATTCAATTTATACTAAACAATGTTTACTATCACAATCAACAAGTATTATAAAAAACTCATCACATTATATGTACTATAAAGTTTTGATTAATCCCTTAACAGTGTTCATAACACTGCTATCACTCAACATATCTATATAACCATTTGCTTTGTTTGCATTGTTAATATATAACAATTTAGTCCGTTCAATAGCATTTGTTTTAAGCACATCCATTCGGAATTTGTTAAAATCAAAATTAGCTGAATTATGCTTTGCCTCTTCTATTTCTGAATATAGATCTGGATTGTCATTTAACGCGAACAAAACTGGAGCACTGACTAAAGAATACGATTCTTTCTTTTCTGATGTTATTTTCTGCAGTTCACTAGCTGCTTGCCAAGCTAAACATAAATGAGAGCCAAAAAGATATGCTCTCTCTTGCTCTTCTAGTGTCTGTCCAGAGAGTAACAAAGCACCCTGGCACCCACGACCGAATAGAGATCCACCGTTATACATTGTCCGTAGTGTCCACTCTCTTATTGGTGATCCTAATGTATTCCTAACATCTAGTGGAAGTGTATCGCTGCTTATTTCAAATTCATCGACACTAACAAATAGGGGTTTCCCTGGCAGTGGCATGTTTTGCGCATCTCTTTCACCGAAGAACTCTCCTTCGCTTATATCCCTTAGAGCTGTGGAAATTAAATATGATAAATCCTGATTCTTCAACTTTGCTAACATGCCGTTTGCAGTCACCAGTAAATAATCGCCGATAAGTACAGCTATCCTATTAGCAAAAATAGATGTGTCTGTACTTTGGTTTCTTTCTTCTATTGATATATTCAGTAGCCCTCGATGTACATAATGACCTGTGCGTATCATTTCTGTCAATTCAGCGAGTATCCTTTGGTTTTGAGTGACCTGGTCATCTAGAAGAGTTGAGTTAGATGGCTCAAATGCTTTGGACAATAGCAGAATGACAAGGCCCCAAGGTTGAAGATTGTTCTGTTCATTGAAGAGGACAGTTTTAGCTGTTTTTATTATCGGATGGTTGCTATCCACCTGAAATAAAATTTGTCGATGAGCCACTTTAAAGATTCAATGAAATAATTAAAAGAAGAACATTTTATACTTCAAAAATAACTTATGCTAAATGTAGTGTTCAGTTTTGTTGTTGTTTATTTGTGATAGTAAGATAGAGAAATTATTCTTGACTCCTAGCATAATAAATAAGTATAACATAAGTTGGAGAAATATTTATATAAAGCTTAAGGACATTGTACACCTTGTTGTATAGTTTACTTTTATTGGGTTTAAGCATTTTTTTGGCTAAACTGTACTACCAGGGCCCAAGCGGTGTACTTCACACTAGGTTAGATTAGGTTAGTGTTGTGACCATGACGTGCGAGTCGAGTGTGCCGTGGCAGCAGCCGGCGAAGTGCCAAAAAATAACTCTACTAAAAGAGACCTTTTCTACAAAAAATATTCAAGTATTATCTCTTGGGCCCTGGAAGCACAGTATATCCGATTCAATAGTAAGTGTTCAATTAATATCAATGAAATCTCAGTTTTTTATGATAGTTTCAATGCCATAGAAACTTGTTGTGACGTAAATCATTATTTACGCGTGCAGGAAATAACCTTGATGCACACTGGTAAGTCGTATGGCTAGACTATTTGTTACATAATTTATGTAATATTAGTAAGAAAAAAAATAGCAAGTCACTCCTTAACACCAATTCTACTTTCTTATTCGTTACCGTGTTAGGTTTTAATAAATTTTCATTCACCAAAATATGTAAAAAAAATAAATTAATTTATGAGAATATACGATCTTACCACTTTCCGTAAATGCATTGCTAGATTGGCGAACTCATCACTCAACAGCCACCGTAGGTTCATGAAAGAGGTTGGATACCCAACTATTTTCTCAGCTTCTTTGATAATTTTTGTCCAATGAGCCAGAGGGGGACGAAACAGAAAGTCTTCCCGAGTTAAGTTCGTCATGGTCGACTCAACTCGTAGTTGTTGAGTAATAAGCGCTGTACGGCGCAAGTGGCGCATTAAGGCATATGGCATGATTAATTTAGGAATGTAATTATTCACAACACTTTCACATTAAATTAATCTTTTGGTTAAACAAAATAATCACAATTTACAGCGCGCTGATACAATCACCTCAGTAGCCAGTGCGTGCGGTTATGTCATCATTGTTTTGACATTAGGGATGTTCCGATACTAGTAAATACGAGTAGATACTCGATACTTTTGATTCGATACCAAGTAGTTATAGCATCGAATCAATCTTGCGATAAATACTCGGTATCGAAACAAAAGTACTTGGTATCAAATCGAATCAGCATCACCATTTAAAAAAGATAAAATTTCCGAACGCAGACAGTATGAGAGAGCAAAAGCCCTTTCGCTCGGTTACCGGTATTCATCGCACATAGGCACCACCAAAATCAATAAAATTTTACCAAAACAAACGAAACAATTGCAAAATGTAAACAATGAAGTCTGTGAATTCTGTGTGAACTTTGGATAAAGGCAAATTAGAGAAAAAGCAAATAAAGGGACCAATGAAAGGTAGGATCCTATACTTTTCTTTTTTGCGACTGCTCTCCTTAAATATTAAATAATCCCTTTGAATTCCTAAAATGTTAAAAAAAAGTGACGCAAAACATTTATATTCTCGTTTTTTCTCACTTTTGTTTTAATTTTCGTTCTTCAACGTTTATTGTTTTTACTATAGTTTCCTCAAAGTAAAAAATAAATAAAAATAAGTGCTAAAAGTATCGATATCAGTAAGTATCGATACTTTAGGAGTATTTATTTAAGTAGTATCGAAAAAAGATTTGAGTACTATCGAAATGAGTAGGTATCGATACCTTGATGGTATTGGAACATCCCTATTTGACATTTGGATTTCGTTCGACCTCCGTCTAGAAATCTACTGTGAGTCACAATAGTTTCTGATGATTCCTAAACGAGAGAAGTAAAACATATTTTTTTTTTTGTTGAAGTTCTCCCGTTTTAGGGAAGGCAAAGGGAACAATGCCCATACAGCCTAGTCTTTAATTAAATTTATTTTCTTTTTATTTTTACATTAGAATGTCGGTGTGACGCATTCTAATGTTTCTTGGAGTGTTTGGCATGAAATGTATCGAGTTGGCTTTTTCGATAAGCTTCTGTGAGGTAGTCAACACTACAATAAAATTCTCACGTCCACTTGACCGGAATAGCGTATATTTTAATGATTCCGCTAATTCTTCAGTTACGCAGACAGTTGTTACACAAAACCACACCAATTTTATTTCACAATATCCACTATGAACGAATTTAAGAATAATTTAAATAAGACGCCAACCGCACTCGATAAAATCCCGCCAAAAAAGCCAAAACATATTTTTATAAAGGACTGCTCAAAAAAGTATGCTATGTTAAAGGATTTATGTATATTTAGGGAGTTTTGGCGGGATTTCATGGAGTGCGGTTGGCGTCTTATTATTATTATTCTTAAATTCGTTCATAGTGGATATTGTAAAATAAAATTGGTATGATTTTGTGTGTTGAATTAGTGGAATCTTTAAAATATATGCTATTCCGGTCAAGTGGATTTGAGAACTTTATTGTAGTGTTGACTACCCCACAGAAGCTTATCGAAAAAGCTAACTTGATACATTTCGTGCCGAACACTCCAAGAAACATTAGAATGCGTCACACCGACATTCTAATGTATAAAAAAGCAAGATTAATAAGACCGCAGACTAGGCTGTATGGGCATTATTCTCTTTGCCTTCCCTGAAAAATGAGAACCTCAGGAAGCCGTGCGAAGCAATGATTAAAGAAATAGGTGCAAAGTCATTTAGAAAAAATTAAAAAAAACATATGTTCTAAACGCCTGAGCCGATTTTGATGTGCGCGGTGACGTTAGTATCGTCTCACCGTCCCGTGGAATAATTATGCTTTAAATTGATATAGCAACAATGCCTGTCAATTATTTGTCAAAAAAAAAGAACTAATAATTACAATGGGTATCATTTGAAATGTGAGCATTTAAAACATAAGTAAATAAATAATTATACCCAACACTCACACCAATAAAATTAGCATAGCCCCATAGTAAGTACTATAGGCTTGTGTTATGGGATACTAAGGTAACTACGGATAGAATACATATACTGATAAATAGGTCTAAGTATATGTATATACATACACTAGCAAACCAGTGAACCAAATGTTCACCAAAAAAAAAAGAAAAAAAGAATAATTAATTGAGAACTTCGGAGATTTTGTGTAGTTTCGTTTGAAATAGAAATCACGTGATTTCTCGAAAACCGGAAGTGCTAGGTTACTCACATCCGGTTTGTAGTCTTATCAGACTATTCTTAACTTATAACTTAAACATTCTCTTTATCTATCTCTTACGGTTTGGCCGCTGAAACAGCACCACGGACGGACGGACGGACTTGTCTAATAGATAAGACATATTAAACATCCGAACCTGGTGTACAAATGCTCGTATGCATCACACAGACATCAGCTGCCACCGAGATTCGAACCCAGGACTTCTCGAGTAGGCGACACCTTGAAACCCGGAGTACAAACCTCTCGGCCACGGAGGTCGTCAAATACGAATAAAGAAGCATTCATACAAGTGTTTATCTGTAAAACGTGATAAATACACAGTTGGTCTGAAGTATTGTCACACAGTAAAAACTTTACTTTTAGAATGCTGGCCACAAAAAAGTTTATTGAATTCGAACTTCGAATTGTATATGAAAATATACTTTTTAGAATTTTACTCATTTTTAAATATGGAGTGGACGCATATAAAAGATCGTGTTGCAGTTGTTGCGTTGCATCGTTGCGGTTACGCGCCAATTAAAATTTTTGACATACTGAAAAAAGATTATAACCAAAAGATTCGTTTATCGTACCATCAAACGATACATTGAAGACTCTAGTGTAGATGACAGGTCAAGAAGTGGTCGCCCTCGGTCTGTTAGGACTCCAGCAGTGATAACAGCTGTGAAGGTGCGAATTAAAAGAAATCCCAAACGTAAGCAGAAACTGTTGGCCCTTCAGATGGGGTTAAAAAGAACCATGGTGAAAAGGGTGTTTAAATGAAGACTTAGGGCTTCGGGCATATCAAAGAAAAACAGGACATCGTTTGAATGCTCGTTTAATGGACCTGAGATGCCGCGCTTTGTTGAAGCGGTACGCGGGAAAAAAATATCGGGAAATTCTTTTTTCGGATGAAAACATTTTTATCGTAGAAGAGAGCTACAACAAACAAAATGAGATGTACGCACCCAGTAGTGAAGAAGCGAGCAACCGTATTCCACGTGTCCAACGAGGTCATTTTCCATCCTCGCTCATGGTATGGTTGGGAGTTTCTTATTGGGGCTTAACAGAGGTACATTTTTGTGGTAAATACGAATACAGTTGTGTATCAAAATACAGTCCTGACGAAACTTGTGGAACCTGTTTCTCATACCATGTTCAATAACAGGCACTGGGTATTCCAACAAGATTCGGCGCCAGGTCATAGAGCGAAGAGCACACAAGACTAGCTGGTGGCGCGTGAAATCGACTTAATCCGGCACGAAGACTGACCCTCCTCCAGTCTATCTTTGAGTCCGTTAGATTACAAGATATGGCAACAATTGAGGAAAAGGCGTGCTCAAAGCCTCATCCCAATTTGGAGTCACTCAAGACAGAACTTGATTAAGGCAGCCGCCGATATTGACGTGGAACTCGTTCGTGCTGCGATAGACAACTGGCCGCGCAGATTGAAGGCCTGTATTCAAAATCACGGAGGTCATTTTGAATAAACTTTATTGTCATAATAATCTTTGTTTTGTTAAATTCATTTTGGTATATAAATGGTTACATAATGAATAAACTTGTTTCAATTATTTTATATTAAACATGTGACAGAATTTATGACCTGACTTGGTACTAAAAATACATTGACCTGTCAGGCAGCGACGGCGGAAGGACAAATATTTTATGATTGAAGAAGTGGCTTCGGCCTTATAGGAAAAAAAAGAAAACTTAACAAAAGAACTTTTAAGTGAAGACGATGGTTGCATGGCTCTGCTTTTGCCTTTCCCAAGATGGGAAAAACAGATAAAAAAAATAAGCAGTTTAGATCAGAGTTGAGATCAGATCGTCTTTTAGTACCCATTCGCTTTTAAGTTATCTTTTCGTTTCAGAGGTAGAAATGGGCCTTAGAAATATGTCTGCCCACCGTAAAATTCGAGAGTTATAAAATGAATACTCCCTCCCGATCTGAGTAGCGACGCTAATGTTAGCGCCCTTTGGTTCATGGCGTTGCGTTTAGTGTGAAGATGGCTGACGCGGCAGAAGAAAAGAAAATTGTTTTTTTCTAGCCACTATGTGCTCGACTTGACGCATGACAGGCAAACGAGCTACAACCTAACGTGTAGCTTTGAGGAAAGTCACTGTTAAAACACAACACAAAAAAATGCGAGATTGTCGAGGAACACTTTGTTGATACATTATGGTCCTATACATATGGTTGGAATGTAGTTAAAAATATTTATATACCACCCAACAAAAGGCACTGGGCCCGCGTGGTGATACTGATTCACGACTCAATGTTTTCCCTCTAATTAAGGCCTGTTTCCCAGCTCCAGCAGTGTAGATTATTTTGGTAAATTCCGCTATTCTACTAGGCACTACTTTAATAGGTATTTTGAAACTCAGTTTAGATTTATCTTAACGACCACTGAATTTCCACGCGAGCAGTAAATAACTGACCTGGTTCGAAGGTATATGCTCTAAGGGCTCGAACGATTATGCACTATTACGTTTTTGATGTTATCTCCCCTCGAACGCATCGCTTAGCTTATAAATACCGAGTGCTGAACGCTTTCTGCGCCGTCGACCAATCACGCGTTCTCGCGCCATAATTCAAAAATAGAAGGGTCAAGAAGCCCCCGGCGAAGTCGGTGGCTCGTCCATAGCAATTAAAAATAAAAGCAATGAATAATTTGTAAGGAGTTAAGGGCCTGGCGGGTTTGCCTGCAAAACGATTACCTACAATGCAAATGCAAATGAATTTTGATCGGAGACTCTCTGATTGAGTGAGGCCTGCTTGGATGCAGGTGGGAGATAAATCGGCCGATGCCGAGTTACCAGCCTGTTGTTTAATCTATCGTCGCAATTTGGTGTTT